CTTCAAGATCCCAACCCAGAACCGCTGCCCGATCAGCCCATTGTCGATCTTATTCTGCACGAATGGGATACGAGGAGATTCAGTTGTAGTGCGGATGCGCTGGCAGACTGGCTTAATGCACGCTGGCGTAAGAGCGGGTACGAACTCAGTGCTGAGACTGTATGTGAGGTTTTGAGGAGTAATGGGCGGATTGCATTTAGAGGGCTGGGTGATGATGCTGAAGGTGCTTTTTCACGATAATCACTCTGTGAGCTTCTTTTTTTCTTAAAAAAAAATGCACGACTAGCAGAAATTTGGTTATTATCATCTTTGTATTTGGGGGTTTCATGCATAACTATATGGCAGCTTGTATCATTTTTGGGGGATCTTAGCGTGGTGTTTGAGCGCAATTACTATTTAGTGTCAGTCCCTGTGGGAGACGAGCTACCTGGTACCTACGGGCGTAACCAGGGAGGGTAGTGTTATATGCAATACGTTTCCAATTGATGTCGCGTGTATGCTTTTATAATTTGTAAGAGGTTTTATCCAGTGTTACTTATTACTACCATGTATTAAGCTTAGTTAAATTTCGTAGGCATCAAACTACTGTTAGTTTGAACGAAGTAATAGGTATGACCAGCCCTCCCTCCGCCAGCAATAAAGTTAGTAGCATATAAAACTTTGGCCTTAATCTGGCACTATGTAACCAGCAACCCCAGGAAATATATGGATTGTGTTCACTGCAAACATGAGATAGTAGATCTATAGCTGCATACTCTGCTTTTCTATATCAATTTCGCCGTAAGCTATGTTCTGGTTTCTCAACAACAGCACCTTGCTTCCTGGATCATTATTCCAAATTTAAGACTTGTATGTAAACGTCCTTGGCATCTTAACATCGCGGCTCCGATTCCGCGCGCCATCACTAGTCTATCCCCCTGAGTGTTTACTGCCGCACAACTGCGTCAAATTCTAGAAAAAAAACAAGACCTTCTTATGCTGTTGAATTATTTAGCCATCAGGCCAGAATTTTACCATCTTCCAGTCCGTAAGGCACGCCAAAATATGAGTGCATTTTTGAGGTATATGGGTTAGACCGGAGTAAGCAAGGATAACCAATTGCGTATTTCTCATTTGAAGTGCGAGTTTTTTTTTTCACAATGCTCATTTACTATCTATTTCTCGTAGTGATATAAATGTCTTGAAACAAAAGACAGGTCACGCTGACTATCAATCCATACACCTCCCCCGCATCTCCAATCCACCCATCCACAATATTCATCCAACGCCTCCAAAGAAACCAACCGGCCGGTCAAAACTTCTTCTTCATCGAAGCTCTAGCAAACTTGATTCTCACAGTGTCCACTTCATTTATTGGGGGGTTAGTTAACATTTCGCCCTACAGCATCCCCTCTTTATCCCTTTTCACCCTCCTTTGCACATATCTGGCGATATTTCTCTTATCCAGACACTACCCCGTCGCACCGAGTAACCTTCTAGGAAGCACATGCCAATTAAAACACTCTGTGCGGCTTCATCGGCAATGGCGTCACGTTGAATGTCAACTGTCAGTGCCGGATTACGAGTGATGATTCGTTTGCGGTAAGCGAGGAGTGTATCTTGGAATCTAGCGAGGAAGATGAGAAGGGGGGCGTGGGCCACGGGATTCTCGGTGGCGGTCGTGTGAGGTGCGTTTGAGAGGTGTACGGGGATGAATGCATATGCTGGAGTTGAGGTGCGCTAGACTAGGTGGGTGTGGTTGGGGTGTGGTTATGGTTATGGCTATGGCTTGGGAAGGAGAGGTTGATTCTTGTATTACTGGTAGGAGAAGATATGAGAGTAATTTTTTAGTGCAGGTTGTGTTGGGTGTTTTTTTTCTTGGTAGCTGGGGATGTTGAGCAAGTGTGATGTTGAAGAAGCTTTCTCTGTACTTTGTTTCGTAATTACGTATTATTCGAAGTTACTCTGTTTGAAAAAAATTAGCAAGAGAGTCAGTACCTTTTACATCCCAAAGGGCAGCTATTTAGATCTCTGACTATTGTTACTTTAACGCGATCATAAGGCTGTCTTTACAGGAAATAACATGTGTAGTATCAGAGGACTACCTTTTGATATCTACATGCGACCTTTCATGCGTAGTTAAGTGCATCGAACAGATGATGAAGAGCCAGCAAAGGCATAGGAAGGATTTCGCTTTTAGATAACGTCTACCTCTTCTTTCATCCCTATAGCAGCTTTCTAAAGATCCCCGGACGAGACATTCGCTGAAAGTTCTGCGACAGGCACGTCTATCTGTCACAAATACCGGCTTCGGCTTTTGTAGCTAGATACAGGCTCTGTGTATATTCATATCTTAACTCAACGACACATTCGCAGCCCACAAATCTCTTACTGTCAGAGAAAAGGGCAGGGAAAACCGAATCTAGCAGATCTCCATAGCTGAAAGTGCGAAAGACATGGCCTCACGCTACGTGCTTGCGCAAGGATGCATTTTCCGCTTCTGGTACTATCCCAACGATAGGTCCTAGAACCATGTGTTACTTTGGAGACATGCAGTCTTCTCTACGTTGAGAGATTTGCGCAAGTCGAGGTGCAGAATGTAGCAAATGAACCTTAAATGAAAATTATTGAGCCGCAGGAGGCAAATTTGTTGCGGCCTATGTGAGCGTGGTGAAGTAGTGATGGCTGCAAATACTTGGAACGGGTTTGCTTCCGAAGAGATGGCAATGCTGGGAGAAAATCGTGTTAAATGTATTTGTCTGACGTTACCTCTTTCTCACGGCAAGATTGTAGTATAGTCATTACTTTAGTGTATGCAACGCTAACTGCATCCAGCGTCGGGTATGACTCTAGGCGTTGGTACCACTGTCCCCACATTCGCTTGACATCTTGAACTCTTTGCACTGTTTTCTATCTGATATCACTTGGGTTATAAATTGTTTAACATCAAATTTTGCCATCTTGAAATCAAGTTCAGCAACAAAAGCTGCTTGGCGCAGCGGAAGCGCGCCGGGCTCATAACCCGGAGGACCTCGGATCGAAACCGAGAGCAGCTATGTAGAACACGTTTTTTTTGCTTTTCTTTTATTGTTCTGAGTCGGTGGTGGAGCGTTGGGAAGAATCGGGTGGATGCTTGGCCCTGTGCTCTCGTTCTATAATCTTTTTTTAAACCAATTGTAGGATTTCTCATCTATAACTAGTTAGTTTGCTTTTGTTTCATTATGACCACTCTGATTGAGATAATACGTACACGTACAAGTTGTGTAAAATGACCAATTTGTATGAGTAAATGTTGAAGCTGACAAGTAAAGTTTGCTGGACATATCATTCGAATAGAGATCAGATGAAAGATGTCTGATGATGTTTATATAAGTAGGGAAATACGTTAAGAGTATGAAAGCACACATCAAGTCTCCAGTTACAATTCTAGTGTAAACAGTATCTCAATCGTATATTCACAATATTATTTCTACAACTTTGCCTTTTTCCCGCCCGCAACGCCCGTAACGGGAGCACCCGACAGCAAGAAATCCGGGTACTCGAACCCGCCGCTGAAGCCAGCGGTATGCCACGCGCCACCATCGACAACAAGGGTCTCTCCGTTTACAAAGTTGCCGGCATCTGAGAACAAAAACACGGTGGCATCAGCGATTTCCTTGACGGTACCCCATCGGCCAATGGGAACTGTCTTCGCCGCCTTACTATCCGCCTTATTCGCCTCGGGTTTCGCCAACCGCGCCATTCCCTCTGTGCCAGCAATAGGACCTGGGGCGATAACATTCGACGTGATGCCCTTTGGCCCTTGCTCGATAGCCACAGACATGGCCATGGCATCCACACCGGCTTTCGCAACGCCGACATGCGACTGCAGCGGGGTCGCTGTGTAATGCAGGGTAGCGCTGACGAAGATGATGCGGCCGCCCGTGCCATTTGCAGGCTGCGTTGTACCATTTGTACGGTGTTTGGCCGCGGACTCGACGAGATACGGGAGTGTGGCTTTGACGGTGTTGTAGCTGCCCAGCACATCGATGTCGATGACGCTCTTCATGGCGTTTGCTGAGAGCTGGTCGATGGAGGCGAGGAAGTTGCCTGCGGCGCCTGCGATGACGAAGTCGATGCTGCCGAGTTCTTTGGCGCAGCGGTCGGCGGCTTGTTGCAGGAGTTCGGGCTTGCGCACGTCGACGGCGCCGATGCCCAGGACTTTTGCACCGGGTCGCGCGGTCGCGATGTCGCGGGCCATGGCTTCGGTTTTCTCGACGTTGCGGCCGATGATGCAGGCGTTTGCGCCTAGGGCGACCATTGCGCGGACTTGGGCGCTGCAGATGGAACCTGCGCCGCCAGTGCAGAAGAGGACTTTGTTGTCTGGTGGGCCGGGTTAGCGGGATGGACTGGATGGAAGGAGGTGGTGTGGGAGATTATACCGAAGATGCCATCCCTCCAGACATTGCTCATGTATGAATATCTCTCCGCAGGCATGGCGTGTGGTGTTTTCCAAGCTGGTAGCCTGTTCTTGTTATGGACAGGTTGTTTGTGTTCGAGGCTCGAGGAGAACGTGTAGTGGGTAAGGAAGAGCGCGATGAACAGGAACTGCGTTTGAAGGAAGAAGAGAAGCTACAAGTTTGAAGACACAAGTGGTTGAAAGTATAAGGATGCTCGCATCGAGTGAATATTACGGCCGCAGCGATCGGTGACCGGGGAGCCGAGGTACGACGATGCAAGCTAGGAATAGTAGTAGTCATCTTGGAGGAAAAGGCACTCTGGTGAGACATTGGCCACGCGCGACACGTTCGTCTCAGCGTTCAAGTAAAGCCAGGAAAACACAATGTCAGCTAACATGTTTATCGCAAACTTTAAGCATGTGAATCCGGGGCGTCTTTTTCTTATTGGCAGTAATAACGGGCGGGCTGCATTCGCATGTGCTCTCCTCCGCATTTGGTCTGCGGGCACGAGAGAGAGCTTGGACCACCGGGACTGGTTCCGCATCAGCTCCGCAATTTGCATGCCAGCACTCGGAGTGGGCTGAATCATCGTCATCGTCATCACCAGACGGATCACCACCACAACAGAAAAGACTCGAGTATCCCACGCCATTGGAACGATTGCCGTCATCACAATGTCGGCCCAGACAGTGTCGATATGTAAATTCGTCGGCACAATCACCCTGGGAATCGCGACGGTACGTGTGCAACAAGCCCGCCGCCACCTTGGCTGCGTGATGGATGCTTCGCTGCGGGAATGAGACACCGGGGCGTCGTTCTCTGTACAGCTGGTGCATCAGTGACTGTAGCAACAAGAAAGAGACATTCAAGATCTGACAATCCTCAGGGTGTTTCCGCAACCCTTTCCACAACCGCATTCCCCGCACTGCTCGCCCTCCCCACTGCCACAAACGCACGCACTTCACTTGCCTACCTGTCCAGGCAGTCTTCCTGGCTATCGTCATATCTCCGCCATGTCACCACGTTTACCTTGTTCTCCGCCTATGTACTGTCGCCGCGACGCTTCCGCCATCCCTATCTGCTCTACACGTCCATCTTCGCCTTCATCTCCGGTCCGGGTGTCGACTATGCTGTGACTGCCATGGAAGGATCAGATGAGAAGAGGCAGGTCATGGAGCTAGAGGCACAGGGTGAGGAGGTTAACGGCGAAGAGGTCAGAGAGTTTGTTGAGAGGAGACAGAGGACCGAGTTGATCAAGACGGGATTAGCGGGAGTGGCATTCGCAATGCAGGTTGTTGGTCTATGGGGTGATGGTGCTTAGATGGACTACGGAAGATAGAGATGCCGTAAATAGGGGCATGAGAAGATAACGTGTGCACGACCGAGTAGGTACAAGGAGAGATGTTTTTAAGTTTTGCAATGAGTTGGGGGCTATCGGATGGCGACTGGTGTAGCATTTGTTCCGGACTCTCCTATCTTTCCCTGCTTTTTTGGAATATTCATCCCATATACGGACATTAGCGTGTCAATCTGCTTTGCTCTTAGGGTCCACCTTGTGTAACATGCTTCAACCTCGCAAACCATGTCCACTTTCCGCCAAGTGATACTGTCAAACAGCGTGTGCCCTTGTCGGAACTGACACGGAGTTTCGAAGAAACAAACGCGCTGGAAATTTGCGCAGTAGATAATTTTGCCATGGCATCCAGGCACCTGACTCGATCCAGTGACGTGATTTAGGGGGATGCTGTCCCAGGACATGGTTCTCAGCCTTGCAGCCTGGCAGCCTGAGAACAGAAGTCACCATGGGCAACCGCAAGAGATAAACTACCACCATATGGCGTGAGCGCAAATTGTCGCGGTCCAGACTTTATCCAACCATGCTCGCACTGTTTCATGTGAATTGAGGCTGCAATTGTTTACGAGCAATCTGACCGGACTGTCGCGCCGCAGAATACACAGACCAAAGAGTTTGCTCTGCGCATCCATCTGCTGCCAGTCATAAGAGCGTTGTTGCCGTCAGGGTTCAATGGATATGCCGCTGCTAGGATGGCATGGTTCGGCGGATGATGCCAAGACGACTCTCCGATGGCCGGGATGGCAGGAATTGGACGGAAGCGGGAGAGCGCGGTAGCGTTCAATAGTCTCAGGTGCCAGGGTTGTGATGACGACCTGACAATAAATAGTAGGCTACCAGTACCTTTTTCGTATCTCACTCGCATCGTGGAATTTGTCTAGTTTCACGCTTGGCAGGCCCATTCCCGTGCTGAGCTAAGAAAGACACGCAGGTACCGAGTGCATATGGGATGCCTGGGGGATGCCTGGGGGATGCCTAGGGGCGCTGACCTGTTCTCTGCTGTTGAGTCTGGCGTTCGCGCTGCTGCAGGACTGATGCAAACATGACCGAGGAAGCAAGAGGGCAGTCGTCTCACCAGCGAGTCGATGACGGCAGTGGCTGTCGGGGCTCTGCTTCAACATGTACCGGGGACGACAATCCTCATCTCTTTGTGCAGAGTATCGCCTCTTGACCCAGCATTAATCCGGACGCGTAGCTCTGACCAGGTCCCCTGCCGATCGCGCTATCGATACTGGAGAGTTCGGACTGGGCCTAGCGGTGCGAGAAGCATCGCTTAGACAGAGGCAGTGGGCGCCTCATTGGCCGCAAGCGGACGGGGGCTTGCGTCATAATCCATCCTCGACGTGATCTGCCCGAGCCTCTGCCAAAGGCAAGCGAATGGAGCGAGCGAGGGTGGTCAAAGAGACAAGGAGTCCCAGGCCGCGTGTGCGCGCGTGCGGTGGCTGGCTCGCAGGCACTTGGCCGGACGACCCTTTAACTGCCAAGGCTGCCGTCAGTCCCAGTTTGTTTAGGCGTTCAGGCTAACAATTAATCCAGGTGAGAAATGAGGCAAGATAAGTGCCTATGGATGCCATACACAGCTGTAGTTCCGGAGCGCGTGGGCATGCTGAATTCATGCCGACAGCTGCTGATAAGCAAAACCGTCGGGTGTTATACATGCCGACGACTGGCATGCCGCCTCCCATGATGCCATGATGCTACCATGGGCCGTGTTGGGCGGGCGCGTCGCCCTGCCATGTTGGACGAGGACAGGGCATTGGCTGTGTGAGTGGTGGAGAAAGCGACGAGGCTTGACGCCGTTGCTTGAGAGTGTCAACGGCCCGGCGCCTTCTTGTCAGTTGAGCGCCTCAACAGGTTGCAAAGAGTCGCGCACGACGTGTGCTGGCTAAGCAGAGGAGACGACGTCTTGTCTGTCAAGGTAGTCTGTCGAGGACAAGCGGTGCAAGAGGCGCGGGTGCAACGATACGCCCGTTGGTTGGTTGGGCGAGGCATCGATCGTGACCCCTTGTGCAGGCCCCTTGCGATTGCTGCAGGCTGCATGCAACGGCCTGGCTCATGTAAGAAGGTCAGTAAGTAATCGTCGTAGACTCCTGCTTCTGATATTTGCTGCGAGGACTGGCTCGCCGTCCAACGCCACCACACCGTGCTAATCCTGCGCCGTGCCAGGTGATCAGCACACATCGCACACATGCACAGTCAAAACACGCTGCCAGTCCTGCGCTGTGCGGCATCCAACCATTCCATCTTTTCCCTTGTCTCTTCACACTTTCGTTGTCGTACTTGACCCTTACTCTCGTTTGGCTGTCCACGCAGACTAGAAGCCCTTCGTTTATACATAGTCATCAATGCGGCGCCGCCCTGATGGTTACTTTTGATCCTTCTGTTTGACATAGTGCTTTCATCTCCGGAGAACACGCCGCCGCGGTGCCACTAAGCACAGCAGCAGCACCACCACCGCAGCAAAAGCAAGAGAGCTCCTGCCCATCCCGACCTCGTCGCCGGTCTGTGTATCCCCCATCCAAAGGTACTCGCATTTGTCGTGGAATCCAGGCGCGGCGAGGAGCCTGTTATACGACCTATAGGGCATCATTTAACCGCAAGCACCCAACCCAACCCCGGCCCGTCATCCAAGTACGGAGTCGGACATTGTTGGCACAAAACAAGGAAGACGGCAGCTCGAGTCAGGCTGTGTGCCTAGTGCGGAAGAGGCGGAGGAACTAAAGGCCAAAGCGGGAGGGATCAGGACGTGGATAGTGCTCGAAGCAGCAGCACAGACCTTGGTATCGATTTAGCGCTCGTAAGTACGCCGCTCCACTAGCCTCCATCCCCAACAGAGCCTTTTCCTGGCCTACAACCCGCTGTGCTACAGCCCACACCCGTTCGACAACCCTCCAAGGCCAGCAATGCTAACCACAGTCTGAGCCAACAGAAGCTTCCCCCACCTCTCTCGCGCGCGCCCCGTCACCTTCTTGCATCCGCTCACTGCACCTTGCACCTGCATTCTCGAGAGCGCGTCCAAGAGTCCCAGCCACCATTCAGCGACCAGCCGGCCGACGGACCAAAGGCTGTACCACCTCACACCACAGCCACCCTCTCACCCCGCCTGCAAAACCTTTCTACCGCCCGCTTCATCTACTCCGTCTTCACTGTCTCCCTCGTTCGCCTTGTAGCGCCCTCCCGAGAACGGGGGCGTCCAATCGCTTTTCCCTTTCGGCGCCGTCTTTGTTGCGCTCAAAGACGCCACCGCATTTGCTTCATTCACGTCGCCGAGTGACTCCCCGAATCTTGCGCAAACTTCGACTTGTGCCGACGTACCCCCTTCGACCACAATCCCAGACTTCACAATGGACAACCGATTCACGTCAACGCTCTTTGGCTTTGTCGCCCTCTCTACTCTCTTGCTCTCCATACAGCCTGCCGGCGCCGCAGACTGGACGTATTCATACTGCTCTTCACTAAATACTGGAGAGCAAAACACAGCCTGTAAGTTCTCCTGCCTGTCCTGTGCGTCATGCAGCCTCTAACCTATCAGATACCTGGCCATATCAGTCCAATGGTAACTGTACCAACCATTGCAAAGAGGAAGGAGGAGGTTCATGGGCGTTTGCTGTTATCCAATACACCGACTGCTGGTGTTCCAACTATGTGCCCGGAGACACAACAAGCACCAGCGACTGTCTGCAGGATTGCCCTGGCTTCCCCGACGAAAAATGTGGTAACAAGGACGAAGATCTTTACATCTATGTTGAGATGGATGGCCAGCCATCCGGTACTGAGGGAGGCTCGCAGCCCTCCTCTACCGCGGCTGCACCTTCCAAGCAACCACAACAATCACAACCACAATCGCAACAATCTACTGTTAGTACCTCATCTCTTTATCTCTCCAACCCTGCCCCCTTCCCTTTCATTAGTCAATCTACCTCAAGGTCTCCCTTGGCTGTACGTGCACAATTACAAGCTATCGGTGTTTGACCTTCTGGTAGTATGCTCCACCTCCTGCACAAGTGGTAACGAGCATTGTGACGCAGAAAGCAGAGACTGTCGAGAAGACAGTCACTGCAGAGCCGGACCCTACTTCCTCATCCTCTTCGTCCTCCACTGATGTACTTCGCTTCCAACCTGATCTGTCACCCCAAACTAACATCTGCTACAGACCATGAAACCATCGTCTACGCCAGCTCCTTCCCGAACCCAGGAGCCCGTCACAGTGCCAACTCTAGTTACCGAAAGTGGAAATGTCGTCACCCGCACGGTCGTCATAACACCATCGGCCCCGGCCTCTGCCCCTGCAAATAATGACTCGAAAGATTCACCCAACGTAGGTGCTATTGCTGGTGGCGTAGCTGGTGGCATCGTTGGTCTACTCGCCATCATTGGTATCGTTTTCTTTGTCTTGTGGAAGAGGAGGAGGCAACAGCGCGAGGAGCAAGAAGGCGGTGGCGGCATCCAACGCAATGTCAGCACTATGAGCAGAGCTGGTTTGCTTGGAGGACGTGCTGAGAAGCCGCCTACACCCCTTACCACAACTTTTAGTTCACAACGCAGCCGATCCAACGAAGAGTCGATAACGCCTATCACTCCATCAACCCGCAGATTAAGTCAACCAATTTTAGTCGACTCTCGCCTCAATCCAGCTGCTGTTCTCACCTTTCACGGTGCCAACCTAAGTCGAGAAAGCTTAGGTAGCATTGATGATAGCCGGGACTATGGTCGCCAGTTGAACGTACGGAATCCAGATCCGTAGAGAGTACGAGACTTTGAACCCACAATTCCATGCACCATCTGGATCGGCACTTAACCAACATGCAAAGCGTCCCCGGAATAATACCAAAAATTCGAAGCTAGCCCCAGCGATCCTCAGACAGAAGTTGGGGCACGACTCACGAACACACAAGCATGCTCTTTTCGCACTAGCCAGGTGTAATATTTAAGCAGCGATACACTGACGTCAACTCCATTTCATTATCGTCTTTAGTCTTGCGACAGTTCATTGCCAGGACCTCGTCCATCAGTTTTCTTTATACATCCTTAAGGCACCTGAGCCTGTGTACTATATCCTTCCTTTGACTGCAATTTCGTTGGGCAACAATGTACATATTTAGACTGGGCGGGAGAAATGGCACAAAAGCGCCTTGCTGCAATAGCACAAGGGACACAAGCCATAAACAAATGGCAGATAGCAAGGCAGAGAAAGAGAAAGATAAATTGTTTTTAATTAGGTGAGAAATGGGACTGTTGCGTGAGTACAGATACCACGCAACTGCATCACCAGTCTGTAACTGAATGTACACATCACCGTCCAATATTTCATTGCAGATAAACACGTCATATCCGTTAATCGATCATCAGTATGCATTCTTTACGACTTTGACAAGATCCATTGTTCGTATGTGATGATTGCCAAGACGCTAACGGCTCGTTGCCTGTACTTGGGGTAGTTTTTAGCCTTTCTTCTTCGCATAGCCTCTGTATGTACCATATATCATGGAAGCTCTTCCAAACGAATTGTTACTGGAAATCATCAAGCAGCTGTTTCTCAAAGCATTCAGTACAGCTTTAAACATTGGCCTCGTCAACCGACGCTTGCATCGCCTTACCAACGAGCTCCTGTACAACACATACTCTTTGGATCGTGGAAACCCAGCCCTGTTTATACGTACCCTTGCGTCCTGGCCTGCCCATACACGACGCATCCAAAGTCTGGAATGGGATTGTCGGCCTGTGCACAACAACTCTCTGGTCACCAACGATGCTTTTCGACTCCCTGGTGATTTGGCACCAATAGAACGTCGTAACATCGCAAAAGCGTTAGGCTCAAAGAACCCCAATGAGACGGACGACCTGAATTCTATATTGACGGATGCCGGGACAGACGCATATCTAAATTTATTCCTATCATTCGCACCGGATGTATGCGACATCCGAGTTGCAATACCTTCCAAATGGAGTTACCACATGGTTTGGTTCACGCCGTCGTTAGATCTTCGAATTCTATCCAATCTCAATAAAGCATATATTGTTGGTCCGATGCGCATTCGGAATGTCATTCCCCTATTCCTGCTACCTTCACTACGCAGTTTGACTTTGGACCATGTGGCACACGATAGGAACCGTGTACTACCCGGCACTTTCATATGGTACGAGCATGATGCAATCATTCAAAGGCTACGGAAAGAAAAGTCGTACGTTGAGAGCTTTCATCTACAGAAATGCAGCACCGACACAGTAGAAATAACTCGGTTGATGCCATTTTTTGCTCATCTTAAAACATTCGAGTTTGAATTCACAGGCCATGACAAAGATGAAGCCAATACGACCATCACGCATATTATGCGTTCCATCACAAACCAGTCAAATTCGCTTACATCGCTGTTTCTCAAAGACTTTCGCCTAGCACTAGATCCGACCGCATTGAAAGGACTAAGCAAGCTTGAGCATATGGATTTCCTCCTTCTTGATATTACCATGATGTGCGGCTCTTATTTACAGAACACCACAGTCCAATCGCTATCGAGTGTTTTGCAACACTTGCCCAAGCGTCTTCAACATCTTCACCTCATAGCCAACGATCCCGATGGGGACGAGCTGAAACCTTCGACTGGATTTACTGATGCATTACATGCAATTCCACCAATAATAAAGTCTATATTACCCGCCTTACACACACTGAAAATCGTCGACTGGGACCCATTACTAGGTACTTTCACCTGCCAAACACAGGTCAAGGCTATTCAGCTAGCATTTGCAGAGATTGGAGTGGATTTTATGTGGCAGCCACGCGATATTCTCATCAATGAGAGTAACGAAAATGATATAATTACTCTGGAAGGGAAAGAAGAGGGCTGGATATGGGTTCAGTGGGTGAATAGCGATGAGTTGTGGAACGAGGGTCGTAATGACGTTTAGACGCACCAGACCTTTTCATCTGCAATGATGCGACAGAAAATCTGACATCAATTCTTTGCATCTGTGATACTATATCTTGTCAAGTTCGAAAAGTATAGACGCCTAAAGAGCGGGGGGGGCAAGAATTATCCGGTGCCTGCGACCCCTTTTGGCTAGTTACTCAGACATTGAGGCTCAACTGCACACGCGCCACGCGTTCCCACTTTGGCCCACCTGTACCCTGAATCTCGACCGCAACGCGACCCACGACCACGACACTCCCTCTCACCCAACACCACAATCAATTTTGACAATATATCTTCTTGTGCGATCGCATAAATTTCTAGTTGCCCATCATGAGCAAAATGTGGGAGGTGGATCCGGAGACACGGAGCAAGGTAGGCCGATCACTATACCAGTCTGTGGAGGTGGGGGGTGCTAGGGATCAAATGCGGAGATGGAAGCATAGCACAGTTAAACAATGGGGCCTGTGAAGATTCAAAAGCTAATTCGCTCTACTTACAGTTGCTGGAAATCCAAAAGACAAACGACAACAACAAGTGTGTCGACTGTAATGCGCCCAGTCCACAATGGGTACGCAGCCACCCACCCGCTTTCTGGCCAGGCATGCGAGCAGCGACTAGACTTACTGATACCTCTTGTTTTAGGCCTCGCCCAAACTCGGTATCTTCATGTGTCTCTCCTGCTCCGGCGTCCATCGCGGTCTAGGTGTCCACATCTCCTTCATCCGCAGCATTACCATGGATGCTTTCAAAGGCTCAGAACTGGTGCGCATGGCTGCTGGCGGCAACAAACCCTTCCAAGACTTCTTCAACAGCCACGAGTCGAACACGAAAGAAGGACGCACATTCGAGTCGTCAACCATACAAGAGCGATACGATTCAGAGGCGGGCGATGAGTGGAAGGAGAGGCTTAGCTGCAAAGTTGAGAACAGGGAGTTTGACAAGAGCAACCTGCCTAAGCGGTTACCGAAAAAGGAGAATGCTTCTACAGCTGGTGCAGGTGCGCCATTGAGTGGACGAGCCAGCGCAGCAGGGAGCAGAAGTCAGACGCCTTTGGGCAAGGCACGAGGTAGTGATGCAGGCTTTCAGCGGTCAGGATCACCCGCCCTAGGTACAAACGCCATGTCGCAAAAATCCAAGAACGAAGCCTACTTTGCGAAGATGGGCCAAGAAAATGCTAATAGGCCGGAGGGCATTGCGCCCAACCAGGGAGGAAAATACGGTGGCTTCGGCAGCGAGCCGGATTCGTGGAAGAAGGACGATGAGCCTGGTGCGCCGCCTGCGCTTGATGACTTCCAGAAGGACCCGGTTGCTGCGCTTACCAAAGGTTTTGGATGGTTGGGCGCCAGCGTAAGCAAAGTAGGCAAAACAGGCTATGAAGGCTGGGTGAAGCCCGGAATGGCAAAGGCATGTTTTGCGCTGCAGTATTTCAGTAAAACCCTGCGACTAACTATCCTCTAGCTTGCCGAAGCTGACCTCGCAGCTCAAGCCCGGAGCACCGCCGGCACCCTAGGCCAGACCCTCCAATCTGGCGTCGCAACTGCTAATACGCAGTTTACGCGCTTTGTTGAAGGGGACGATTCTTCGTCTACCGCACGCCGTGGCGCTCCCGAACCCGAACGCAAAGACTTTTGGGAAAGCTTTGGTGCGGCACCCAAGGGACCGGCAAAGGACAAGCAGGACTTTTGGGACGAGTTTGCTAGCGCCGGTGAGGCAAGGACCAGCACGACTATGGAAAAGAAGAAGCCCAGTGGTATTGGAACAAGTGCTATGAAGAAGAGCGGTGGCAGTGGTAGCATGGGTGGATCAGCAAAGAAGGATGATGAGTGGGACAAGTGGTAGAAGCACGAATTCGCACGTTGACATGAGTCCATGGTGGGAGTTGGTTGAGGTTGTATAAGGCGTTTGGGTTTCAGAATACGCATGTGTTAGGGAGGGGAACTGCTGAGTAACTCATTGCGCTGGACTCGAAGCGAGTAGATGGCAAGTATTGTTATTTCATTACATCACCTGTGTCCCGTGGTCTTGTCTTTGTTGTTTTCACTAGCTGCCCACTGTCACACATAGTAGACCGTCATGTTGGTATGCATCGATAGTCTATGGGTTGAGCCTGTTCATACACACGAAGCTTATTTTGTTGCAACCTTGAAATCTTGAAAGCATTCTTGCAAATTTCGTCTTTATGTAGGAGAGGTTCAATTCCAACGGATTCAACCACATTCACTATACCGAGAAGCTGAGTTGTACTTGTTCCACTGTCTGCTTCCTCATGCTTTATTCTAGTATGGAGCGGATTCCTGCAACATTGATTGAGCCAACAACGCGGGGATGATAGTTACACCAATTCAACAGTACCATTCAATGATGAGCAGTCGAATGCCTGACATGATGACAGTCTTGGTTTAAATCATTCTCTATAAGACGTCCATATTGTTATGCCAGATACATCGCCCCATCAACTTATGATGCCATCCGGCGATGCAACCGTACTTGATGAGCCGGTATAGACACCTCTCGTTTTTAATCAAAGAATGGATACGTTACTGAAATAACATAAGATCATAAGATCTATCAAAACACGGGCTTGTCCGGCTTCAAATTGTTCGCTACCATATCTGTGTGTTGGTACCGCCCGTGCTCAGTGTCTCCATCGCAACGCCCCGTTGGCGATATACCCTGCAAAGACCCTTTGTACCAACAACTTGTACGCAGAGATTGCATCACCAGTAGTTAAATTGGGCATATGGATTGCGTGAAAAGTTGATTCATGTTTCTTGGCGAAAGGGCTTGCAAGAAGAAGAGATGCACTGCCCCTCCATATAAATCCCTCCTTCAATCCGCCATGTCCTGCTTCTTCTTCTCTTTCTTCTACAGACAACTTGAACTAACAAGGGCTCATTCCTGGGAACACTAACGCTTGGTAGGTGAGACTTCACGTTGAGATCTGAGGATCGTGTTCAGGATACACGTTCTCTCTCTTCTCCTTCAATCACTGCAAGATAGTCGCGCTAACACATTGGCAGTAAACGTACATACACGTCAAGGTAACTAATTCTTTACTTCCACAAACTCTCTTTGGAAACAAAGATAGTTTTATCCCCTTTTTTTCTTCATGTATGACGTGATTACAAACTGACACGAAACAGCAGCCACCAAGCATGTTCCGCTTGCTGAGTGCGATCTTCGCACTCCTCATAGCCCTCGCCCAAGCCAAGCATGAAGGCCTCCGCCTCTATGCCTTCACCTCGGCCGACTGCAACGGGCCACCCATCTATGGGAATATCGACTTCAAGCGTGACAAGTGCACGTCGGTCGCATTCGGCGCGTCGAGCATCAAGATCGTGGAAAAGAAAAAGGGCGACTGGACCAAGGAAATCAATTCCGGACCAACGGGCTGCTATTTCTACGCATACACGCAATTCGGCTGCTTGGAGCGTTATCTCGACACTCTTGTGGATCCCGGCGATGTCATTTCTTCATGCATCCCGTCCAGAGACGCCAATGCCCCCATCATGTCCGTCTCATTCATGTGCATTCGTGGTGCGCCGCCGAAGCGAAGTCTGCCCCCGAGATCCGTCAATTGGACGCATGATACGAGCGACCCTGTCCAGTATATCAGTAGCAGGCCGCTAAAATGGCATACCCCGATCTTCGTTAACCAGACGGCGGGATTGAACGAGACGGGCAGGTCTGGTGACAATTTGACTACCAGGCACCGTGTATCTTCATTTTTTCTTCCACCGCCTGGATTCAACCTGACGTCGCAATCCAACTCGACTCCAGAGGTCAAACGTGGAAATTTGACCACTCTCCACTACGGGCCTCATTTTCCCAACAAACAGCCCGACTTCAACTTGACTGCAAAGATTGGCAACGGAAATATGACTGCTCGCCACCACGGACCGGCATTCATTAACGGGCAGCCCAACTTCAACAATGGGAAGCCCAAGACCACCGAGGGCAACTTGACGGTTCGGCACTATGGACCAGCAATTGTGGATGGAAAGCTCAACTCCAGGTCTACACCTGGGTCGAACAAGGAAACTTCCTGGAACGAGACTCAACCTGCTGTTGAACAGACAGCTGAGCAAGATGTAGCAGTCGCAAGTAAGACGATCGCGCTCGAGTCAGTCGTGTTCAACCCAACTGCATTTAAGACGGTCATAATCGAGCCAGCCATGGAAGGGCGAGCAGTGGCCGAGCCAGTCGCCAACAAGACTACTGTTCACAACAGCACTGAATTCAATGATTCAGACAACGATTCAGACAGCGACTCAGACTCAGATGATGACGACCTACCAGCCGGCAACTCCACCACCCCCAACAAGCGCGCGATCGTCTGGCAAGGCCCCACCCGCGGCGTCTGGATGCTTCACCCCTGGACCGGCAGCATCATATGCTACGAATGCTACGCCCGCACCGAAAAGTGGCTCAGCTATTTCGAATGCCGCGCCGGCCCTATGAACCCTGCCGACTGCGGCGAGCGGCCCCTCGCCCCCGTCTACACCAAAACCGTCTCCATCCAGCCCGTCGTCACCGTCATACCCAACGACTCGGGCCCCCTAGTCAAGCGCTCCTGGCACCGCCCCGTCTACATGCATAACCCATGGTACCCGGGCATGACCGTCTGTGCCACCGCCAAGTGGCAGGGCCGCGGCAAGAAGCTCGACCAAGGAATCAAAATCAAGCATCCAAAGGCCAAGCTACGCAAGTGCGAGAAGTCGCCCGACGCCCAGAATATCGCCATTTATATCCGTACTGCTACCACGACGGAGCCGGTGCGTACGGTCAGTCTTGTGGATGTTAGGGATCTCGACTCCCCGCGTCCCGTGCCGGCGACCTCTACCAGCAGCAGCAGTAGTAGCAGTAGTGCGCTTCCTACTACTGTTGTTGCGACAAACGTGCCGGTTGTCGTCATGTCCAGTGTCACGGTTGTGCAGTCTGCGTCTTCGAGTAGCAGCGAGACGTCGAGTTCGCCGTCGCTGAGCATCCTCAAGTTTACGATTCCGACGTCGACGTCGACGGCTATGGCGACAAAGACACTGGTTGTGTCTACGGAGCCGGAAGCGAAGCCTACGCTTGCGACTGTCATGGAGCAGAAGTATAAGACGATAGTGATTTTGCCAGAACAGGATGGTTAGAAGAAATTGTGAGGATGGGGATGGGATTCTCGGAGGGGTTTAGGGGGGGGGAAGGGAGAAAGGAGGGTGGAGTGGGGACAATTTTGGTAGCGGGATGGATTTTCTATGTCACGGAGTATTCTTTTTTTTATCAGTAATGATAGCTTTCAAATTATAGATGTGAAGTAGACTCTCATGTTTTGATTACAGGTCTGGGCTGCATGTTATAATTATTTCTCTCCTCTTGCTCTATTCCTTTCCCGTCTTCTCTCTCGCTCTGCCTTTCTTGCTTGATTGAAACTCGGCACCGCGCCTTCCTCATCAAGCTTTGCCTTTTCCAGACTCTTCTCGTCAATATCGTCAAGCAAGAACCGGCCCATGTTGCCGCTTCTCCACTTCTGAATCAGCCACAACGAGGTCGCTTCCGTGTCTATCGCCCCGCCTTTTCCTAGCCGTCCCGTCTTCTTTGCAATCTCGGAGAGCAGCTCAATGATTTCGTTCGTGGGCGGCGCGTACTCCGAGTACAGCGTAGGCGACTGGAGATTGAGGTGGTAGAGCAAGTAATCCGCGAGCATGACGGGCGGGATAATAGTATCTTTGACAGAGCCGCATAGCGCCAGTTTCATCATTGCTTCTGCATCTGGCACATACGGGATAAAGACTCCTGGTGTGTCGAGAAGGTAGACACCTCCGCCCACACCTTGCAGTTTTCTTCTCGCACCAACATCTACAGACTCTACGTCGTCCTCACTTGGGATAATTTTGACACCGCTACTGCTGACTTTGCGCGTAACACCGGGCTGTGCACCCGTAGCAGCGACTTTGCCCTTTCCGATTCCTTGGGCGCGCAAAGCGTTTAGAAGCGTGGACTTGCCGACATTGGGCATACCGACGACCATGACTCGATGACCGACCAACTTCCACCTCTTCTGCGCATGCTCTCTCAATAAATCCAGAAGTTTCATCACGCTCTTACGACCGCTAGCTTCGCCCTCGGCATCCTTGCCGTTTCTCACAAACATGGTTGGGGTGGGATGGTGCCATTGTGCAATCACATGCTCATTACGATTGTCGCGGGAGCCGCCCCCTAGATCGCGCTTCGTGTACACGATTACTCGCTCTTTGCCTTCTAGGGCGCTCTCGAAGAGCGGATTGCGAGAGGTTAGTGGTACGCGGTAGTCGCGGCACTCAATGACGAGGTCGATGGTGGCGAGTAGTGATTTCATCTTTTGCAGCCCGGATTTGTGGTGGCCCAGGAAATAGGACCGGGGCAGCGAGGGAATTGGCGGGAAGGCATGGCGCGGGATGAAGGACATTTGTCACATTTGCGTTGTGGTAGAGGTTCAAACTTGACGGTTCGGATGGAGTGTTGAATTCTTTGTGGTTCGAGTCAGGCGATTTACATGGCTTGGCGAGCTTGACTCGGCGGGATTCTTGAACAGAATGTCTCTCATGCGGCAGCGGATAGACCAGGAGAGATAGACCCAAGGAAGATAATCTGGGCATTGTGCTAGGATCCCTTGTTCGTTCGGCGCGACGTACATGCGCACAGGATACACTTCATGTACGAAGAGACCTAGAGATAGAGATCCTCGAGTTCCATCGTAGCAGCGCGGAGTTCGATTGTTCGATTCCGAGCAATCTGTTTCCAGACACAGCCACCACTATCACTTGCTTCAACAGACGCTTTCACGTGGTGCGTCCGCACGCGCATAAGTCGGTACGAGCTGCAGAAATGGTCTAATCAAGACTGAAGAGCAAGCCTCAATTCGTCAGGGCAGACGAGGCTGGCCAATGGTAAACTTGAGCAGAAATACTTTTTAGAGAACGGCCCAGCACAAAGTGCCGCCGTTGTGGTCTGCATCCTAGCTACATTAAGCTAATCGTACAGCTCAGTCCTCTTGGCGGATTACCTGGCCTTGGGCGCCAGTAAGACGAGGTTTCTGGTAGCCCGCCAGCCTTGTTGGCTGCCTACCACCCCCAGTGCTGCAATGTGATTCTAATGGTTGCTTTTTAAAAGTAGGAATACAGCATCTGGGCTACGAGATAGTAATTGGAGAGGTGTTTGTTGTGACGGCGTTCCTCCGTTTAGCTTCCAAGCACACATTGTCATACTAGGGTATGCCCTGCAAAAGTTCAACCAAGTTTGATGTTGTACAAGAAGCCCGGATAGCCTGGATCTAGGATGTTGACCCCCACGAGGCTCAAAGACAATGGCCAGGGCCCTAATGCAAGTCTTCTCCGCATATGCAGGCTGCGCACGAGCCACTCCTGGGCCGCCAAGACACTAGCGCGACGCGCGCGAATCTCTCCATTGTGACGTTGGCAGCCAGCCTGGTCGCAACTTTAACCTCTTCCTCCACCTATATTTTTTCCCAAAAAATAGGGTTCCCATAAGATACTAGTTGCTTATGCGACCACCACTCTACCAAATTGACCACTGCTAAACAGACCGACCCGGCAATGGCGGACTACAATAAGCAGACAGTCGCGCAGCTGCGACAGATACTAAAAGACCGAGGCATACCGAGTACGGGCCTGACGCGAAAGGGGCAAATTATCGAGAAACTTGAGGAGGCAGACGGAGCTTTGGAAACTCCCAATGCGCCTACTGAGCCAACCCCACAGGTTGAGGAAGTAAGCGCGAAGCAAGCCATCCCCGAACCAGAAGTACCTGGGCCCGCCCTCGCAAAAGCCGGAGGTAATTACATACCCAAAGACTTCATGCCATTGACGACTTACCAGAAATAGAGCCTGAAGCGCAGCCTGAACCCGAACCCGACACTGTGCCTGTGCCTGTGGCCACGACGGACTCCTTGCCAGAGACAGTATCACACATAGATAGCGACGTTCCACCGCCAGACCGGACTCAAGTAATCGAGCAGCCAGCAGAAGCTGTCACTGAAGCCGATGGGCCAGGTTCAATACAGCCAGCAGGGATCTTCAATGCACCCCCTGCGGATCCAGACAGCGTAGTGGGCCCGACGGTCACTGAGCCTGCAAATGCGGAGGTCGAGGATGGAAACGAAGAGAAGATTACAAAAGACGAACTGCCGGAAGCACCCGGCCCAGCCGCCGAGGCCCTGCGATTGGTACATCATGACCCCGAAGCACCCAGAGATTCGCAAGACATTACAATGGACGAGAGGCCAACTCCGGCTACACTCAATGAGCAAGAATCAGTAGAGAAGCCGGATATTGCCACTGGGTCTGAGCATTCGCCAGACGAGACATCTAGACTCAACACCGAAGAACTCGAGGCTGACTCTAAGAAGCGAAAAAGGCGCAGTGAGACACCGGAGATGAAGGTCCAAGATATCAGAGCCAAAAAGCATCGACCAAGCGAAAACCCTGCGCCCGAGGTACATTTTAAAGAAGATGAAGATGTAGTGATGGAGCAAAGACCGGTGGATGAAGATGATCATGTAACAGATGTCAAACAGGACCAAACGAATGGCCACCACGCTCCATTACCAGAAGCAGACTCCCCAGCGGCTGGGGCCGATGCAAAGCACGAAAGAAAAGAAAAGGCAGCTCGATACAAAGACTTGGTAAAGTCTAGTGATAACGAAACACTACAGGAAGCTTTGACTGACGATCGACCGACGGTGCCCGCACTCCACCCAGTAACATCAGCTCTGTACATTCGTAACTTTATGCGTCCGCTGCGTCCGGAACCACTGCGTGCACACTTGGCTTCTCTCGCCTCTCCACCTTCTAGCTCACCTGACTCCACAATCGTCAAAGCTCTTTTCTTGGATGCAATGAAAACACACGCTCTTGTCTTGTTCAGTACTAAGACTGCTGCGTCCCGAGTACGAGCGTCATTGCACGGTTCGATATGGCCACCAGAGGGGAAGAGGAAGGAACTATGGGTCGATTTCATTCCTGAAGAAAGCGTTGAGAGCTGGATCAAAGAAGAGGAGGATGCAGTGGCTGCCGAAAAGGAAGCTCGTGCCAGTGGAAGGTCTATCAATCCGAAACGCTTTGAAGTTGTGTATTCGGAATCTAGCAATGGTTCAGTCACAGCAGTGTTCCAGCAAGTCGGTTCCAACGCTCCCGCAAATGCACCAAGAGGCCCACGTGGAAGTGAAGATACACGTCATCCGTCCGTTCATCAGCGGCCCTCAGTGCCAACAAAGGATGCTCGTCAAGATACCGAGGCCTCGTTCAAGACACTCCACGAACTCTTCGAATCGACACAGTCAAAACCACAACTATTCTACCTCCCCGTATCAGACGAGATTTCTGAAATCAGACTGAAGGAATTGGATGCTGAGACAAGCCGAGACTGGGCACCGGGCGAGGTCAGAAAAGGCAGAGGCATTAAAACAGAGATGAAATACAAGTACAGCTTCGACGATGATGATCGTATCGTAGAGGTTGGTGAAGATCGCGGCCCATGGAGTGAAGGATACAGAGGTGGCAGGGGTGGTTTCAGAGGACGAGGCAGAGGAGGCGGGTTCCAGGGTAGAGGTGGCGACCTGTGGAGGGGATGAACAGGGGTGTCGTTTGTACTGTATCAAATCTTGTATATTATACTGTATCCCATTGGATTCTGCCGCCCAGACAGCGCGTTAGTACTAGAATGGAGAAGGCCTCTCATCATGGCAGTGTAGATCAATAATACGTACTATACCTTCATCCTCTTGCGTAGGCCTTTCTGGATTGTCATTGGAAGGTAAAGACACAACTCGGTGTGCTTCTCCTTATCACGCGTGTAGCCTGTCTGTGCCATAAACGCTGCTGCTCTACACACCAATAACGACACCAACGTCATCGACATGAAAATCGAGCTACTGCTGCGCTAGCAGTCCCTCGTACTACTCCTTACAGCATCCTACACTCTCGGTGCTTTCGCATCACTTCCCCATACTCCGAGTCATGCTAGACCGAGCTGAGCGAGGGGCACCTCCGCAGACTTGCGCACGCGACTGCGGTTAGCTTCCGTGCGTACCTAGATCGTATTTGAGCCAGTCGCCCGCATCGAGCCCGCCTATCTCCAGCTCGACAGGATCCCTTCAAACATTGGCCCACGCATACGCATTGCACGACTTTGGAGGGATGCCTTCCAAATCAAGAGGTTTGAGAACGTCTACCGGTTGGTATGTTACGTAAATGATTTTCTTCCCAAAATAAGCTCAAATGGCCTTTGTGTCTGATGCAGCTGCGACTTGCACATATTTTCAGCTTTGAATTTCTGTAGCGCAATGAGATTTCTCGCATTTACTAACTCCTGGTAGCTTGACGTGCCGCCAGCGCCGGGTCAAGTGCGATGAAGGTCGACCGAATTGCCAGAATTGCGAAAGGGTCACCCGCGAATGTGTCTATGCTGAGAAATCATCTGCACCTCGACAACCCAGGGCTTTGAGTGCTCGCAAGCCAGAAGAAGGCTCATCAACTGGTCCTGAATCGGTTCCGCCAGATAGCGAACCAGAAGCGAGTTGTTCGGTATCAGGGAACACACTAAGCTCGGAGGCTATGGCTCCCATCCAATCATGGATACCATTTCCCACAGGGCAATCAGTACTCCCTAATAACGCAATTCCCGACGAGGGATTCCTTCTCAACAACAGCGTTTTCAATTTCGGAGATAATTTAATACCTACTTCTGGCCCTAATGAATGGTGATTTGGGTCTACCCGTAAAGCTGATAAGAAATTGACGCTCAACAGGTATGATCGGCTTGCAGCAGACACGATCATGCATATACAAGGGCCATCTCAAGTAGGCTTTTTCCAGAATTTCGACTTCGCAAGTCTATCGAGAAGAGAATCCCCCATGCAGACCCTTGCCATGGAATCTGGGGATAGTCTTTTCAACAATATGAATATCCAATCAATGACCCTCCCGACCCAGCCATGGAATACCCATACAAAGCTCGAACTGAGGAATGAAGAGACGGTGTATTTTTCACATTATGTGACCGTTGTAGCGCCGATACTGGATCTGTTCGATACCGAAAAGCACTTTACCAATGTTGTGCCACATCTCGCTCTGCGCAATGTCGGTTTGCTCAAGTCGATCCTGGCAGTTGGCGCATCCCACATGGATCTCTACTCCGACCAGGACATTGGTAATAAGTTCGCATCTCAAGCATATCCTCAAACACCTGGATCAGGTTGCAATGCGTCAACACTCACGCGAAGGATTGCCGAGAAGTTTTTGTTAGAGACACTGCAGTATATATCGCAAAACTTGATATACCAGTCATATACAAGTTCTCTGGAAATACTAATAACTGGTATCATGCTCTCCACATGGGAGATGTTTAGATTAGGTCCAGTTCACCCCCACAGCGACTGGGATCGCCATCTAAGAGGAGCCTTTTGGATCCAACGCAACACAGGTACGAGCGGAGAGTCTGCAGATGGATTACAGCGTGCAGTCTGGTGGGCATGGCTACGACAAGATATATGGGCAGCTTTTCAGACTGGAAGACCAACACTCACTGTCCACGAGCCAATCACACCAATGGCAGAACTAACGTTAGAGGGGCTGACGACACGTATCATATACATTGCTGCCAAATGTGTACAATATGCCGCAACGCCCAAACAGGACAACATCGCTGGTTACATTGAAGCTGGAGAAACCTTGCTTCGGATACTTGATGCATGGAAACAGCTTCTTCCGCCATCGTTCGATCCTATCCCTGTTGTATCCGCACCTCAAGTAGCTTCACCACCCTCGTTGGGGAACACTCAAATTCAGCCCATATGGATTCATCCTCAGGCGCATGCTGCTGCTATTCAAACCTATCATTTTGCAAGGATAATCGTTTTACTTAACCAACCTTCCACTGGCGGTCTTAATGCGTACCAAATACGCTTCAAGCTCCTTCACGAAAGTACTTCGATCATATGCGGAATCGCTATAGCTGAGCAATCGCAAAACTTGCCGTCAGCTTTCGTTAGCTTTCAAGCATTATATGCAGGTGAGTATACAGCGATGTATTCATATTAATTGCACACTAATAGCATACTAGCTGCGCTTTGTGCTGAGACAAAAGAAAGGCAAGAAGAGGTACTGAAGATTCTCAGAGAAGTCTTGAACATCAGCATGTTCCCCTCGATCTCTATATTGAATGACCTGGCCAATGTATGGGATGGCAGCTCGAGTCAATGATTTCATCAGACAGCTCACCTTGACGGATGGATATCTTGAGCCTGAGGCCACATCTCAAGTGAAACGGATTCTCTACTGTCACGGACCAAATAATACCAATCTCCGCGTCTCAAAGGTTATAAAGATCATTGGTAGTCCGGTTACCTCGCATCGAGCACCTATCAGATTTCAGATTCGTTGATCTTGGCTCTCCTTAGCACACCGCGATACCCTTTTGGGACTTCCGGTAGCCAGTACAAGCAATCACTTCGATGATTTACTGACGACTGTATAAGCGTACGAACACATCTGCAGGAGTCAGGATAGTTGAAACTTTTGAGGAACAGGGTACCCTGCAGATAAGCTAACGTGACCTGGACTTTATTGTAGACATTACGACGAAAGGGGATCAAAAGGATGTCCGTTCAACGCACGCCCCTCCTTGAAGACCTCCCTCGGCATTTCATGATGTCCGTAATGGCGAGATCTTGGACGAACTTGCAATCGACACCGCAATCGACACCGCAATTGTAAAGCTTGACAAAGTAGCTAGTCTTGTTCTGTCAACCCAGCATCGTCTTTGCGCCGAAGAACTCCCGAACATGCGTAACGCAACGTACGATCCTACCAGTTGCGGGGGTACCGGCATTTTCGATCAGAATTTGCCCTCGCAACTCTGTTTTGAGAGTATATGGCTTACTTTGTAAGCAATATTACGGATTTGGGCAGGTTACCAGAGTTTTTGGAGTCGCTAATAGACCTACTTAGAGGCGTGTTGTTTCGTCTCGTACGAGGTCCTAGTGACATGAAAAAATAAGCGCCTTGTGTGCGATTTCTTGAGGGCGTTCATGTATTGGAAGAATTTATTGGTAGATTTGGTTTCATGCTCCTAGACAATAGAGGTTAGAAGATCGCTCACAATAAAGAAAGATTGCTTTGGCAATAGTCCTCCTTGGAATTCGAGATCTGGTTTCGGCTCTCATCATCGAAGCATAAAAATCAGATAGCTATAGATACAATGTGTACATTAGACCAGTTTACTGTCTGGAAAGGGCTCATGAAATGAGATGGCCTCAGTACTCTGAGAAGCAACTTTAGAGGCCTAACAATGTGGCTGGCCGATAGCGAATTAGCCTCTTCTCGTGTTGAGATGGTGTATAGAAGTACATCAATCGCCAGCCACATTCTTCGCAAGACAAAGGCTTTATGAAGATCCATCAAATCGCACACTTTTCACAATATGTCGATAATCTCGCATCAAGATTATCAATCAGTTCCATCAGAACCAGCCGATATGAGACAACAAACGAATGAGCAAAGAGTATCGCGATACTGCGTATGAACCCATCCCCTTACAGCAACTGTTCCATCGTCTGCAGATTACTTTATGTTCTCCGCAATCACTATAGGCTAAACGAGGCCCATCATACGCAAACGGAAGCCATTACCTCATACGAAGCGTGCAATTCGTCGCGTTTCACAGTGCTGACGGACACAACCACCACTGCACAGCCTCAACACCTTAACGAGCCGCTGCATGCGTCCTATTCCAGGCTTCCCCACACAGTGCTGTTTAACCATATATTGACAGAGAAACCCCAAGTCGATCCCCATTGGTGCTGAAGATAAACTGCAGGATAGCGATGATCAACCGGGCCGCAGGACACGGACAGCATAGAATCCCGAAACAAGCGGACGGATCACTGGTTACACGGCGAGTGATGGCCGCCTGAATTCATCTCTACTTATCAACTTCTTACCGAACATCAACCTCGATCGCAAATGACTTTCTTCTCTGTACGATACGATACGACACAGAAATTGCTATACCCTCTACACGGAATCCCTGAAAGAGCGATATAGTGATGGACCCGATGAATACGTGGGATAATATGTCCAACAGGCTTCTCAAACAGATCCAAGGTGGTACACACATATTGCCTGCGGTAGAGCTTCCCAGGCTATCCAGACAGCACCTTTGCTATACTCATCGCTGTGTATAAAAGCCTTACGAATACTCATCAAAACACAATGTCGCAAAACACAAAAGCACAGTAAGCAATCCAGCCAAAGAAAAAAAACACTCAATCTCAACCCTTCAAAAATGAAATACACCACAGCTGCCCTATCGCTCCTCGCCCTCTCCTTCCCTTCCCTATGCACCCCACAGCGCATCCTCCCCCCAAACTGGTCCTTCACCCTCTCTTCCTTCTTCGGCCCCGGCTGCCCCGACACCGGCAAAACCAACCCTCTAATCCGCACCACGCGCCCCACCCACGGCACCAACACAGTCGACGGCTCAGAAATCTACTACTGGTTCATCGCCTACCCCTGGCTACGCGTCGATCTCGCCGCCGGACCCCGCCACACCTGGTGCGAAGCCACCGTTGCATACAAAGAATACGCAGGTACAACGGGCAGGGTGGAGGCAGACAAGTATAGACTGAGGCTGCACAAGAATGGGACAAAGGGGTTGCTGACGTATAAGTTGGATGAGGGGGTGCGTGTGTATTGGGATTTTGCATATTATGAAGGCGAAGGGGCGGGGAGGAAAGAGGTAAACTATTGACTCTTCCTCTTCTTTTTTTTTGACACCAGGTTTTTTTTTTCTCTCTTTGTTGTGGCGAAGGAGGAAAGAGGGGAGGAGAGGTAACGGACAAGTAAAACAGAGTTGGCTGACTTGATATACTTGACACCTTAGGTTGCTGATACGATTGATCTAACGGGCCCCATGCAATCCGGACCGCATGCTCAGGAGCACTATTCGAATATTAGTTATCCGCCGCAGCTTATTCCCCAGCAGAAGTGCGGGAGTGGGTTGTTTACTTTTCGCACCGAGTTGTGGGTGATGGGGGAGATGGGACAGACGGGGGTTGTGGAGAGCGAGTATGAGGATAGTGTGGAGTTGGGGAGGCAGTATTATGGGACGCAGCAGGGGTTTAGTTATGATTGGGAGAAGTGTGATTGAAAGATTGGAAAAGGAGGGGGCGTTTTGCTGGCTGAGTTTGAGAAGTATCAATGGGGTCCATCTTTCGGGTCTTCTTGTCGTAGTCTAGTAGGTCCTTGCTACCTTTTTTTTTTCTAAACGATATTATCTCTTCCATTCACCCAAGCAAAATGATGTATGTGATGCATTTGTGCCAAATACCTTTAGCACGCTTTCTCGATCGAGCATCGATTGATCAATTGCACAATCACTTTCCAGTATTTCTGAATAATGTACATAATGCTACAAGAATTGGTGCATGCTACACGTCATCTACTTTCATCATGCCATACATCGTGAAGGCGAAGCAATCTCACCGCTCGGCAAGCATGTTCTTAATAGATCGCCAGTAACTGCCGTCAACCTCCTTTTGCAATTCCTCCTTGGCTAGCCACTTGAAGTCCTGGAGACCGAGCTTGTTCTCCTTCAAGTCGACTTGGCCAGCCATGATGCGCGCCTTCATGAAGAAGGTCTTTGCGCCGTACTCCTTGAGATTTCCAGAAGGTCGCGGCTCGCGATACTCCAGTTGATGGTGGCCAATTGGTACGTGGCCGACGAGCCAGGTGTTCATGTTGACGCCACCGGCGCTGGTGATGATACGGTTTGCGGCCTAAGACTTTGTTAGCACACCCTCTCTTTCGTTCAAGCGGGGGCGGCGTCATACCCCATGTAGATGCTCATCCTTCAGGCGATCTTGTGGGAACTGCCATTGCCCCTCCTTGTTCTTCACGAGAAGATACAGCGTCCGTTGCAGCGCGCGGTTCAAACTCTTTGTGTCATTTTTCTTGTCTGCTTCCGTCACTCTCGGCATTGGCCTCTCCACGGGCTCACGCTCCATCTTGTTTGCGCCTGTGGTGTCTGGTGCATCTTCCAGACCAGAATGTTCGGCATCCTCTAACAACTTTCCGACTTGATGTTCAAAGTCACTCTCAGGTGCTCCAACAAGCAATTCGTCATTCCAGGCCTCGTCTCCGTAGCCCTTGTACCGTCCGATATCGCGGGCGGGGGTCAGCCGTTGCTTCATCTTCCGTTTCCATTCAAGATCAGCCGGCGTTCGCTTCTTGACGTAAAAATATCGTGTAAAGGGAAGTGCGAGCCGTTCATTCAGACGTTTTTGGTAGAGAAAAAATGCGGACTCGAATGGATGGAGGTCGCGTGTTATTTGTGGGGGCCTGGAAAGGACGACACCAGCATTGACAGCATACGCGGTTGAAGGAGAGGCCTGAGCAACCGGGGGGACATGTTGAGTGGTTTGATCCTGGGTCTGTACGGCTGCAGCGGCGGATGCGTAGGTGCGGGTGATGGTGTCTCTACATGAGCGACATATCGAGGGGCCTTTGTTCGTCAGCAATCAGGATGCGCCCAATGCCAATTGCGTTGCATACCGGCTCTCGAGGCCAGACGCCTAGTCGCCTGCTGTCCGGTGTTCATATCTCCCCAAGGCCGTGGCCGAATTACGATGCTGGCGCAGCCATCTCTCGACGTTGGAAAAGTTCGGGGAGCGGAAGTGCTTTGGGCCTAGCTCGGCATTACCTAAGCAGCTATGCGAATGACTTTTCTTTGCGCGCGGGCGCCGTCGTTTCTTCTTCACGGCACTTTTCCTTATCTCCAGCATACTCGCACTCTCATGAGATGTTGGCCATTATTATGGTGCCCAGAGGAAGTCGAGCAATCTAAATTCGCTAGCGGTACCCTTACAAACTCTCCAGAGTACAGTTAGATAGTCATTGCTCACATTCTTGCATGCCCTCAAAGACGTGATGTTTACGCGCCTGAAACGGACGGCTGTCTTGCGCATGAACAGAAGACGCAGACTGCTTCTCCGCGACCAGTCGTCTACTTTTGCGTGAGCACTGCTTGTGGTCTACGGTACTGAAGTACTGTCTGTCGCGCCCACGACGAAGGAAATAGCGCCATCTGCCGTGTCTTTCGATGCGAAGCCAAGTTGGAAGAGAGCCAGAAGTGGCAGCATCTTGTATCCCGTATATGACCATAGGCTGCCCATGAAAATACAAATCCCAAACTGCAACCCTGACAGTTGTCCATGTCGTGAATTGTCGGTCTTTTCTTCTCCCGATCCCCAAGTCTTGGCATCGAAATTTGGGACTGGACGCGTTCTCGCCGCGCAGACCTTTGGGTCAGGTAACCACCACAATCAAGATACCCCTCATATACCGCCGAAATGTCTCTCTCGATACCCAACGCCCCCAATGCCGGCCTCTTCAAGCAAGGCTACCAAAAGTACGCTCTGGCATAACCCCGCAATCACTGTAAACACTCAACTAACCACCCCGCAACAGCTACGACGCCGAAGATGGAGCCGTCATCCGCAACATTGATGCCTGCCGGACGATTGCCCAGACGGTTCAGACGTCTCTCGGACCATACGGCCGCAACAAGATTGTCATAAACCACCTCCAGAAGATGATCCTCACCTCGGATGCCGCAACAATACTACGTGAACTCGAGGTTGTACACCCAGCAGCCAAGCTTCTGGTCATGGCCAGCCAGCAGCAAGAGGCAGAGATGGGCGATGCCACAAACTTTGTCATTATACTGGCTGGTGAGCTGTTGAAGAAAGCCGAGGAACTGATCAGGATGGGTCTCAAGACAAGTGACATTGTCTTGGGCTACGAGAAGGCACAGCTTGCCGCTCTCCAAACACTTGAAGGTATGCAATCTTGCAAGTGTGGCCAAGAATTGCAGGGCTAATTCAAGCTAGAGCTCGTATGTGATAAGGTTGAGGACATCCGGTCACAAGAGCAGCTCAGCAAGGCCATCCGCACCGTTGTTGCCGCCAAACAGTCTGGCAGCGAAGACTTCCTCGCTAACCTCGTCGCCGAAGCCGTTCTCGCCGTCCTCCCCAAGAACCCCGTAAACTTCAATGTCGACAACGTCCGCGTAGTCAAGATTATGGGTGGGGCTCTTGAGCAGAGCAAGGTGGTCAAGGGCATGGTCTTCGCAAGACAGCCCGATGGTACCGTGCAAAAGGCAACCAAGGCCAAGGTCGGAGTCTTCTCGTGCCCAATTGATATTTCGCAAACCGAGACCAAGGGCACGGTGCTGCTACACAACGCAAAGGAAATGATGGAATTCACAAAGGGCGAGGAGCAACAAGTGGAACAGGCTATCAAGGAGCTCCACGACTCTGGCTTGAGGGTGGTTGTTGCTGGATCGACAATTGGCGAACTGGCCATGCACTACCTGAACCGCTACAACATCCTCGTGATCAAGATTCTCTCCAAGTTTGAGCTGCGACGGCTGTGCAGGGTGGTTGGAGCCACGCCGCTTGCCCGTCTCGGTGCGCCCATGCCGGATGAGATGGGCAGCATTGATGTGGTCGAGACACTAGAGATTGGTGGTGACCGCGTCACCGTCTTTAGGCAAGAGAACGAACAGACACGGACGGCCACTCTGGTGCTTCGTGGTGCCACTCAGAATCACCTCGACGATGTAGAGCGAGCGATTGACGACGGCGTCAACGTAGTCAAAGCCATTACCCGCGACGCACGGTTAGTGCCCGGTGCTGGAGCAACTGAAATGCAGTTGATCGAGAGAGTCAAGGCTATTGCGGACAAGACACCAGGTCTGGCACAATACTCGATCCGCAAGTATGCCGAGGCATTCGAGGTTATCCCGCGCACGCTCGCCGAGTCAGCTGGTCTGGACGCAACTGAAGTGCTGGCTAAGCTGTACGTCGCACACGCAGCACAGAAGAACCGCAAAGACGACGAGTGGACGGTGGGTGTGGATATTGAGAACAACGATGAGACGGGCACGCTTGATGCCAAGGCCGAGGGCATTCTAGACCTGTGGGTCAGCAAGATGTGGGCCATTAAGCTGGCGACGGAGGCGGCAAGGACGGTGTTGAGCGTGGACCAGATCATCGTGGCCAAGCAGGCTGGTGGGCCCAAGATGCCGGGCAAGGCACAGCAGGGCAACTGGGATCAGGACGACTAGAAAAAGGAACTGGTGTGACGAATAGCATGTGTATAATGACCAGGGCTAGACGCCATCAAAGCATTGAAATGGATGTGTTTCAGTCCCCACCCTGTTTCCACCATGCCATTGTGTGACGCAGGTTGATAGTGGGGTCCTTTTGAGACAAAAGGCATGTCTTACTAAGTCACAGCTTGGAATTCTATTGTTGTCCTTTTGCATAGCGCTAAGGCTGGTAAGTCTATGTAGCCTTTGCGATGGGGCTCTGGATATGATGACGGTGCCTCTGGTGGGCATACATGGAAATAATTTTTTTGGGTATCGCATCTTTTCTTTTTCTTTTTCTTTCTCTCTGTTCCACCGCCGCACTCTTCTTCTTGAGACATGTGGCTTCTTGCTTTGCTTTGTTTTTTTTATCATTCAAAAACGCCGCCCCCCTCCCCCCTACCCAATTTGTGCCATGGTATCCCATTCTCACATTGTAAATTCGAAAATGGCAAGAATGCGAAATGAAACATGTAGAAAAAAAAACTCGTTGGAAAAATGACATGTCCCGAGATGTTGATAATCCTGTTGAGGAACAAATAGAACTATACTTGTCCTATAGGGACTCCAAAATTCAATGGTGGAGTCTTCAATCTGACGCCATCGACAACTTCTGTGTTGTTGTTACTCGACTTGCGCGAGTCGGACGATGTGTTTCGGCTTAGTGGCAGGCCCGAGTGTGCATCTGCTGCAGGCGGTGCAGCGGGAGGATCTGGTTGCGCCACTTCGGGCTCTGGTGCATCCTTGAGCCTGCTGAACCTGTCCTGGTCTTTTGCCACCTTCTCGAGTACGTCGTCGAGCACGTCGAGTGCAATGTGGTCACTTGCACCTTCGACGGGGTTCGTGGGCAGCATGAGGGGGCCGATGAGGGGCTGGTCATCTGCTTGCATGCTTGGCTCTGGCTCATAGTACTCTGTGGCAGGCGCTTGTTCTTCAGCGGCAGCGGGCTCTTGGTCGTCGTGGACGGGGGAGAGGGCGCGGGGTATCAGTGGAGTGTGGCCGGCATGCAGCTTGTTGGCCTCGGGTAGCGGGGAGAGGATAGCGTGTGTGGGCGGCGGGGAGGGCAGGACCTCGTCGTCTAGCTCCGAGTTGGGCAGAGAGATGCGTGTTGGGAGCTCTGGGCGTTTCTGCCGCTTTTGGAGCAATCCTCCGAAGGATGTAGCGTGGGCATCGAGGGAGCCCAGTGGGGTAGGGGCTGTCATGGTGGCCATGTCGTGTTGCTTGTCTGGAACAAGCTCGGCGGGAGGAGTGGTGGTGTTGGGGGCAGTGAAGAGAAGGTCAGGACGAATGTCCATCTTGGTGAGGCCCACCCATACCGTCTGGGTTTCTGCATGGGTGTATGTCATGATGAGGTTACCGGAGCGCTAGAAGGCGGTTAGCTGGCTTCTGCGTCTTCTAGAGGGCCTAGTGACCAACCTAGGCGGGCGGGCGTGACGTGCGTGGTGGCCGGTGGGATATGCAGATATGCAGATGGGTAGTGTAGGCAGTGCTGGCGAGAGCAGACGAGGAATGGCGGCCGGGCAGGCTGAGGGCGCTCTGCTCTGGCTTAATTAAATTCAAAAACGGGCACGAGTAAGCGTGGTGTGGTGGGTGGATCAAGTGTGCCCCAAAGCGAAACGCAGGCGTGTGGTTGCATCGCGACGTGCATCCAGCAGCGACCCATGTCACACGTCATAGCCGCGCTCGTGCCTGGCGCTGCGTGGTGCATCGTGTGTGGTGCATCGCCCGCCCCAGCAACCACGACTGCGGCTGCGGCGTGCATTTGCATCCCCTCCCTCCCCCTCCTCCCACCCCAAATTCCCCCATCCCCGGGCCCGGCTTCGTCCTGCTGCTGCTGCATGTTTCCTGCATCCGCGTCCGCCAAACACCCCCCTTCCCAAGCCACCCCCAAACGTGGCTTGCGAGCTGGTGCAGTCCACCCCGCTAGCCCGTCAATCATCATGAGGCCCTTCTTGGCTGAGCTGGGCCCCGATATCACCATGCCCGGCCCAACCTCGCAGCCTCTCCCCTCCCAGATCCCCCCGGCCCCCAGCAACTCGAGACCGCTCCGGCTTTGGAGTCCCCAGTCCTTGGCGGCATGATAACAGTAGATTCCTGCACGTGAGACGGTATTGGCACTTCGTCATCAAGAGGCCCAAGTCCCAAAACCTGCCATCCATCCGTTCCCGGTCGCGGGGCTGAAGAGGGGTAACCCTTCGCCTTGGAAAAAATATCACAACCCAAAAGGTAGACGTCTAGAACGCACCAAGTTGCCTTTGCCTACCCCGGTTTCAAACATCTCCAGCCCACCTGCCTGGGCACGGCAGTTTTACTTTCCGACATCTTCCGCTTCTCCAACTGCCCCAGATTGTGCGCTTTCCCAATCTGGAGGACTAGCCACACCCACGCATGTATTGACCGTCGTTATCACTCCCAGTCACGCCAGCTAGGACCAGTCATGGATGCTTTCCCATATATCCCACCACATCTCAAGTATGCTGGCCTATCCAAGCAAGAAAGAGATAGAAATGCCGCCGCGGAAAAAGGACGTGACAGCACAAAGGCCAGCGTCACCTTCTTGAGCCAGGCAAATTCCCCGGGAACCAACTTGTCGCAAGCGGACCCTCTCAACGCGGCAAGGAGACACAGCACCATGAGCACCCGCAGCTACCCAATGCCCTTTCCCGGAAGCATGGAAACCACGGAAGATGATGACCTTCCCCCATTTCCGGAGCCGGAGGTATCTTCACTGGCCCTCGATACTAAACCTGGCGCACAGATACATTACACATATTACCCTGCCTCGAAACCGCAGGGCAACCATCCCAACCCGTTTTCCCAAACGCTCATCGTCTTCCTCAACGGGGCTATGATGCCGCGAAGCTCGTGGGACGCTGCAATACGCAGCTTCCTGGAAAAGCGAATCACAGGTCGACTACCATATCCAGGACTACTAAGCTACGATCGCTATGGACAAGGGGAGTCTGACCCAGACCCCGACGACCCTCATCCCCCGCCCTCACACGGTCATGACGCCATCTCGGCCGTCAAAGCTCTCAAGCAATTTACCCTACAAATCTGGCGTGAACACCTCGATATCAACAAGCCAACACACTATCCCTGTCTAATCTTTGTCTGCAACAGCCTAGGCTGCGCCCTCGCCCGCCTATTCGCTCAATGCTACCCAGGAACCGTCTCCGGCCTCCTCTTCCTCGACAGCATAATGGCCAATTCCGACTACCAGGACTTCTGGCCCGACCCAGATGCCCCAGACTTTGATCCCCACATGCTACCCGACGACGTGACGGCCGACCAGGTCCGCGCTGTGAGGGAAAAGTACAGGAGCATGTTTCACCCGAATGTACCAAGTCCTGAGGGGCTTTCACGCAGGAACCTGGCTAAACTGCTGCCGGATGCTGGGGCCCCGAAGCTGGAGGGGTATCTGGGCCGAGGCCCTTATTTGACGGTTGTGGGCCATGACTGGGAGACGTTTGCTGAGCAGTCTTGTATGTCTTTTTCCATCACTCCAACTATACATCTGTTACAAGGGCTAATCCTTAATCCATGATAGCCAACCCTCCTCTCAACGCTCCCAAAGCCCTCACAATGACGTATGCGAACCCCGCATGGCGCCGCTACAACGAGGAGCTGTGCCACATTACCGAGGAAGGCAAGGCCATTGGCCCCATTACCGCGGTCCGCTGCGGCCACTTTATCCAAAGAGACGATCCACGTTTTGTCAGCGACGAAATGGTGAGTTTGCTGGATAGAGTGGTGAATCGTGTGCAGCAGGTGAGCAAGCGGGATTGAAAGAACGGATGAATGAAAGCTTGAAAGTTGGGGTGTTGATGTAATAAGTGTACATACGTAATATACCAGGAGAGAGAGGGGAGGAACAAGAAGGAAACAAGTTCCTATGTATGGGAGAAAGCAGAATTTCATGGGTCTCCTATCATAAGGCATATATACGTATATTTGCTTGAACAACATCATCTACTATACAAAAGTCCCCTTTCCTTGAAAAAAAAGAAAACGAATTCAAAATCAAAAACAAAAAAAACACAAAAAACCGCCCATATGTACAAAAATAAACCAATATCCATAGCTTGCTAGTCCCGTCATCAAGCTAGCCAAGGGAAGATCCCGAACCCCCCCTCCCCCCCCCCTAAAAAAAGATACAAAGCCAGTTTCCCTATTCTCTCTGCAAAAAAGAACCATGTAGCCCCACTTCTTCACATGTGCCCGACTATCCCATGTATTGTTCACCTGCAGGCACATGTCCGAGACAAACATTCGGTCGGGGGAAACCGACGGCCGAGGTCCCCCGTGGGTCGGTTGTAAGCCGTCCCTCCTCGCCCTAAAAACTTTAAACTGGCGAGTTAAGGGAAAAAAGAAGAAGAAGAGATAGTAGTAGGGAGGAGTTAAGCTGTCACATGTCAAAAGTCGTCCATATCACCCATGAAGCTATCCACATCGGCATTATCGCGGCCGCGGTGTCTTGCATGGTGGACATCATCACGCTCAAACATTTCTTCATCATCATCATCATCATAGTCGTCGTCGTTGTCGTCGAAATCGTCGTCGTGATGATGATGATGATCGACATGCTCATCTTCCTCTTCTTCAACCCGTTCTTCTAGCAATTTCCTCTTCTCCGCTTCGCTGAGACCCGCTTTACTCGCTGCTTCCATGCGCACGCGCAACGGGCGGTTCTGCATGTAACTTTCCATGTAGCTTGCGCCGAGGCTGCTCGGGTAGCCGTAGCTGCCTGCTTGGTCCACATCAGCGACGCCCGAGCCGTGCAGACCGCCGACGTAGGTGTCGAAATCCTGGTCTTGGTCTGCAAGGCCATCGCCTTGGAGCTCCGTGGTAGCGACTGCCGAGTTGGGGAAGATTGGATTGGGACCAGCGGTTTCGGGGATTGGGTGGGGCGGTTGGGTAGGCGAAGGGTCGAGGAAGGTGCGCGATGCGGTTTGTGCGGACCCAAAAGGTATGCTGGGTGAGCGTGGCGAATGAAGGGGTGGCGAGTGCTCAGTTGCAATGGATACGGGTGTTGGTGTCTGAGACTCGGTCAAGGCCTTGTTGGCGGACCGGATGGCGTTGGCCATTGGGAGAGGGAGGCTGTGATGTACGGCGTCATGGTGCTCAATATAAACTGGGGTCTCTGATGTAAGGCGCGGATCAATCATGTCATCGAGCGAGGCAATGGAATTGGAGGCTGACGTCGTTTCGCTGCTGGGTGAGGTGAGCAATGGCTCGTCGACAGTGTCCGAGGGATGGACAGTCTGACCATCAATGACCAGACTGACTCTCTTGCGCGGTGTTTTGGCCTTGTCTTTGTGTCGCAGCGCCGACTTCTTCATTGTCGAGCGTTTGGACTTCTTGGCTGCTTCGGCTGGCTGCTTCTCTCTCGTCAGCACGCCCAAGGCTGGGTTCTCCATGTCCTTGTTGTCCTTCCTCTGCTTCCGGCCTTCTTTGCTCTGCTCAGCATCTCTCGCCGCTCCGGCCACGGGCGTGCTGGCTGCGCTGTTTGCGCCGTAGGCAATGTCTGGCTTTGGCGTCGGTCTCTTTCTCTTCTCTGGCGAACTGTCGCGGGCGTCGAGCAGTGGCAGAAAGACGGGCGTGACTAAACCGTAGAGCTCCTGCTCTCTCTTGTGCACTTTTGTGTGCTTCTTCTGCTTGATTCTTTCCTCGGGCTCGGGCGCAGAAGGCTCCTGCGGTGCTGGTGAGGGAGCAGTGTCCTCAGCATTACTCGCACAAGTTTTCTGGGCAGAACTTAATTGCTGAGGGCATTGCATTGAGCGGTACTGGTCTACAAGCTAGGCCGGAATCAGTCCTCAACAGCACTCTGGCAAACATGGACAGGGCGCCGAACAGTGGAAAAGCCGCCAGGGTAAAGGGAAAAAAGAAAGAAAAGGCAAAGACATAGACTTGGTGGTGGTGCTAGTAGTCAAGTACATACCTGGTGGCCATAGTTGCGCAGTTCGTCCTGCTTGGACTTGATATAGTCGTTGATGTCTTGCTGCAGCTGCTGCCTTCGGAGCTCGACGCTGCGGGCGAGGGCGTCCAATTGCTCTCTGGTGAAGCCTGGAACCTCGGCCAGGCTCGGGTCGGATTGAAGAAGCATGGACTGGGCGGTGGACGAGGGAGTCTTCTGATCGGCCGGGAGATTCCGCTTTGGGCGTGCGGTGGGCAGGATTTGCAGCCTTGAGCGTGCAGCAGGCTTTGGCGACACTGGATCGTCTGCACCTGGGCAGTGTCAGTGTCAGTGGGAGGCATTGCCTAGGGCAGAGGCAGCACAGGCGGTCCATTGTCGCATCTGGCAGTGGGAATGGCATACCTTGTGTCGGCGAGTGACGCATTCGCCTAGCGGCGATTGGCTGGGCCCAGGCGGTCACAGGGCTCAACGGCTATACCGTACTTTGGACTGATCTTACCTCCAGGCAACGGGCAATGGGCAACTGACCAGCAGAGGGTGGCACAGCCGGCGGCGGCGGCGACAGTCAATTGCGTGCTTCAGCAGGCACCGGCAGGGAAAACGGCAAAATCTCTGTTGTCGCGCCGTGTCATGAGGGGGCCCAAGTTGGAGACTGAACGCTTTCTGCTAATTATCGAACAGCCGCCCGACCTCATACGAGGCATAGTGCGGTGGGGCAACACGCCCAGGCGCGCAGAGATCAACGCTTCTAGAAGAACTGTAGCCTTTGCGCTGACGGCCTTCACCACGCCTGCACACGCCCTGCTGCTGCTACGCAACGAGGGCCTGCAACAGCCTGTCCGTATATCCACCTAAGCGTACACATGTGTACTTGCGCCATGTCAGGTCGCGAATCCGCCATGGTCGCTACCGACGCCTTGTGTATGCGCCCCCCTGCGCACTAGCATATCAAGCGTGGCATGGCTTTCCTCATCCGGTTATCCACCAAGCCAAGTTATACCCATTTACACCGATCAATCTCCCCGTCTTCTCAACTCTGGTTTGCCAGATCTCTATAGGCCTGCTGGGTGTTCCCGACACTCGGTTCGCACAAATGCACCAGTGCTGACGGGCAGAGAGAACCCACTTCACCGGAGAGACAGGCCATGCGTCTAGACCCACACTTCACATGCTCGCAATGAGTTGTCTGCAGGAGTGGTTGCCATAAGTGCGGGGAGGATAGAGAGACACTGCATGATTGGATGCTAGGCCTCTTGTTGGGAACAGTGTCTGAACTTTGTTGGTTTGTAGACGAATAGCTATTCACGTCTGAGCTGTTGAGCGCACTCTACATAGTATACATATATCCATACGTCCTTCTGGGCCAGTCATAGCATGTCTCAACACTTGCTTCCCATGCCTCTATCGATATGCTCTGAAAATGTCGCCCTACCCACGTTGGATCGATGCGTGAACCATGTGCTTAGCTGTACTACGCGTGGCTCGAATAGTCGGTGCTCTCCACTACCCGAGCTTAGAACACCCTGAAGCTAGCGTCGACGGTATTGCTTGGTTCGTTGACATGAACCAAAAGCAGCGCCGTTGCTCACCACAGCGTGACCAACTAACTCTTTGGCGTTGGAAGCGGGAAGCACCACCGGCACACTAGACAGGCAAGCCGAGGCTCAAGTCAGAATGTCAGCTCTGTCGCTGCACCGTGCCGCAACTGATTCTTTGGCATTCACCTTGTTTTGCTCGCTTCTCGTCCATTGCATGCTCAGTCACCCCCTTCCTCCTCCTTTGCCTTCTCTTCCGCCTCGGCCTTCTTCTTGTCCTCCCACTTCTGCTTCTTCTCCAGTAGCTTTTGTAGGTTCTTTGCACCGTTAAACACTCCATATGTCTTTGCACTGCACGCCGCACATGTCGGGTCCTTTCGGTATCGCTTCAAAGCGCATGCTTCGCAGAAGTAGTGTCCACACTTTGTTATGATAGGCGTCTTGTACGGCTTCTTGCAGATGATGCAGGCGAACGGTATCTTTTCCAAAAGCGCCAGGTCGATGCCGTCTTCGTCTTTTTCTTGGGCGTCCCGGTTGGCAGACGCGACAACGGTGCCGCTGGGCTTCTTGCCCTTGGTGGACATTTCCCACTCGCGGTCGAGCTTCCAGCCTGCTGCATAGTCTTCACGAGCGTGCAGAAACTTGCAGTTGTCGCCAAAACCACAGAAACCCGTCTGCTTGTAGTCCTTGCACACGTCTGGTGTATAGTCGGTGACGGTGATTGTTCGAATGTTGGTGGATGCCTTGACGGGCCCTACTTGGCGCGTCGGCGCGTCGGGGTTCTTTTCGATGAGCGAAGAGGGCTTCGTGCGCGTACTACCCAACAGATTCTTGGAGCTGAGAGCATCGTCGGCCTTTTCCTCGTACCAGTTGGACTGTTTTGTCGCATCGTTGCTTGCTTCAATTACCGCAGAGGTGTTGGCGGCGTATTGTGTTGTGCCCTCGATGGTGTTGTTTGTCTTCTGGTCTGCGGTAGAGGCTTTGAGCGCATTGTCGTTGACCTTTCGCCGCTTCACTACACGGCCGTCTTCGCCTTCTGCGTCGGAGCCGGATGAGAAGTCTGAATCAGACTGCGGTGGCGGAGGCGCGACTTTGCGAGGCGCGGCCTTGGCTCCTCGTTTCTTGAACTTGACGACGGGTGCATCCATGGCGGTTGTGGAGGTGGGCGGGAGTATGGATAGGCGTGCAATGGGTGTGCAAGGTGAGCGGCGAGGTGAGCAGAGAAAGTCGGAGGCAGTCTGTGGCTGAGAAATCAGAAATCACGTGATGCAATCTGGGGTAGTGGCGCAGGTGGCAGGAGCCGGGAGGCGAGCGGGAGATAGTCCGGGCACACCCAGGCCGGACGAGGACTCGACCAGCCATGTGACCGGCAGACCAATCACGTGGAGAGGCGCTCACCATGGTGCTGATCCGACCGAGTTGATGAGTCGGCTTGGAGCGCGGGACGGTTTGCGCACATAGTCGGCAAGTGGTGGGTAGGTAGGTGTGGTGATGGTGAAGCCTCCGGGTGCATAGTTATCCACTGGCTAGCCATAACCAGTCCTGGGGTGCAGCATCAATGGGACGCGCATCGGGGCTGCCAGCCTCGTGTGCAAAGGGGCGTGTTGCAGAAACATGCGCCAGCAACGGAGGCGGTATGCAGCATGTACATGAACATACTAGTAGTACGCTACACACTTACACAGGCCACGACTGCATTATGCGCGCACCGAGGCGGAAATTCGGCAGCCCCTATCAGCCAGGCCATGTCATGGTACCCCTACTGCGGGAGAAGAGGCCGCCGCAGTCGTGGGGTATGGGTATGTCGTAAGGAAGCAATGGGGTGCGTATCGTGACGCAGGTGGTGCCATGGGCGGCCGGGCAAAGGCCAAGGGGAACTGCTGAGTGGATGGATCGAGACATGTAAACAGCTGTCTGTGCCGCCTATGGATGGCTGCGTGCCAGGGGGCGCCGCACAGCAGCGGTGGGGACGTGGTGTGCTCTCCTGCAGTTCGATGGATATACACATGCATGTCCCTGGGCGAGGGTGGAGAGGCCTCAGCTACTACTGCCCTCTGCCGCTAGCGCTGTTGATGCTGTGGATGCCGCGCTGCCTCGTTCGCCATAGCCTGCCCTGACGTGCACGGCCGCCTCATTTCGCTCGTCGACACACCACACCCTCCGCCTCTGCTGAACCTCACTCCTCTGTCGCCTTTGTTGCCTCCGTCGCCCCTCCAGCCCGTTCGGCATTCCCTTGTTTCTTTTTTCGTTACCCTTCGCCGCCGCTGCCCCCAGCGATGCGCATTTGCTTCTTTTCTATAGTGTGACCGAAACGCGATCCAGTGCGAGCAGCCACGGCCGTGTCTCGAGTCGGCTTTGTGCGCGTCGCCCTCGACCAAGCCCTTTGTGCATTCCGACCTCGCCTCGACCAAGTGACACTCCCCGTCGCTCTTGTCTCCAGCACACCAACACCACCACCGCTGCCGCCACTCGTCGCCGGATCCACGTCCCTTGCCTGCTCCTTAATTATACCTTTCTCATCAACTCTACCATTTTCTAGAAAAAAACTACATAAAAAACCTATTCCCTACGCGTCGTTACCCTCAATACTCCCCCCGGGCAATGGGACATTAGGAGACCGGGCCTTCGCGACTACTAATGACCGCAGCAAACCCTCCATCGGGCGCCTTGCCGGTGGAGCACCTCAATGGATCAGATCCCTTTCTTGCGCCCCCGCAGGATGGCCAGAGGCGATACTCGGCCTTTGACAATTCGCAGTTCTCCCTCTACGTAAACGGATCGCCTGCCCAAGCCAAGCGCGCCCTTGAAGCACACTTGGCAGAGACAACTCGCAGACTGCAGGAGACATCCCACCTCGGCAACGCTCTTGTCCAACAGCGAAAGGAACTCGAAGACAGGCTGCAGGAAGTGGAACAGCAGCAAGAGGAGAATGATATTGGCGAGGATCTGCGCCACAGGCTGACCGAGCTGGAGAAGGAGTTCAACGAGGTTGGACGGGAGACGGCTCGCGTCTTCCTCCCCAAATCCCGCGTTCCGAGCGGAGAGACTGATGCTGCAACCGGCGGCTCAGTCTACTCGAGCGAAGCCCTCCAATCGCCTACTAAAGTCAGCGTTCCGTCGCGGAAGCAGAAGAACCAACCGCCGAGTCGCATCAACGATATCGCGCTAGCAACCGAAATCTCCACATCTCTGCTCTCCCAGCTCAAGGAGCTCCAGGCTGTTCTGCTTGAGAAGGATGAGGCTCTCAAAGCAGCCGACCTTGACAGATCCCAACTCGAAATCGAAGTCGAAGGCTTGTCGCAGCGCTTGCGAACCCTGGATGAGAGTGAGTCGCGACTAAAGGATGTCAACTGGAGTCTCGAAACCCAAATCCGCGAGTCCGAGGTACAGTCCAAGTCGGCGGCAGACAAGGAACACCGCCTCAATCATGCCTTGGATCTCGCACGTACGGAAAGGTCAACCTTGGAAAGGGAACTAGAGGAGTTGAAGCAGATGTACACAAAGCTCAATGACGACCACATCAACAAGATCAAGCAGCACGAGACAGAACTTTCCATTCTTCGTCGTAATGTGGCCATGACAGAGACCGAAAAAGGTGCAATGCAGCGCAAAGTGGAGGAACTCACAGCCAAGAACCAGCAGCTGGCGCAGGCTATTGCCTGGCGTGCAAGGTCCGAAGAGCGTGGTCGCTCTGAAGATTCCTCGCAAGACGACAGCTTTGTGGAACGACAATCAGGAACTCCGGACCACTCACCTGCACCCTCACCAAGCAAGGCTACTCCCCGTCATGGCATGCTCGAGACCGAGACACTGAAGCACTCCCTTCAACACGCCCACCGTATGATCCAGCAACTCAAGAACAACATTCACCGCGAAAAGACCGAGAAAATCGAACTCAAGCGAGTGCTACAAGATACCCGTGATGAATTGGATACAGCCCGCGCTCAAGTTGCACCTGGCAGCGCCAGCAAGAGAAGGAGAAGCGAAAAGGACATCTTCAAGAAGCCTCCTCGACCAGATCGCCTTGGCGCTCTGCGCAGTGGCACCCAGGAGATCATTGAGGATGACGAGTGGGAAGAGGAGGAGGGCATGCCAAGTACACCCAGCCGACAACCGCACCTCTCGGTCTCTACATCCCGAATCTTCTCCAGTGGAAACAAATCTGCCACAGAGACGAGTGCGTTCGAAGGGTTTGAGACTGCCAACGAGACGTCGGATGCCGCTTTCGAGACCGCAAATGAACGTGACGGCGTGGCAACCGAGTCGGACGCTTTCCAAACAGGAGCAGAGACACTTGACGGAGACAGCAGTGATCAGCTAACCGAAACTGAGGCCAGGCCTCCCAAGTTGAGCGAGCGTCGTAGTCGACCCTCGCTCTCAAGTCGGGGTCGTGCTGCTTCCTATGAGAGCACAGCCTCTACGTCTGGCGACGACTTCAGTGAGCCGGATTTCAGGACGCCTTTGCACCATCAAAATTCTCGTATTCGGTTGAGGCCAAGCAGCTCTCGCAGGTCAACACCCAAGATCGGCTCGGGTCTGTTCGCTAGTACACCTCCTGCATCTAGAGATTCTCCTGCCAGCTACATCAGCAGTAGCAATGAGAACACGCCTGCTCAAGGCAAGAGTCTGTTTGCAGAGCTGAATGACTTGAGTGATGATGATGGCAGCTCTGTTGAAGGTACTGTCGAAGGCACACCAAGCCGCTCTAGTATCATACACTCGCGTCAGTCGTCAACGGATGCACTGCGAAGGACCATCACTGCTATGCCCAGGCCACTTATGGTAGACTCATGTACCATGACCGAGCGAGATATCCCTGAGCCCATCACCATTTCTTCAATTTATAGCCAGGATACTCAACCGCAGGCTGTTCGCATGCCTATCCTTCAGTTGTCTTCTTTGCGTTCAAACGACACAAACCCACAGGCCCCGCGCCCTCAAGACCTCCAAGTCTCGTCAGTTTCTTCGCAGGGTACAGAGCCAAAGCAGGTGCTCCCACCAACGCTTCGTCTCTCCAGCGTTTCTGGAAACGCAACCAGTCCTCGCGCGCCACAGCTGCCTCAGTTGGCTGTATCCTCCTTGTCTGCCCAAGGAACGGAGCCGCAAGCCCCCTTGGTACCATTGTCAGCGTATTCTTCTTTGCGTTCGCTAGACACTGCTCCACGTGCTGCACCCGTCACACCTTTGAACATGTCATCTGTGTCTGCCCATACAACAGAGCCTCGACATGCTATTCCAGCGTCTCTTGGGCTGTCGGATTTCTCATCTCAGGCCACGGAGCCTCGACATGCTCCTCTACAACCTCTCGGATTGTCAGACTTCTCTTCTGAGGGCACAGAGCCTCGATATGCTCTTTCGCAATCTCTAGGGTTGTCCAACTTTTCCTCACAAGGCACAGAGCCTCGGCAATCTACTCCACCACCTCTTGCTCTGTCAGGTTTCTCATCTCAGGACACTGAGCCTGTCTCACCACATATGCAAGAGCCTGTCGTTGCCTCATTAGACGTTTCCTCCATATCTCACCAGGCTACTGAACCGAAGGAAACCAACGACTCGAAGCTTCTGGCTCCATTACAGCTGTTGAGGTCGGCCATATCGACTCAGTCAACAGAGCCTGTAGAAAGAACCGAGTCCGTTGCCGATGCTTCCAGGTCCGTATCGACTTTTGAAGAAGCTGCCTCAGTACAACCCCAGCAGGCACCTCGAGCACAAGAGCATCAGTTGCTGCAACTGTCAAAGGTGGCTGCTCACGCAACCGAGCCGAGAGATGCGTCCCACAAGCAGACACCTCTGCAGATATCAGCCCTGGTGTCTAACGGAATCGCGCCCAAGGATGCGCCCCGCACACCACTTTCAGCGTTTTCGACAACGTTGACCCAAGCCACAGAGCCGCGAATGCCCAGTCGAGAGAGACAGCAGTTTTCTGAAATCTGCTCGCACGTTGCTACCGCGCCTGTTGCACCACGACTACCGCACATGGAGCTGTCAAACTTTTCGGTCCAGTCCACCGACCCTGTCGAGACGCCCAAGCCAGCTCTACAGCAGCTTTCGTCATTGTCTTTCGAGACATCCCAGCCTGTGGAGCCTTCGAGACCAGCCCTGTCATCTTTCTCTGGTCTCTTGTCAAAAGCGACAGAGCCAATGGCGCCAAAGACGCCCGCTTCCATGGGTCTCTCAAGCGTAGAATCGCAAGCCACAGATCCCGTCAAGCCGGCACAGCATGCGCCATCGCAACTCTCAACCGTCGACACAGTCGAAACAGAGCCTATCTCGCCAAATCTTCCTGTGGGATCTGTCCTCAACGTGTCCAACGTACAAACAGTCCACGATACCCAGCCTGAGTCGCCAACGCTTCCAGCATTCCTCCCAAATCCCACAAGCAGGCCATCCACAGCGAACAGAGAGCAAGCCCCTATCATGAGCTTGTCATCTGTTGCAACTCAAGGTATCGAACCGGTGGTGCCGTCAAGACCTGTGACTGCACACAAGGACACCCCACCTCTCACTCTATCGACTATTACTCAGACAGAGACGACTGAGAACAAGCACCCATCAGTACCCAAGATCAGCTACTTTGCTGCCAGTCCAACCACAAGCAAAGATACCTCAATCGACACTATTCCTTCACCAGACGATAGCCGAGAGACGCGTGCACCCCTTGCGCCTATAAGCGCCAATATTCCCATTAAGAAAAGTCAAATACAAATGGCTGACGGAGGGACTCAGACTATGGTATCTGCCGAGCAGATTGACAAGTTACTCCTTGCTAGAAGTCAATTACGGAGCGGCACAGCGGTCGTAGAAGGGTCAGACAAAGTCCTTCCCTCTCCTGGATCACCTAGGAAGTCAATACACGATCCTCTCCGAACTCCAAAACGTCCTAGCAGCTCTGGAAGCATGCGTTCGCGCATGGAGACGCCTCCCCCACTACCACGGGACCACAAAGAAGTCATCGCTGCTGCATCGCTCAGACCCATGTCTCCTGGATCAATGGGACCGCCCTCGCTTCCTGCCTCAGCCTACAAGAAACGACCACATACGCCAACCATCAAGACAAGCAACAGCAATCTTACTCCTATGACAGGCGGTACTACTCCACGTGTGCGTCGTCCGTCACAGCGAAGCGGCGCGTCTTCGCCTCTCAGTCACCGATCGTCGTTGTCTTCGTTCACTTCGGAGATTGATCAGCGCTTCAATATACCTGGAGGCCCATCGTTTGCTCCAGGTGGACTGGCTGCCGGTGCCACAGACCCGCGGATGATTCAGGCCATTACTCAGACCATGATTGGCGAGTACCTATGGAAGTATACCCGCAAGACTGGTCGTGAAGGCATGTCTGAAAACCGACACCGGCGCTTCTTCTGGATTCATCCTTACACAAGGACCTTGTACTGGAGTGACCGCGATCCTCAGAGTGCCGACAAATCGACCTTGAAAGCTAAGAGTGTTGCTATTGAATCTGTCCAAGAGGTCGACGACCCCAACCCTCTCCCTCCCGGGCTCCACCAGAAGAGTTTACTCGTCATCACGCCGGGCAGGTCAATGAAGTTTACTGCGACTACGGGTCAGAGACACGAGACCTGGTTCAATGCTCTGAACTATTTGTGCCAGCGTGTTGAAGACGTTGAAGAAAAGTCTTCGCCAGTGTCAGAGCATAGGCCCACAACTGCTGAGGAAATTCAAGACGAGTTCAATGGCGGATATAGAAGCTCTTCGCGTCAAACCGGCCGATCAAGAGCTTCAGTGATGTCGTACGCTACTAGGCGCGCATCATCTCGCGAACCTGGCCAAGTACCCACGATCCGACAATCAAACTATTCTCAGCAACGCGCACTTTCAACCGAGGCACCTGCCCATGGCTCTGTCGCAAGCAGATTCACCAGCATGCTTCGACCAAGCGCCTCGGCCATGCGAGGATCTTTCTCCAGCCGGCGAAGCAGCAAGGCCAACGCGCCAGAGACAACAATGTATGAAGAGCCAAGCGCTTCTCATCTGGAGCTTAGTCGCGATATCCACGAGCACTTGGAGCAAGACGAAGACTTCATGCCCAACGTCCGAGCGTGCTGCGATGGTAAGTACCTCCCCTCCTACACAGCCATCATGTGTGAGCTAACGTTTGCAAAGGTAAACACGATGTTGGACATCTTCATCAACACTCGATTAGAGGTCGATACGTCAAGGCCTCTGCTTCGCGGCCTTCGCTCTTCGGTTCCATGAGCTCGCGTGCTCAGTCTCGAGCTGAGTCGCGCACAGAATCTCGCACCGAGTCTCGGACCGAGTCACGTACAGAGATGCGCAACGAGCAACTCCGCCACCAAACCGAGATGGAGGCAGCAAACTATTCAGCTGGTGCATAAAACTCTACTCACTACCTACAACCCATTCCTAAGCATCAAACGGTTCGCTTTTGCGAGCTTGAACTAGTCACATGATTTGACTGACATTCTTTATTTTCCTTAGCATTCTGTATAACTCGTGGGAGTCGGTCCCTTTTTCCTATGTCTATCTCTGTCCGTTTTGCGGCTTTTGGACGTTACAGTTCGATCTGGATTCGCATCAAACAACAAATAAACCTCGAGTGGTCGCTGCAGGAGCCTAGAGCATGGCTTTGGGCGGTAAAGCATTGCCTGTCCGATTTGCGCAGCATGCTTGAGTGGGGATGGAGCTGTACACTGAGACGACCTAACGCTTCTCCTTCGCACTAGGCTCCGACTTCGCCGTGTTTGTCGGGGCGTGTTTCCATATAACTTGTAACTAGACCCTTCATTCTCTCCTCACTCTGGAGTTGTCAAGTTTCGCATGTTTGATCTGGCAGCATATCGGAGTTGGATAATGTTTGATAGGTGGTGATAGAACTACTGTGACGGCGAATGGCTAGAACGACGGGGGGCCAATGAAGAAAGACGTAAATTGAAACATGTGCCCTTGCTCGTGACCATGCGGAGAGGCGGTGTTTTAATTCTTACTATAATTGATGCGCGTGACGGCGGCCAAGTGGGCATGCGAGCATCAAGTTCATGCAGGGCGCAGGTCGCAAAGACGGTATTCTCCGGGGGGCAAAATGCCAAGAATCTGCGTCACCGCTAAACTGAAGTAGTAGACCGAACTTTCGCTCCTGGCCAGACGCGAGGCCCATTCGTCTATTCCCTCCTTTACAACCATACAAAATCAATCGCGCATCCCATTTCCTTGTTCCACCTTCGTTTCAGCAACTGCGGGCAGCTTCCGATATACCTATAATAGACTTTTGACCACTCTAATCACACCTACGCAAACACGCAAAAGCGCGACCCAGCGCACGATATCATCTCGCACGACTTCAGAGACGACGACGACAGCAACGCCGCGTAACGACAACGGCAAAACTTCCCTCGACTAAAAACGATACCAACACACAACCACAACCATGGCGCGTAACTCTGAAAAGGCGCATTCGATGCTCTTCCGCTTTCGCGCGGCGCAGGCTGCCGAAGCGGGAATCATTGACATTTCGCGCACGCGCCGCCCCAAGCTCATCACGTCGGTCAACTCGATTCCCGTGTGCGAAAAATGGCGTGGCCAGGTCCTCAAGGAGATCTCGCGCAAAGTCACAAAGATCCAGGACGAGGCGCTCTCGGATTACCAGATTCGCGATCTTAACGATGAGATCAACAAACTCATGCGAGAGAAACACATGTGGGAAAGCCAGATCAGGTCGTTAGGAGGACCCAACTACATGCGAGGCGGAAGAGTGCTAGATGAGGAAGGGCGTGAGGTGCCTGGAGGTGGCAAGGGGTACAGGTATTTTGGGCGAGCCAAAGAGTTGCCAGGTGTCAAGGAGCTCTTCGAAAGACAAAGTCGCCCAGAAGACGACATGGACAAAGGACGCGAAAAGAGGAGCGAGCTTAGGCAAAAGGTGGATGCGGGTTACTATGGCTACAATCTGGACGAGGAAGACGGCACGCTCTTAGCATACGAGAAAGCAAAGGAGCGCGAGGCCTGGGACAATTTCATGTTACTGGGCGATGAACTGGACGAGAAAGCGAGCAAAGTGCAAAAAGAATGGATCGAACTACCAGGCGACGCGGGCGACGGTGTACGATGGCGAGTGCCTACCCTCGACGAGGTCAACAACGAGCTTGTTGAGCGCAGGAGAAGGAAGCTACTTGAGAAGCTGGGATGATTGGACGATTGGCATATTGACATGCCCTCTTTTTTTCTCCTCTGCAGAACCATTTTGAGAGGCTGAGAGGGCGAAAGAGAAATCAGGTTAAACTGTACAACACCAGATTGCAGCATTTGTTTTGGTTTTGGTTTTATTTTCCTCCAACCGACAATCCCTCTTTTTTTCGTACCTTTCTTCGAGGCTAGAAGAAGAAAGGAAGACAAAAAAAGGATCAAAGACCGATATACCCTTTTTCGTTTCTTTTTTTGATTGGGGCTGAACATTTCGCCTATCAAACAACTTTGTCAGCTCACATGTATATCAGTATCATTGGCGGACGAGCAAGAGCGAGTCTGGAGCTAGAGTGTATGAATTAAAATGTTTTATAGAACAATCAACATTGGTGCTTTGTGAAACAAGTTGCTTTTAAATATGAAAAAGAGGCGGGCTTCGTATCTGCATGTTCGCTGCGCGACGGTGGAAGGACTTGGGTATCTCATTTGTTCTTGTAGAGTTCTTCTTCCTGCAAGCCAGCCAGCCCCCCATCCTGTAGCTTGCGCACTTTTTTCCAGCTTCTACGCGCTTGCATGGTGTTTCCTTTGACACAGGCATTCAACTCCCATTGCGCGTTTGGTCTTTTTTTTCTTTCCTCTTACCTCCACTACAATCTCCCCTCCCCAGCAACATGGAATAAAAAAACTTTCCCTTTGGCCATCTTACCAAACTCAAGTCGTAAACAACGAATCTTCTTCTCGCAGGTACTCGCCAATATCCGCCTGTCGAAACGTAACAATGCCCGTGGGATCCAACTTTCTCGCATCAGCCGTCGACCTCGCACTCACACCGAATCCCTAGTAAAACTATATTAGCCCAAAACTTTCCATGCAAAAAAAGCCCCCCAAGTTTAAATAGCCTATTCTGCTCAAACTTACCAACGGCGTATCATTCATACTCAAAACCACCACACCCTGATGCTCAGGACAATCCTCGCTCCACCTGCCCACATGCGCCTTCAACACATTGCCGCCGTACAAGAAGGGCATCTCGCCATTCTGCTTCACCCACACCTTGTACCGCGCGTGCGGCGCAATGACGCTCAGCGCTGTGATGTGGAGGCGGAACTTGCCGGTTTTTGTGAATTTTCCGAGGCAGATGCCAAGGGAGAGCAGGTTGTCGCGCGCGACGCTTGTAGCGAGGTTGGCGAGGGATTCGCGGACGTAGTAGACGCGGGAGCCCTGTTGGACAGGTGAGTTAATTGGGAGTTGGGATAGTGATTTGCGAGAGGGCAGGGGGAAAGTTACCTGCACGCGGAAGACGTTGCGGTCATTGCCGCCAGCTGGGTCGGCAATGAGGTTTGTGATGCCTTTGCCGCAGTAGGAAGCTAGTTTCTCGAAGAGAGTTTTGGTTTCTGGTTCGGTGAGGGGCCTCATTTTGGGCGAGTTCGTATGTATATGTATGTATTTCCCAACTGTAGATTGGGTTGGGGGTTTGGAGGAGCTGTGCTGAACTGGCTGGGTCTGGCGCAAGTTCGCAAAGTCGAGATGTTGCTTTTGCCCGGGAAAAAAATGTGGAGCGCAAAGCGGGACTACTAGTCTCCGCCGCGGCCAAAATTTCCAATGCGCATTCCTCTTGCTTGCTGCTGCGACACCACCCAACGCAGGTGGAATTTCTCAGTCCTGGGTCCTTTTTTTAGTTTCGCATAAATCACATCATGTCCCGCGTCCCGGCTGCTAAGCGAAGAAGATTATCGCCGCCCGAGGATGGAGAGCGCGGTAACGGAACCACGGTCGATCACAAGGCGACGTTCTTGAAGAATGCGGCGAAATGGGATCTGGAGCAGGACTATGAGACGCGGCCGCGCAAGTTGAAGAAGCAGAAGGAAAATAAAAAATTGCCTGTCAGGGCAGCAGAAGGCTGGGTAGCGCCGCAGCCGACTGCGGAAGACATTAAAGAGGAAGAAGATTCGGACAGCTTTTTAGGGACAGGCAGCGAGGATGAGGGAGATGAGGGTACCGACAGAGAAGAAGAAGAAGTGGAGGAGAAAAAACCAAAGATACCGGCTCGACAGCAAATACTAGAGGCGAAAGAAGAACTTGCTCGGATAGCAAGTCTGATCAACGAGGATCCAGAGGAGCATATTGGGGCATTGAAGACATTACAAGCGCTTGCCGACTCGGAAAACTTCACAGTCAAGAAATTGACATTGGCGACGCAAGCCTCGATTTTCAAAGACATTATTCCCGGATACAGAATACGGCCACTGTCGGAGGAGAAGATGCAGGAGAAGATCTCAAAGGAAGTCAAGAAGCTGCGGCAATTCGAGCAAAAGCTCGTGTCTGGCTACGAGACTTATGTTAAGCATCTGGCGAAACTGGCAAAGGCCAGTGGATCGGATAAGGAGCAGGTTGCGAGTCTGGCTACTGTCGCTGTGAGCTGCGCGTGTAACCTGCTGAACGCAGTGCCGCATTTCAACTTTCGCACCGAGCTTCTCAAGATTCTAGTTGGCAAGCTGAGTACAAGGAAAGTCGATGCGGATTTTGTGCGATGTAGAGAGGCTATGGAGAAGTTGTTTGAAAACGACGAGGATGGCAATGTCTCGTTGGAGGGTGTTACCATGCTGACCAAGATGATGAAGAGCCGGAACTACCACTTTGATGAGAGTGTGTTGAACACGTTTCTGCATCTTCGTTTACTCTCTGAGTTCGCGCACAAGGCTTCATACCATTCTGTAGATAAGGCAGAAGAGCCAACAGTCAATGGCAAGAAGCAGAAGCAGAAGCGCGAGTTTAGGACGAAGAGGCTGCGGAAAGAGTTGAAAGAGAAGAAGGCGATCGAGAAAGAATTCAAGGAGGCTGATGCTGCTGTTAGCCACGAGGAACGTGATCGGATGCAAGCCGAGACGCTCAAGATGGTATTCGTGGCATACTTCAGAATCCTCAAGGCTCGCTCAGCAAAGCTCATGGGCGCCGTATTGGAAGGCCTGGCACGATACGCACACTTGATCAACCAAGACTTCTTCGGCGATATCCTCGAAGCACTGCGCGACATCATCGCGACCGCCGAACTCACAGCCGCAGCCGCAGCCATGGACGACGATGACGACGCCTCGGAAGACGACGACAACGAAGCCCCCGAGCGCAACCTCACGCGCGAATCCCTCCTCTGCGTCATCACCGCCTTTGCCCTCCTCGAAGGCCAGGAAGGCGCAAAAACCGCATCAGCCCTCAAACTCGACCTCAGCTACTTCATCACCCATCTCTACCGCACCCTGCACCCCGTCGCGCTCAACCCAGACATCGAACTCAGCTCCAAATCGCTCCACTTGGCCGATCCCACGGCAGGCACTTCGCACGCCGACACAGCCAAAATCAACGTCCAAACCACCATTGTCCTCTTAATCCGCTCTCTTTCTTCCGTTCTCTTGCCCGCAACCTCCATCCGCGCCGTGCCCCCCCTGCGCGTCGCAGCTTTTGCAAAGCAACTCATGACCATCTCCATGCACCTGCCTGAGAAATCCTGCGTTGCCATGCTCGGCCTGCTGAACCGCATTGCAAAGACTCACGGCAAGAAGGTGGCGCCGCTGTGGAATACGGAGGAGAGGCGCGGCGACGGCGTGTTTGATCCACTAAAGCCAGAGATCGAGGGCAGCAACCCTTTTGCGGGCACAGTGTGGGAAGGAGAGATTTTGAGGAGGCATTTTGCGCCTAGTGTGAGGGAGGCAGTCAAGGGGGTTGAGAGGAATGTGGTTGAGGCGACTAAGTAGAAGGCTAGGGGGGGGGGGGGGGAGAAGAAGAAGAAGATTGGTAATATTGAGCTCAGAATATTACTTATCAATTCGAACGTTTGCTTGTTTCTCTCTCTCTCTCTCTCTGGAAGCTTTGGCTTGACTTGGTTTTTACGGACGTTAACAGTCAGAATCCATCCTTTTGCTATGGAAATGTTCTCTTTGATACTCCCTTTTTAAGAAAATACCAAGGCTACTACTCTGCACACCTGCGTGTAGATAGCCGCAACTTGTGAAGAATCGCCGACGCATCAACCTTGTTCGTTGTACACTGGGCATATATACGTTATATTTTGTCTTCTCTCAGCACAATCTACGTTCGCATGTGATTGCTATGACCTTTGGAGCACTAGCTATTTACGGTCTCGATATCTGTGGATGACAAGATGGGGATGTGTGGGGTTGTGGTAATGTTCCATGGTAGTTGTCACTCTTTCAATTTTTCCCAATCTGGATTGGGCGGGTACAACATGAGAAGGTTATGCTTGGCCCGTGTTTGTTGCATTACAACAGGGTGATTTTGTTTAGCTGTGTCCGAATGGAAGAGGTAGTTGATTTTACGAGTAATGATACATGTATGAGGCAGATTTATTGGAATGGGGTTGAGTGAAATAACAGCTATTCCCACTCTACTTACTNACCCACATTACCCACCCCCCACCCCCCAGCTCTATGTACCACAAAATCGGATCAAAACAAGCTCAACCGCATCTCCATGAATCGCTCTGTGCAACCCTCACACTCTTATAATAGCAAAATACCGGGTGAACACGGTAGTGGGATTTGGCGAAAGTGAAATGCTTGTTTATTTCAAACGCCAAGTGCTGACTACATTCGCGTTCCAAGATCGTGTAGAGAAAGCATGGGCGGGGCGCTTGGACTTCAGGGATATGGGGAAAGTATTGGGTCTAGAAGTGTTATACGCGATATAAGCCGTGATAGAGTTTTGAGGTTGCGTTGGATATGTGTGGTGTTTAGAGGGACTGTGTAGTGTGCTTGGAGATTTTCTGAGGGTGTAGGGGAGCTTTGATGAGTCGAGTCGAGTCGTTCCTTAGGTTATGTGGCCTGTGAATAACAAGCTGTAGAAGAATGGTCAAGTTCATGGAACAACGGTGATAAAATGTCCGTTGAGCTCGAACAGAGCTCCAATGTAGCTTTTATCTACTACTCGTTCGGAAATACTATACACGGAATATTCTGTTGGGCGAAGCTTCAATTTTAAGGCTTTGACAGTTCAGGCTTGGTCTTCCGTCAAGCTCCGTAGCCGTTATCATCCGGCTTGGGCCGATCGATCTTCAGATCGGGTAGTACTTGGCCGTGACACTATTCGTAAAGAGCTTGGTATCTTAGGCAGTGATTATGATTCTGAACGGTGCAATCATCATCTCAACTGCTAACGGTCGTTTGGCTCCACACTCAGCTGGTTATGGGCTCTACACTTGAGACTAAAAGTTCTTAATAACGCGATGTCTAAAGTTGATCTTCAAAGTTCGCGTTGATGTTTTAGCACGAAGTGATTCTTATAAACGCTTTGTTACCTAGTTGGACGTTTCTTCACTCGTGTTGAACAAGTAGCTCTACTCTTGCCCATTAAAAAATGTCGTAGAAGTCCCACTAAGATAGAACCTAAGTGATACAGTTGCCTAACAACTGAACTATTGGCTTGGAGAATGGCTTAGAAAATTCCCAAGTAGTGTGAAAGATATGCCCCCTCCGGATGCGGATAGGCTACAGGATGGTAGGGCCGTTCGGATAGCGTACGGAGTATTTCTTGCGCAATCAATAGCAAGTCTACTCACTAAAGCAATTCACTGGGCTATATAAACCAAGTCTTCAACGATAACAAAATACTAATATACCTTTCAGTTCATCATGCCAACCGTATAACACACTAAGAACATTCCCTCTCGGTCCGTCAACCCTGATGGAACCCCACAAAAAAACCACGCACAATCTACTTCGGGCCCCGAGCCACCGCGGACTAAATTACACACATCCCGGAAATCAAGTAATATGTACGGCTCTAACTAAATAGCGATCTACTTCCCTAGTCTAGCAAAGGGCCGACCCATATAAACTCGGAACTACTATCGCCAGTTGTAAGGGAAATCGCAACATCGACCAATCCTACCTGCGTATGCGCTGACAATCTTCACATGTCATGAGTTTACTGTATACTTACAAAGACACAAGCGCAGAACCCCGAGCAACAGTGATAACACACAAAAACTAGTAGTATGCCAAGAGTTGGATGAACCCCAGTGATGCCGTCTATAGGTCAAATGACTGTAACTGAGACGGTTTCGCTTATTTTGGTTCATGAGCGTATAGGCGTATATGCTACATGGCAATGACGTGACTGAGAAAGTTCTTATTTTGGGTAATAAGCAACTATGCTTATAGGCTTGATTACTATTATATCTCCAAGTGCAATGTGGCGAACCACGCACGATCAAACGCACGTCGCAATTGGCAAAGCCTTTTTTTCTTACCATCCATGATCTAGCGCATCGGAAGTTTTTTTCCCTTCTGCAGATCATGACATCTAATTGCTAGTTGTGCGAAAAGAGAAAGTCGAGCCTGGTAATATATTATTAGCTCCGTGTGCTTGGACTTGTACTGAAGCCAAGCGTACGAAGTTGAAACGGACCAAATGCGATAGTCTTGGCAATGTTTGATCGGAGATATTATAAATCTTTATATGATAACTAGCAGAGTATTCGTAGCTGGGGTATCCTAACCACCGCATTGTGTCAGGTTTTGGCAAGACAAGGCATTGTTGCGGGTTGCGTTGTCCGGCAAAAGTCACCTAGTGTTTCTAGCTGTTTCAAACACTTCCAAAGATGTTCAAAGGAAAAAAGCCTTGAATTATTGAGGTCGATGCGCGAGGTTTTGCTACATTTCCTGCGGTTTCGTTTTCCACCAGTAATTTTAGTATTCATTTATTCTAGAAAGTCTTACCATAGAACTTCCGACTTTATGTAGTACTACGCGTTCCTAGTACCTGCAAATGAGCTGCTTGCGTCACTGACTCGATGCCCGAACAACATACATGGGAGGCCCTTCAGAGTCTCATGAGCCACAGTTCTTGGCGGTGCTTTCCCATCCGGCTTTCCTGCATGCAGATGCAAAATGTAATAGACCGTTCTTTAGATGGTCAGAGCGTTTGTAATCTTGGGCTCCGGCGTTATTCATCTATCACTCACTACGCTTGGGAGATAGCTAAGCTTGCAACGACAAGATCTTGAATGTATATATAAAGATCCGTCCATGTTGCAGTTGAACCAGTGTCCATCAGAGTGTGTTGTCCAGCTCTCACTGTCGATCGCTACTTCCTTTGACTACTCCGACACAAATGGCGGCGCTAAACTTCAGAACGCTGTATGCGTTCTTTGTCTCGGTTTCACTTCTTAGTGTGTTGGCGTCCGCAGATCCTCTCCATGCGTTAATGGCCCGTGGCCGACCGGCCATGAACGCTGCGATTAGGAATTCCACAACATGTACCAAGGACAAGTTGCGCATCCGTCGAGAATGGTACGTCGTCTACTTCGCAGTTCTCCCTCTTTCGCAATACTGACTCGATAACAAGGGGTGACTTGTCCGTTGGAGCTAAACTCCGCTACATTTCTGCTGTGAAATGCCTCATGAAGAAGCCATCCAAGTTGGATCCTGTCGATTACCCTGGCGCTAAATCCCGCTATGACGACTTCATCGTTGTCCACATGAAGCAGACGCCATACATCCACGGCACTGGAAACTTCCTCACCTGGCACCGCTACTATATGGCTACATTTGAAGAAACGCTGAGAAACGAGTGCCACTACAATGGCACACAGCCATACTGGAACTGGCCGAAATGGTCCCAAAGCCTGGAGACAAGCCCACTTTTTGATGGTAGCCCGACAAGTCTTGGTGGCCAGGGATACAAGACGAAAGTAAATGGCACGGCTCAGAGACCTGCTGGTGAAGGCGGTGGTTGTATCGCTAGTGGACCGTTCAAGGGCTTGCAAATGAACCTTGGGTAAGTTGCTACACTTCTTGCCATTTCTAAATACACTCCTCAATATAGTAAATCCAACTCACACATCTTGCCCAGACCTCGCGGGCTCGCAACGAACCTGCCTGACCGACCGAACCCTCGTGCGGATGGCTTCGGATATAACCCTCGCTGCGTCAGACGTGATATTTCCAGCTATCTTACACGACGCGATGGCACAATGGAAAAAGTCGTTGGTCTCATCTTGAACAACACGGACATTGGATCCTTCCAGACACATATGCAGGGAAACCCAAGTGTCCACAGTATGGGCCATTACAGCGTCGGTGTAGATCCGGGAAGTGATATTTACGCTTCACCTGGTGGTACGTTCAGTCCTTTTTCCCACTGCCGCTCGATCGTTTACTAACAAACCGTGTGTTGTAGATGTTTATTTCTGGTTCCATCATGGCATGATTGATCTGGTATATGCGGTCTGGCAAGCGCTTGACTTTCCGAATAGGCAGCAGGTTATTTCGGGTGGTACGCTATTTTGGAACGGAACAGACAGCAGACGGGCGACTTTAAATGACACCATCGATATGGACATACTCAGGACCGACAAGCCATTGCAGATCAAGGACCTAGTCAGTACAGTCAACGGGCCGTTTTGCTACCTGTACGAGTAAAGTAGGCGTGTATATATATATATATATATATATAGTTATATATCAATTTCTAGACTTTTCATGCATTAAAGAAGATGTTTTGTGAAGCCTGGTGATCAATCACGTCAGCCCAACATGGTAAAGACTCGAAGAAAATATATGCCATATATTTTGGTCCTCAGATTAGCTCTCCTGCTGTCCTCAGAAGGAACCTCAGCTGTCCCCCATTTTTCAGTCTCTCGACCTCTTAACAGGCAACAAACGGGCTCCTCAACTCGACTTTGGCTTTGATGCCCCACAGGGACATCATCACTGGACCCTTTTTCGTCCGTCTGCACAACGGGCACTTGGCAAGAAGAAAGAACAACCCACCTACAGGAGCACCGCCGCGCAAACCAGCGAGCCCCAACGACAAAGACCACGCTTCCCCACCTATGCGATGCCTCGACGGCAAAGGCGCTCGGATTGAAAACTACAATTAAATTGTCACAAGCGAACAACGTCCTCCAAGCTTGAGGCAAGGCAGCACGGCGCTTCAACTCTTTTACTTTGTCCTCAGTGCGCGGTGGGAAAGGCTGAGGCTGCGGCTTGTCGTGAAGGTGAACCCAATAGCTTTGCGAAACCACCTGTGGCCCATCGCTGTGCAATGATGTGGCCGGTGGTATGGCTTCATCTAGTATGATGGCGCACCCCCTCCGCTTTCCGTTCTTGTCTGTCATGCAGTGAGACGCCAGGGGGGATTAGTCCCCAGCATCGCCTTGTGAGGAAGGTTTGTCGTTCACTGGGGTCTAACTTGAGTTAGCCAGAGCGTAATCTTGCTTCTTCCTTTGACACTTTTTCGATAGCACCAAAAAAACAAGCAAGACGGGAAGGAAAACTGATGTGGTATCACTTACTCGCAGCTCGGGTTGTGGGTGGTGAGAGAAGCCGACTATGGAACGCGCCAAAAGTTGAGCAGGCGCGTAATCACGGGACCGCGCTAATAGGACGCTAGTGACGTAAGCTGCATGTCAATAAGCCTGTTATCAACATCAGATCTAAACCTACCCAAATGGGAAGCCATAGCTTGGCGAAGAGTGGCCCCATAAAAGCAGTATTGCCGACCTCTCTAGACGAATACCTTCCCCTCCAAACCGTGGGCTTCTTTCTCTTCTTGCCATCCGTCGCAAGGACCTTATTTTCAGATTCCGCCAACCAGTGCTGAAGCTTGCACTAGGTATCGTACATCAAGCACATATGATCAGACTGAGAAGATCGAATGAACCTCGATGCCACTTATTCAGAACTCGTGCATCCAACATCATGGCCGCTTCCTATTCTCCATGTCGCCAGGCCACCTAAAATGGATGCCAGAACAATCCTCAACCCACTCCACTTGCTTTCATCGACAGCTCCTGCGTGCTCCAGTGCAGAGATCTGTTATTATGAGCGGAGACAATATATTTACTTTGAATGAATTTTGTATGTGCGATTGTGACTCGGTATAGACCAAATGTAGAGCAATACGGAAATATGCTAGGGAACTGCAAACAAGGTTCACGGCCTTTTCCAGGCCGTTTTCATACCACCAACTCCATTATCTAACACTGTACAATGCTGTCCAATCGTACTTATCCCCAATCTCGACGCACCCATCGATCTGTAATCTCCGACGTTTCCAGATGCTTCGCCCTTTCTGTCCACTGAATTTCAGATATGAATTCTTCCCCTAGAATCGGTCTCTTTGCCTGGCCCTGTAGACGGTGAAACCGACGTATGCACCAGTCAGTGCCATACCAAACAGCACGAATTTTACAAAAGTCCATGTCCAGCTTCCCTCGCTGGGTCTTTCGCGGGTCATGGATGAAGCGGTCTTGCCACCAGTGCCTCCTGTCGATGGCATTGCACCAGGGCTCTTCTTGTAGAGGTTTGTTGACCTGACCCAAGCAATGTCGTGGTTGTCGGAGAGCTCACCAGTCTCGGCAGAGAAGCCCAGGTATGCAACAGGCGGGACCTTGAAGTTGGGGATTTCAAAGCACATGGTCCATTCGTCTTCAGCCTTGTATTGGATCTCGAGGCGGAGGAACTGCTCTTGAAAGTACGTGAGGCGGGCTTTGGTTGTGACTTGCGCGTTGCGAATGCCGCGGGCCTGATTCACTTGTTAGACTGCATATATTCCAAACTTTAGGGCGTTCGCACCGAGCATCCAGCAAGCTCGTTAGCCTTGCCGTCGTTGTCCTTGTCATACGCCGTGTTTCCATCGCCGTTCATAGCCATGATGTATGGGAATACGGTGCCTGGGCGGTTATTCTTGTAGGTATCGAAGAAAACGCCGAGGCCTTCGAACTTGTCGGTATGGCCAAAGACATTTCCTGGTTGTGCGCGTTGCTTGGTGAGCCACATGGCAAAGCCGTCGCCATAAAGGTTTCCTTGTCCGTGAATCTTGAACTCAAACATGACCTGCTCGTGTGAGTGTCTGGTTTAGTAGTGCCGTAGTTTTGGAACGAACCTCCCAATTTGTAGCCGTAAGAGGGACTCTCGAGAAGATCCAGCCATCGCGCGAGGGCTTGTCGGAAGCAAGTCGAATGTACTTATCCGTCCGAATAATGGTGTCTCCGCCAAAGTCCCACCAACGGCTTTGCATGTCCGAGTCGAGGTATGGCTATAGCAAGTGTCAGAGCAAATCCCAGTCTTCTGCCTCCAGCAGTAAATACGGTGCGAAAAGGCGACTTACAGGCTCGAGGGTGTGTGTCCGCAACTATGTTCCGATTAGCGACAACGGCCCCTCAACTCATTGTGTAGCAACAACGCACCGAGATGGCCTTGATATCAGGATCTTCGGTCAATCCTCCAGACCGCGCCCATGCGCCCGTCAAGCTCCCCGCCATCAAACACAAGCTTGCCCATGGTTTTGCAAGCAACATGGTTGCACAACGTTCTCTCTTACTGCCTGAGACGGGCGATCCCCAAGGTACCAAGCGACAAATTGGCGCGCAGAAAGAATGGAAGGAGACTTCTGTCTTGGAATTGAAAAGGAACAAAGCCTCGAGAGATTGAAGCTGCGAAAAAAAGATGGCAGCACGGGTTGGCGACTCGGACGTGCTGGAGTTCTCAAAGCTGAGACTTGGGGTTTGGAAAGGCCACTCTATCACTCCCGCGTGCAATGCAGGGGTCTTGGGTTGCGGAACCACGCTAGCGAGCAGCGCCGCTCTTGACGTCGACAACTTTTCCACGCGGGAGCCACTGCCCAACGACTCACAAACCTTACTTGCAATCCTTAATTTTTTGATACCCCCAATTCCACCAAAAAAACACACAACATTCACAATGAGTTCATTAGGCCCCAGCGACCCAAAGACGGCCGTCATGCGCCAGGTGCAGCAAGAGGCCGCTATGCAGAATGCACGCATGCTTGTCGAGGTACGCCTATACATTTTGCGTTTGTTTTGAAATTCCCTATACTAATGAATTCACAGAAACTCAACGAGCACTGCTTTGAACGCTGCGTCCCCAAGCCCGGCACATCCCTCTCCAAAGGCGAAGAAAACTGCTTCACTGCATGCATGGAAAAGTACATGAGCGCATGGAACACTGTCAGCAAGCAATACGTCGGGAGGATACAGCGTGAAAGCGCCCAGGGCGGCGCGGTGCAGAACTTTTAAATTCTGCAGGTAGGATACAAGGAAAAAGCTTGTGAGAGGAACGATGCCATGGCAAAATATACAGAATAGACGAGACTGACGGTCTCGCTTTTCCGGGCGCATGGGTAACATGAGAAATGCCATCTGTACGAGTAGGGTGACGTATCGATATGAAAATGTACTATACAATGTACGACTAGCAACACGAGCTGTGTATGAAGATAAGACATGTGGTTGAATACCAAACTCTAACTTTCAGTTATTGCTTGTCGACTGACTTCTGTCTCTGTGCATATTGCTTAACAATGAGACCACAGTTGACTTCTTGGCACAGCTTCTTCCGCCTGTCGGGGCTCAGCTTTGTTGCAAACTCCAAGCCACTTGCCCTCTCCACCGCCTCAATGGGCACTTCAAAGTCCGACAAGGGCTTGCTGTTGGAGATGACTGCGTTGGGCAGCACAAACGCTCCCAGTGCGACCTTGCCGCCTAGCTTGCCGTCTTCGGCAAAAATGACTTTGTAGAAATGCGTGGGGACGGCAACGTTGGGCGGCGAGCCGATGACTTCGTATGAGACACGCCATTTGCCGTCCTCGTCGCGCTTGGGGAGATACAAGGGGCCGGTTACAATGCGCACAGAAGGATAGTTCTGCGTGAGTCTACGGCAGAAGTCTTCGAAGTGGGCCCAGTAATCGCGGTTGAAGCCATTGCCTACCTGCGGGCACATGTTGCTCAACGCAAAGGTGTCGTCCATGGCTTCTTGGCTCCATTTTGCGTCTGCTGCGGGGACTTGGTGGCCTCGGTCATAGCCGCTGCGGAGGTAGTCCTTGAGCTTTGCGCGGAACATCTCAGGGATTGAGACATCCTCGACGAAGACACTGTGCTTTCGATCCGCGTTGTTGTTTGCTAGCGACTCTGGGGTTATGTGCTCCGCTACCCAGGCTGGGTTTCGCGTCCGTCGGTCGTACGACGATGTGAGAGAGGCAGCAGGGCGGAGGTCATTGACCGGGCCAGGAAAGCCATATTGGAAGAGACCATTGGGGTCTACAACCGCTCTGCGAGCAGCGGCAGCAACTGCAGGCGCGTGAACTGCGAGGCCCGTTGGGGCTGAGGGAATTGGGGCTACTCGTGTGGATCCAGTCACGGTTGTCGTGGTGGTTGTCGTGACAGCTGGCGTGTGCGGGAAGTTGTCTCTTCTGGTCGAGTACAGCGCTGCTGTTACTGCGGCTCCAGCAGCAGCACCGCCTGCGCCGATCAAGGCGAATGTCAGTTTCGACATGGTTGCAGTTTAGTCCTCGGAGATGGAGGGCCGCAAGGGGTAGAAGTGGACGTGGAGGCCTCTTGTAGGCGACAAGGCACCCGCACAGTCCAGCGTCCTGTCTGGCGCGCGAGGAGGGTCTCAACGCGTATATTTGTCCCCGTATGGTTCGCTGCTCGCTGCTTTTTGCATGCTGGTGGTCATCTGCGTTTTCTCAAAGCAGGCTTCGGCGCTTACCGCATCCGCACTAGCGTCAACAACTGGGAGCCTGCCAGCACTCTCAATATGACTAAAAATCATCACAGCCATTCTCAGTTCGCAGAATTCTCAATCCTTTTTCTTTTTCATTGATTGCTTTCTTCCTGTATGGTCATAGCATTATAGACTGAGTGCACGTTCTCACGCTGTGCGACTCAACCCCACCAGGATGCCTTCGTGGATATCGCGGGCCTCCGAGTCCCACCATGCACAGCTCGTGGCAACCGCTGCCGTCTCAGGCCTTGTAGTTGGAAGTGCTATTCTTGGTTATCAAAAGGCCCGACGCATGACGAGAGTAGCAGACTTGAAAGCGTCTATTCCAGATCTTAGTGAAGACCACCGTCCGTCAAGAGCAAGTACAATAATTGCGCCGGCTGACTTTTGCCATAACGGCCTCGTTCTTGGAAATCCACAATTTTTCTGACGCTTTACAGCTGACTGAATATGGTGCGGCTTCACATGTGTTTGCTCCAAGTAAAGAAGATGAGCGCAGCATGGCACTCGCCGCGCGAGCGAGAAAAGGCGATTATGACGACGGTAAGACGTCACTGTCTTTGGAAAAACAACTACATTGAGTTCTCACGAGATCATTAGATCTTATCCTCGAGCAATTGGCGAGAAATCGGGTCTTTCTTACAGATGAAGGACTTGCGAAGCTACGGGGCGCTTTCGTAGTCGTAGTCGGCTGTGGTGGAGTTGGATCGCATGCAACAGCAGCTCTTGCAAGATCAGGATGCGCCAAGCTCCGTCTCATAGATTTTGACCAAGTTACTTTGTCTTCGCTCAACCGACATGCAGTAGCAACTCTGGCAGACGTCGGAACACCCAAAGTGCACTGTCTCCGCAAGCGGCTCGAACAAATCACACCATGGACCCACTTCGAATGCCGAAACGAGCTGTTCAGTGAGCAGACTGCAGCTGCTCAATTGGCGCCTCTAAATGGCCAGCAACCAGATTTTGTAATAGACGCCATTGATAACATAGACAGCAAAGTTGCTCTCCTGGCCTACTGCTACATGAACAACATCAAGGTCATCTCCTCTATGGGTGCAGGTTGCAAGTCCGATCCTACCAGAATCTTCATTGGCGACATTTCAGCAAGCACAGACGACCCTCTTTCAAAGTCCACTAGACGAAAGCTGCGGTTGAAAGGCGTAAAAGATGGGATACCTGTCGTTTACTCGACCGAGAGGCCAGGCCCTGGAAAGGCTGAACTTCAACCGCTTTCAGAAGAAGAATTCGCAAAAGGCAACGTTGGAGAACTGGGAGTTCTCGCAGATTTTCGGGTACGGATTTTGCCAGTTTTAGGCACCATGCCAGCAATCTTTGGCCTGGCCGTTGCCAACCATGTCATCCTCTCCATTTCGGGTTACCCACATGAATATCTTCCATCGAAATCTCGAGACAAGATGTACGATGGTATTCTAGGCGCTCTCCAAGGCGCTGAAGAACGCTTGGCTCGCGCACTGTTCAGCGAAGATCCTCTCGGTCTCAAGATTCCCATCACACAAGACGATGTTGGTTATTTGGTAGAAGAAGTGTACAATGGAAAAAGCATAATCAGCGGCCTATCGACACGCTTAATATTGTCAAGATGGAGGAAGCCAACGGAAAGCTTTGTTGACCAAAGTACTCCAGGACAGAAGAACAGCCATCTCAAGATGAGAGATCTGGTTCTCATGACTAAGGAAGAGGCAGGCAAGCACGAGAAGGAGATATTGAAGGGAGAAAAAAGCCCTGAAGATTTATACAGCGCTGAAACAATTGAGCGTGTGAATAAGAGGTTGGCTGAGGAAGAGCGATTCGAGCGCTTCCGGTAAATTTAGAGCCACTATTACGAGAAACTCTCTACTACACATGTATGTACAGTATCTTGACGAACAAAATATCAACTCAACATTCTATTCTTATCCCAACAAAAATATCAATGCGAGACAGGTATGCTTATATGTCGGACCACTACCGGGAGTTTGCGGACGCGGGGCATAACTCCGTGCGCTTCAATCTACACTGTTCAGCACAAGATACTTAACGGCTTTCTCTATCGCCTTCCTGTAACTCCAGTATTACTTGAACAAAGCTTCAAACCAGCTGTCTACATCAATCGGTCTTCTCGATGGATCCGGCCTTGGGCCGATGTATGTCAGTCTGTTAGCGCGAAGCACACATCCAATGAGAACAAAGTGCAATTCTGCTCCGCGTGCTAGTGGCATAGCGGGTAACGACTTTTCTTCATGACGTGCAGCTCGGTGGCTACCACTGTAATAGTAAGGTAGCCGCCGTTGACTAGCAGAGTAGGAGGCCGCTTGACGTCGAGTCGATGACGGTCCCCCTGCTACCTCGACTGATCAAACGGCCCGACAAGCTCCAAGAGACAGGTAAATTTGCGGGCCACCTCCGGAGTCAATGGGTTAACTCCGCTTGGAGGCTGCTCCAGACGGACAAAAATCTATGGACACGTCATAGTGGGCCGTCGGCAGAGATCATGACCAGGGCTTTACATATGTACAGATATATGTGAGGGATTTCCCGCCCTTCTAGCCACACTCGTTTTTCAAGCCTACAACGATACATAAACATACACTAAACATTACATTTGCATCAAAGACACAATGACTACAGACACCAAATTCGAGGGATGGCTTGGCAAGGACAAGGAGAGTGTCAAGGGAAAGATGGAATGGGGCCAGTTTGAGCCCAAGAAGTGGACTGAGGATGATGTTGACATTGAAGTCTCCCACTGCGGTATCTGCGGTTCAGACCTGCACATGCTAAGCTCTGGCTGGGCACCTACCCCATACCGTACGTATATCCAATTGCTATCGATTATCCGGCATGCTAACATACCGCAGCTTGCGTTGTCGGTCACGAGATCATTGGCAAAGCCGTCAAGGTTGGCAAGAATGTCAAGCACATCAAGGAGGGTGACCGCGTGGGTGTTGGAGCACAAGCACGCTCTTGCTTGCAGCCAGATTGCCCTGAATGCTCAAATGGCATTGAAAACCACTGCAAGCGCGGTAGCGTCAGTACCTACGGTTCAATTTACCCCGGTGACGAGGGCAAGTCTTACGGAGGATACGCAAAGCACAACCGGACCAATGGACACTTTGTGCTCAAAATTCCCGAAGGTTTGGAAAGTGCTGATGCTGCACCCATGCTGTGTGGAGGAATCGTAAGTTGTAGCTTCGATTCACTATGGAAATGAAGCACCTGCTAAATATTCCACAAACAGACCGTCTACTCCCCACTGAGAAGATTTGGCTGCGGCCCCGGCAAAACCGTAGGAATCGTCGGAGTCGGAGGTCTCGGTCACTTCGGCGTTCTTTTCGCAAAAGCCCTGGGTGCCGACAAAGTCGTAGGAATCAGCCGCAAAGCTGAGAAGCGCGACGACGTGCTCAAGCTGGGTGCCGACAAGTACATCGCAACTGATGAAGACGAAGACTGGGCCAAGCACAATGCCGGCACATTGGACCTCATCATTTCCACCGTCTCGAGTGCAAAGATGCCGCTAGATGGATACCTCGGACTGCTCAAGACCCACGGAACCCTCGTTCAAGTCGGTGCCCCGGATAAGGGCGAGCTACCTCCTATCAACGCTTTCACGCTTCTCGGGAGGGGAATTGGCGTCGCCGGTAGTGGTATCGGTGCGCCGTGGGAGATCAAGGAGATGTTGGAGTTGGCGGCTGAGAAGAAGATTAAGCCGTGGGTGCAGAAGAGGCCTATGAGCGATGCTAATAATGCGGTTGTGGATATGCAGGCTGGAAAGGCGAGGTACAGGTATGTTCTTGAGAATTAGAGGGCTGATTAGATGGCGTCTCGGGGTTTCTCATGGACTTGAAATCCGATCTAGAACCAATGATTAGGCAAGAGTAATGAATATCCATGAAATAGAACATGTATCCTGCGTCGCATTTTAACTCACTCAACGTCAATCAACATAACTTGCAAGTAAATTCAGTTTAGAGATGTCATGGAATTTATCGCTTCTAGTGTCGCACCATAGTACAGGAGTAACTGTGCTCATGTTATGAGCATCTCATCCACCGCAAATAAGAGAGACCGCAGATACTATAGCAGTAATCCTAGGTTCGCTGAAGCGGAAGCTGAGAATTCCAGGACTGTCAGCATAATGTATTTGGAAAACGAACAAAACCAAAGCAACACAGATGAATATACGTAACATTCGATTGTATAAGGCTACGCAATGATTACACTACATACACGTGCTTAGGCCAAGACCCTGCAACCTTAATTGTCTACTATTTGGGCCTTATCGCCACCAATTCCTCAGCTATCGAATAGTTCCCAATGAAATTTGCCTTCCCATTCTTAAAATGCCATTGCATTTTTCACGCTAACACGCACAGAGGATTGGTCTTTCGTCAATCTGTGCTCCGAGTTCGATTACGGGACGATCTTTCTAGTAATTATTACGTGTATAGGGGATTACTGCATGAGTATCATAGCCAGTTAATGTCATCAATATATGATACTGACTGCCAATCGATAGTTGTAGTTTTGAGGTCGTCTTCTTTGAAACCCTTATGTTAGTTCCTAGTGGCTTCGTGTACTGTTTTTTTTTCTTGGATAAATTGGCCTACTTACGAGACACCTTGGTTAAGAGTTGGGTTTTTCTTTCTTTGAAATGCGTTCAAGTGCTGCGGATAGAGCTAGATAGGATTTGCTGAACTCGTCTGGGCGCAGTGATGCTTTTATCGTTAGCATTTATAGCAAAGAGCCTTCACGGATGATTTCAGTGAATGTAAAGCTTACAATCATCGAGGATCAGAACTGTTTCTAGAACTCCATCGATTTCCAGGGTTTTCGATGCGTAGAGGATTAAGGCTTGTATGGAAAGAGCGAAGTCTGTCTAGTTGTAGCTGACAGAGGGTGTGAGGTGGTCTTTGGGTTTTCCAGAAACATTCTATTCAGTCGATCGACAGCGAGTATCAAGTGTTTAGATTGAGATGTAGATAGCTGCTACGCCTCTATTTATGTATGTTCATGTATCAATCGACCGCCACGTTGAGAGATCTGGATTATAATTCTGTTGACTACAAGAACTAGGCAATGCATTGAGTAATCTTGCCTTCGAAGTATGATCTACTATTCTTCATTGAAGACACTTGAGAACGGTATAATGAAACTTTGGAACAAACCATATCACAAGGGTCCGTCTCAACTGTCTAAAACTCATCACACAATGACTTTGTCGGTTGTATGAGAGGGCGGGCAACACCTGCTGACAGCTCTTGCTCCCAAGAGATACAATGTATCACAATTACAGCCTGTAAAATTCAATGAACATGGATGCAGCTTGGGCTGAAATTGCTCGTCTCTGTTGCTACAAGAATTGCTACTAACACTAGAAGATCGCGCCTGATACGGCTTGATGGTGATTTTTTTACACCGCATCAGTCCTATCATTTTACTGGTTCCATTCTAAAAAGTGAGCTTCCCGAAAAAGAAGAAGCAGCTTTTCGCTGATCATAACGAAATTTATGAGTACTTAGAAGAGAGAATCATGTCTCCTCTGTATGTATTTCGTGTCAAATACATGACCCAAAGATCAAGTCTTGGTTATTCTTTGAACCTGTTGAGTTGACTTTAGCGATATCGATCCCACTATTGGAGTTGAGTGTCTCAATACTGTAAATTGCATAGCTACGGCTTCGACTTTTGGCCCTACCTACCGATGACTAGCTCTTAACAACACTGCCAATGCTATACATGTAGCCACAAAGCGTAAATCTAGCCACGAATGCTCTAATTAATTAGTAGATACGTGGTTAGACATGTGAACCACAAATGGAATATCCATCACCGGCGTGCTATACTTGCAGCTCTTTAGATGCTTAAAAAAATCATATACTCTAAGCATACACTTGATACCCGATTTGCCCCTGTTCTACTGAATCACTAATGATCTTTGACCCAATAATCTCGAGGGAGATATAAATATCCTACCGAATACTCATATTTCCGGGGAAGCCTGCCTTTTATTCTCTAACTAAGACTTGAGCCCCTTCATTAGAGATGCGTTAACAGTAGCACAAGCCCTAGTACCGGAGAATGCCAGATAAAAGTACAGTGTAAGGTTAGCTCCCTATATCCAAATCTAGAAATATCTTTCTGCTGATGCTTCTATTTTATCCCACGTAGTAAACTATCACGTCGCATGTGCCGACCCCTCATCCATCAATCTAAAGCCCAAACAAGTCGCGCACGGTCCACACAGCATCAAGCCATATAGTAAGTAATCCTCATTTCGCCGGCTTGGTAGCTATGCAATACAGTTAGAAAAAAAGTTTTGAGATTAAACCCTTGACAAAATGAACCATCAGAACGCCCGAAACCACCCGGCGAAGCTTCATCTCAGCATCCTGAAACGCGTGCCGCATTTTTAAACTTTGGACAGTAGGGGTCAGCCCGTGATTTCAACCATCTTACCCTGCTAACCAAGACTTACAGAAGAAGCCCTTCTAGACCATATCAAAAAAAGCCCCGCAACCCAAATAATTCAGTCAGCAGAACCTAGGCATTTATAGCTGTCGTAATGTCAAAGCACAGCCCCTCCACCCAGAAAACAGTATCACATGAGGCCCCCCAAAACATGACATACGTAACCGAGTAACCATTCCAGTATCAACTGACTCTTTTTAAACACCAAGCCCCACCACCCCTCCTCAGCGCCCACTCTCAAAAACTCTCTCTCTTTCTATCACTCTCAATCAAACAAAACAATGTCAACAACCACGCAAACAATCACCGTCGCCCACCTGGGCGGCATAACCGCCTCGTACCGCCTCTCCCCCTCCTTCACCGCCAGCAAACCCACTCTCGTCCTCGTAAACTCCTTCCTCACCTCCGCCGCCCTCTTCGACTCCTTCTTCGCCAACGATGCGCTTACCAGCCGGATGAACCTGCTGGCAATTGAGCTGCTGGGACACGGGCAGACGAGGGCGCATGAGGCGGAGCACTGGACGTATTGGGATACTGCCGTGATGAATTTGCAGGTTATGGAGGCGTTGGGGGTGCAGAGGGCGTTTGTCATGGGGACGAGTCAGGGGGGTTGGGTTACGGTTCGAATGGCGCTTTTGGGGGGGAAGAAGGTATGTTTTCTCTCTCTTTTTTTTTTCCATGTACGGATCTTTCAACACTCTCTTGAGATGTTCTTTTGAGGGAGTGGGGAAGATATGGGGGAGGGGATGGAAGAAGAGAAAAATGTGATGTTGAGGAGAAATAAAAAAAAATAGTTGTATACGAGAAGAGAGAAAGTTTAGCTGACCGCCTGGTGTCAACTTTTTTTTGCTGCACCTACAGATTCAAGGTATAATTCCTCTTGGAACATCACTCGACTACGAATCCGAACGTAGTCGCCAACTTGGTTGCTGGCAGGCCTTGGATGCCCTCGCAAACCTCATCACGGGCGACTTCGGCGCAAAGAATAACCAGCCCACTCCCGATTTTGTGCCTACTAAGGAATTCGCCGAGTTCCTTATTAGCCAAGGGTTTGGTCAGGATTGCTCCGCGGAGGTCAAACAATTCTGGACGGAGCAGCTTCAGAAGAATTATACGGGTGATGAGGGGAGGAAGAGGATGAGGATGGCGGCGATTAATCTGAGAGATAGAGATGGATTGCACTTGAGAGCTGAGGATGTCGTTTGTCCAGTTTTATGGTTGCATGTGAGTTTTCTTATGGTGTTTCTTTGGTTCCGTCTTTTACAAGTCGTTGAATATATGAGAATTCTCTCTCTAAGTGTCAAGCTGGCAACTTCCCAAGTATGATATGTTTGCTGACATTACACAACTCCTAGGGAACAAAAGACGTGGTATACACCGTTGCGAACGCCCAAGAGGAAATCAAGCTTTTCAAAAACTCGCCCGATGCACGGCTCGAACTAATCGAAGGCGGCGAGCACTTTCTGAATTCCTCGAATCCAAATGAGGTCATGGAGCATACCATTGCTTTTGTTGAAAAGTATGCCAAGTAGTGCATCTCGCTTGACCCTTTTTGTTTGTTACAAAAAAAACAGACCTAGAATACGTAAACTTCAGTTCGTGTGCCATGATACACTAGAATTCCCTATTTTCTTTTCCTTTTCTTTTTAAGAAAAAAGAAAGAAAGAGAGCATTCCACGTCAGGCCATATAGTGAACATACCCCACCCACTCTCCCACATGCACACATACGCATACGCAACTCCATCACGACAACTACATACGTCTTCGGATACGTCACGATAATCAGCCACTCAACGCCAACGCCCTTCCCGTGGCAAAAACAAAAAAAAGAGCTCGCATCTTCCCCCGGTCACCAGCACAGCCCCAGCTGCCGGACCCTTTCCCCCTNAAGCCCTACTAAACAAGGGAAGCCTTTCGATAAGGCCGGGGGAAGTCGCAGATCAAACCTGCTCGGGGAGCGCGGCAGGTGTGAAAAATAAAAAGCAGAGCATAATGGCAAAAGTGGAAAAAAAAGCAAGGATGAGGTTTGTTGTTGAGTAGTAGTAGAGTACTTTACAAAGCAAAGTGGCTGTGAAGGGGGGGGGACGCTTGGATACGGATAGTCTACTTGTGTGGGGTTTTAGCGGCCCGCCATGGCGGACGGGAAGCAGTCGTGGACCAATGCAAATGTTACTCCGCGCTCGTACGAAGGTTTTGAAGTTTTTCCTTGGATTACGTCTGTCTTGTTAGAAAAAACCAAAATAAAGAAGGGCCGAGGTAGGAAAAGAAAATAGGTAGAGCACCAAAATTAGTTAGGATGGTATTATTAATACATTTGGGCGATTTTTTCTTGCCCGTTTTCAATTGTACGTGCAGGAAGACTTTTGGGGAACAACTTTTGTGGCTTTTCAGGTGCACTTGTAAAACGCCATTGCGTTGCTTTTGCAGCATGTACTTCTGTTCTGGGGTGTTCATTGTGCTTTCTTTTGCTTGCGTGACTTGTCGGTGAGGCCGTGGATACCGGGTATTGGGTATCGTTCATCGTTTCCTAATTCATGTTCAACAAAGAAAAAAAAAGCGATAGCGATGCATATATATTGACATCAAACATGCTATTAGATGTGTCCCGGGGACCGGGGTTTAAAACTGACCAGACAATAGCATGATGGTTACCTTATGAGTTTGTCTATACACCTACTTAATCATTACCCCTCCTCACATTCCGACTCGCAGACTAAAGGGAAAAAAATCAAGGTAATAATCCAATAATCGCTTCGTCCATGCGTAAATGCATGCGAACCCCTGGCCCCTGTGGAGGGCACTTAACGTGCATATGTTTGCCTTTTCTCAAGCAAAAGCAGGGCGATTGGATGACAGAGCTTGCAGGAACGTATGGATCTAGCTTTTTGGCGCACCTGATTGCTGCACAGTCGGGATAGAACTTGTTTCGCGGCTAGCGTGTAGGACTATCTCGATCGGAAGCAACGATGCGGTCAACGAACCCTACGGTAGGCGCCGTAGGCGAGGAAAGAGGAAGAGAACGCAAATAATATACCGGAATGAGAATAGCAACTGACGATGATGATTAGTATTGCGAAGCACTCAAGACGCAAATAGGAAATAAAAGGAAATAACGTAACCACCACATCTCCACAACAATGCATCCCGATATGTGTCGTGTTCATCGCGGAAAGAGAAGAATAATGATGATGCACAAAGCTGTTGTTGCATTTTGACACCATAGCACACCACCTTTGTGCCCTGCATCATCGGAACCTGCAGCGGACAGCGGGCAATTGTCGAGACAATGTTTTCTGGGCTCGCCTAAGTGCATATTGTAATGACCATTCTGTGACGACAAAGGCGAGGGATAGTCGGCTAGTATAACTACACCGGAATAGGCGTTTGGAAAGACCGTTTGTTATCGTGCACATGCTCATAAACCCCCCACCCCTGTCGAAACTTGGCCGTGGTTGAAGATCATAGCCGAAATCCCGTCCGCCTCGTCTCGGAATGGAAGGGAGACGCCATGCCCAGGGTCTCAATGCACGTGCACTTGTCGATACCGAAGGGCTTGTTTGCAGAAGGTCTGCACAAACGAAAAGATGCTAGCAAGAGCAAGGGGGAGAAAGATTAGCGAGACTATAGGAATCAAGAGCGGAAGACAATTGACGACGATCAAACGTGTAATGGAGAAGCTAAGTTGGAAAGTGTTTGACGTTTTGATCTGGAAGGTCTTTCGTATATACATGAGGGTTGATTGGCTGATCTGGCCAATATGTGTGAGCCGTTCATTTGGTGCCAATTTACTTTTTTTGGTGCATCTGGATTTTTCAGCATGTGCCGCGAGAATCTGATTTGCATTACCACCCTAAAGGGCGGGACAAATAGCTTGAAAAAAAGGAAGCAGGGATGCAGAAGTCGGGCCTCCTCTTGAAGCGCATCTGCGTCTTCTTCTGTAACGGGTTGGAGAGAATTGGCCCGGGATATGGCCGCTCCCTAGATAAGTACATACATCCCCGCTCCCGGACAATGGTGATGTCTTTGACTGCTATTTGTGGCGACGTCTTTCCGTAATTGCAGAAAAGATGGTGTATAGAGGTTTCGCATGGGTAGTACAGTATGTAAGACTTGGAGTATTGGGTTTGGAGAATTAGATTTGGTCAGCCAACGCGGTACCGTTGTCGCGGGTCACGGGTGACTTGAGTGGGCTGAGGAACTCGCTTGTGTGGAGTTCAACGGGGCGAGGGGGGGGGCTTGTCAAAAGGCCGGGATGAAACAGTTTCACAGCCTGGCATTCTTCTTGTCTTGACGGCTTTGATGTTCCCTCGGACAAGCTGCATGCGCCGCGTGGGCAGCCAGGATGGAGCCAGTAAAGTGAGAGGAAGGAAAGTGGGACAAGCACCCACATGAGTGAGTGGGCTTGCTGGAGTGGATATTGGCAAACGAGGTCAGTGTATTTGACGTCAGTGGTCACAATGGCCGTGCAAACGGGCTTACAACGGCCAGCCGCGATGTGGGAAGCCAGTAAGTAGATGCCAGGCACAGCCCGTGCAGCCGGAACTTGGGCTGAATACCATGTCTCAGGAACGGATTTGTGAGCGTAACACAGGTATTATGAGTCAGATATTCGATGTGGACTCGCTGCGTTTGCTGTGTGCTCTGGCCGCACGACCCGTCCAACAACAGACGAGATGGGACTAATCCCGAAAACGGCAGGTCTTGATCTATTGCCATTACTTGTCATGTCCTATCGCGCACCTCCTGTCTGCAGACCCTAAGTGGGCGTCCACTTTGGCTTGGTTATTGCTGATCTGAATATATGCTATGCACAAAGGCCCCGCTCTCCATGGAATTCCGGCGTAAGCAATGGTGGCTGAGAGGGATGGACAAGACCAAGATCAACAAATAAACAAACCAATGCTTTTTGGTTGCCTGCATAGAGCCGCGTGCATAAAGTCTAATGGTAGAGTTGTGTAGTGTAAGATCGCCCGTCAGCGGGGAGGAGGGACACGGTACGGGCTGGTGTGGACACGGTACGGATGCGAAGCCTATATCCGAATGAAGTTATAGGGTGGTGTAAGTATAATGGGGCCGACATAATGGTGAGGGGTAAAAGCCGCCGAGTGCGCCGAACAGGTCAATTTTACCGGAATTTGGTGCGTGCCAGCTTGCCTGACAGCGGAAGTCACCGTGGATGGAGAGAGCAGGTCTGCGCGTGTTGACTAATAAGAGCAGGTGCTTCTGTCGCCGTATGGCGCCTTCCCAAGAGGTCGCCGCTTCCAAGATCTAGATTCGCGGCGAATGCTACCTATGCATTTAGCATGTACGCATACTGCCGCCAAACATTTCATCGTGGCGGCACATGCCGCCCAGACATTGCGTTTAATTGAAGGTGAAAAGGTGAAATGTGCGATTCGTTCTATACAATCAGGAGTGTGTGATATTCGTGTGCATCTAGATAGTGGTGTGTGTGTGTGTGTGTGTGTGTGTGTGTGTGTTTGTGTTTAGCCAATCAATCGCTAAGCACAGGTGGTATCCTCTAAAACATAATGTGTTGATGGTGACGCCCAAGTCCTACTTTTTGTCAAGCCCAGCAAACCCGCGCAATACAAGGAGATCCAGACCGTGTTGGTATCATGAAGCCGAAAAGGTATGCAAACGAAACAAAAGCCTCCCAAAAGGTAGCGCCAGAAGTCAGCTTAGATGCTACAATGGCCAACAAAAGAAAATAGTGTGGCCATGAAGAGTAGACAAGGAAAAGTAAAATAAACCAAACGTCAATAACAGAGCGAAAAGGACAGCGAATGGTACAGGGTATATGCAGGCAAATACATAGTGCTCCATAAGAGAGGACTGCGCACATGATTAGTTCTCCTCCATCAATGCTTCTTGGTCTCCGGTTTCGCGCCAGTCGCGCGAGAGCTCGGACAGACGCTTGATGCCAGCAATGCGCTCTGCCCAGAGAGACTCGGCTGGAGACCTGAATGTATAGGCTCGTTGTGATGAAATGACGCCGATGGCCTGAAGTACCGCCTTGCGCGAATCCCGCCCAAACACAGCAGGGTGATTGATCCACTCAAGGCTGGATTCGAGTTCTGCGTCAAGGGCATGCATGGTTCGTACATCAATTCCGGCGGCGGGCGTAAAGGGACTGTCGGCATGCGGTGAGGGTGTTCGTGCTCGAGGGTCTCCACTGGCGCTGTGTGTCGTGGGCGATGCTGATTCTGTACTGCCGTTTGCACTGGATGGGTCGTTGCGCCTATGGCCAGGGGGTGGAAGTGGGGGCAGACCACCCTTGCCCAGTCCTTTGAGGATACTGCGTGTCTCCGTGAGCAAGTGATGAGCTCGTTCATGCTGGCCTCGTGAGACAAGCGTCAATGCGCGTGTCAACATGTCTGACGTGAGCAACTCCATACGTCTCTGCACAACATGTGGGTGAGGCGGAATCGGGGGTGTCGGGGGAACCGTGGTAGAGTTCTTCCTTGTGCTGGAAGGTAGTAAAGTAATGGCTAGTAGTGATGGCCGCGGCAGGTGCGCAAGGGAGCCTTCTCGAAGAATGTCACCATATGTGAGATCAGCCTGGATCAATGGTACTTCTTCAACACTGAGTGTGCGTGAGTCGTCCTGGTCAAGTGGACCTCCAAGGGCTTCAAGGCCGGATACAATTGTTTCCCAAGGATCCTGGGGAACCTGCTCGGGGGAACCTGTGTCTGGCGCAATGGCCAGTTGCACCAAAATGTCCCTCTTGTCGCCGAAGCGCAAGTCGCCCAACGAAGCTTCGGCGTCTCGTCCGGTGGCTCGTTTAGTAATGTGCAGCGCGCCGCTGATCTTGACAAACTTGGCAGGAGAACCTTCTGGTAGTCGTAGTTTCAGCTTCACGTTTTGATGCGAAGTCGTCTGGAGAGAGCCCAAGCACCCGGCTGCGCACTCGCGAAGCATCATCCAGTCCTTGACGTAGGTGTAAGATGCCTTGGTCCGTGTCGAAAGTTCAATCATTGTGTCAGGCTTGTGCGTTAGTCCTAGGCCAAAAGAGTGAATAGAGACCCTGGGGAAAGCACGTCAGTACTGCAAGGTTGTATTTAGTGTGGTATGATGGGGAGGGGGGGACTTACTTAGCAGCCTCGGCGCGGGACACAACAAAGTCGACGCTTTCGGTATCCGAGACGGACGAGTCACTGATGAGGAGGATAGACGAAAGAGGGTTGCTCGACTTGCGTTGCATGAGCAAGTCCATGGCCACGTTAGCTCCATCCACCACATCTGCACGCAGGCTCTTTTGTCCGACCGGGCGTATGGAGTCAAGCACCTTTGACCAGTCTCTCCACACTTTGCTGGTCATGCCGACAATGGGGACGCCGCCGCCGCTTGAACCAAATGTGACTAGACCCATGCGATCACGCTCGCCGAGGTTGTTTACCAAGAAGCGCAAGGTGTCACGCAACAAGTTGATTTTCAATCCTTGCATGGATGAAGACACAGGGATGACGACAACAATGTCGACAGGGACATGTACCGAGGTACCGAGACGGGGTTCCGGCATGCCCGCGCGCGAAGTGCTATACTCTGTAGGCGCCGTCATGGTCGACCTGGCTGCGCCGTAAGAGGAATTGATGGAAGAAACTCGCTTTGGCCGGCGGTATTCGTCCTCTTCTGTTCCCGAGTTGTCCTGATCGTACTCGGGCATGCGGGTGGCGACGGGAAAGTCGAGACGAATGTCCATGAGGGCGCGACGCCACAGCTCTAATTGGCTGGGGTCTCGGAACTGCAGATGAAAGGCCGGGAGCTCTGCGACGGAGAGGCTGAGGGTGAGAATCAAGTTGTCGGGCGAGTGTTCGACCTGGTTGAGGTGCTTCTTGATCAGGATGGAGCCTTTGAGGGTGCATTTTGTCTTTTTTGTGGGCGATGCACCATCCCACTGGGGCTGGGTAACCTTCTTCTCCTTGACGCAGATGAGCATCTCGGAGAAGAGATAGCATTCGAGTTCCTGCCATGACTGACGGTCCTTGCCTACGCGGATGTGGCCGTGGAGTCGCAACTTGCCGAAGCGCGAAAAGTCCAAGCCGTGCCAGTTGTCAACACGGGCATGGAGGTCCTCTGTAATCTCGTCCAGGACCTCTGCCGGTTCGTATTGGGGCTCGGATGGTCTGTTGTTTACAGGCGACTTGCTGCGGGTGTAACTGCTCTCCGCAACGCTGGCGACGGAAGGAAGGGCTGGAGCACTGCGCATGTCATCCGGATCCGGACGCCATTTTCCCTCGACGACTTCGACTGTGACGAGGCAAGTGAGGCTCTGCTGTTGTCGTGATCTACTCAGTGTAGGGAATTCGCTGCGCACAGTAACTGTTGGGGCGGGTATTGGGCTCTTGAGCATGGCGCGCGGGCTGCTGAGGCTGGTTTCCATGGACTGCACATCGTAGTCATGCCGCCGGCCCTCGTGTGTGGGGGCATAGTCATTGGATGAGGCAAGGCCCGTGGCGCCAGAGTCGCTGCGGCCATGGGCACGGGAGATGGAGCCGGCTCGATCTGAGCCACGGTCGCGGCTATGACTGCTATCGCGCTGGTGGTTGTGGTGGTGGAGAGAGGAATACGAGGCCGAGGCATTGCTGCCATTACGGGGACGGCCATGGGACGCGTCGTCATGCCGCCTGTCGGAGGAGACGGTCTGGCTGTCCCACGGGGTGGGCGTGTTTGAAGCGCTCCGGTGGCCGTCAGAGTGCTGGGATGGGGCCGGGTCGCTCTGGACGGAACGCACAATGGTTGAGAGTTTCTCTGTCCCCACATCAGCATGGCTGCTCGGCACAGCTTCTGGCGACGGCCTACCCAGATCTAGCACGTTTCCACCTCTGCTAGTGTCGAGCGCGAGGGCGGCGTCGCATGTCGGGCAATGCTGCGACTCGAACTCGCGAATGTACTCGTAGAAGCATGCTTCGTGCGCCACATGGCCACAGGACAGCTGCAGGATGCGCTCGCCGCGCAGCGTGTACTCGAGGTTCTCCTCGCAGACGCAGCATTCGCTGCCAATGAAGGTCCTCTCGCGGCGCGTCCGACTCTTTTCAATGTCCATGGCACCCGTGGCAGCTCGGCCAGAGCGGGGAGGGGGCGGCTGCGAAGCAAGATTGACGTCGGAGCGGTGGCCGTGCGAGTTGAACGACTTTTGCGTGTGGCCGCTGCGCGAGCTGGGACGGAAGCCCAGAAACGACATGGGCGCGCCTGAGCCCCCAGACAGGCCGTGGTGGAAGCCGGGGAGGCGGTGGTGTGGCCGGGCCCAGCAGGCGACGTCGAGTGGAGGGCGGGTGGTGGAATGCGGGCGGCAATGGCAGTGTTGGTGGTGGTGGTGGTTGTTGTGGGAGGTGGGTTGGGGCAGTCGAGAGGGAGATGGCCGAGGGTTGGGGGGTGGAGGAGGGGTGCGGGCAGGCAAAGAAAGGGTAGGTAAACGGGCAGGACATGGACGGGCAGGGCTGGCAGCTGGATCGCCTCACGCACGTTTCAGCATGGAGAAGGGCAGGCGGAGGATGGTCGAAGAGGCGGCGGGCTGGGTGGACCTTTAGGCTAGAGGGTCCAGGTACCGGCAAGCTGCGTGAACCGGGGTATTGCCATTGCGCCCGACACGCGATTCGAGCCGTGGCACACGGACGCCCATGGAGTACTTAAGTCGACGGCCAATGCAGCCATGGAGCGCACAAGAGGGTGCCCCGAAGCGGATGCATGCTGCTGTCTGCAGGCGCCCGACTGGGGCTAGCGCTGCAGCGGGCCTGTGGGTGCCTGGGGCGTGGTTCCATGCGGGCATCCACTTGCTGTATGTGCGTGTGGTGTGCGTGTGGGTGCGTATGTGTGCGCACGTAGTATGTGTGTGTGTGTGCGTGTGTGCGTGTGTGCGTGTGTGTGTTTGCAACCACCGCCCGACGCATATCCATCTACCCACCCAATCCCTGCACGGGGCTCGGCGGCGGCGCCCGGGCCCTGGCGAGCGACGACGTGCCGGCTGGCGGGCAAGGCCCAGCAAGGGCAAGGGTCGGCAATAGGGAGGATTGGGCCAGCGCGTTTGTTATGTTCCATTCCCACTGATTCAGCCGCTAGCCTGCCCTCATCCACGGCCAAAGCCATCGAGCCATGGGCGTGCCCATGCCCATGCTGCCGGGCCACCGACCGTTCGCAGGGCGAATCCCCCCTCGGCCTGCTGCTCCCAGCGGCAGAGCCAGAGCCAGAGCCAGCCCGACAGGAGAAAGAGCCCAGCCAGGAGGCCGTCCCGCCCACACAGTCAGACACGCCATCGGCCATCGACACACAGACACACGACGGCACACGACAGCCAGACAGACAGGCGACATGCCCATGGCCGTCGCACCTTCTCCTGTCTCTGTGGCTTGCCGCTGCAGATGGCGCTAGAAGCCTTCGTGGGCTTATTGGAATCGCCCTCCTCTCCCGCCGGCTCACCATCGAGTCAGGCTCGCCTGGCAAACTTTTGCCTTGGGCGTGCATACGACGGACAAGCTCCGCTTCTAGAAAACCACGCCCGTCTTCACCCACTCCTGTCCCCGAGAGAACAGACTCGCTCCCTGGGAGACAATAAAACCATCCCGCACCCACGACACACGGCTCCCAAGCGAAGCGACAAGGTCAGGTGACGCGACCTTCATGGGCCACATCCGTCCCATCCAAGTACACCAAGTCCATACTCCACACACATCACTGCCATCCATCGTGCCATCTCTGTCTGCACCTGCACCTTGCTCCAAACTGCTCCTCGCGTGGCTTGCGCCCATGCAACCACAGCGCCTCTCTGCGCTTGCTTCATTGCCCCTCAATGACGATGTCGTGTGCTGTCGTGGTCCCTGGATCTTCCAGCCCCGTGCGGGTCCTCGCGCAGTCGCCAGCCTCTGGCGCCCTCGTCGATTCGTGCACATGATGACGGAATCACCATAGCCGCCATCGCCAACCTGCTCTCACCCACCACTTCACTATCGCAACAACCTGATCTCCGGATCTACGGCAGGGCACACCACCCACTAACACCCTTAGGCGTCCACTCTCAAGCTGCAAGCTCGCATCCAGCAAGCTATCCTCTGTTCAAAGTCATGCACACGACACAATCCGCACCCCGATCGCCCATTTGCCTCGTATTCTCCCCGCCGCCAGTCTCGTTTTGTTCGTATCTCCAAACTGTACCCTCTTCAGGCAATGCACGCACTCTTCTCCTTCTTCTTCTCCTTCTTCTTCTCCTTCTTCTTCTCCTTCTTCTTCTTTTCCTCCGCCCTATCCCAATCACAGAACCTTCTTCGCCCTGTTTTTTTTCTCGCTGGGACTGGTGCCGATTCGCTCTCTGCATTAGTTGCCTAAGCGGCATCCACTTGGCGCCAGCAAGTGGGCTATAGACTTAGAACCATGCAGAACCAACCTCCGCTCATTGTTCGCAAAAAAGACTCATTGGCCATGCAGAAGCGAGCCAAGGTCCATGTTACATTATACTACCGTATGCCTACGTGTCTGTGTACACTCTAGCGACAGTTTCCTCAATCACAAGCCGACTCACCGTCCAGCACGACATCTAAATCGCAGCTGCGGCACGCCTCGCTTGCTGCCGATCATTCTGCCGAACTGATGTGTACAGTAGTGTCGGGATGCTTTCCTCGACTCTTTGAAGAACATGTGCCCTGTGTTGGGCAGAAGTGCTTCAAGGCCATCCAGGACATGGGCCACTTTTAGGACTCGACTACTTACACCCACCCAGCTTGTGCCGGTACCGCCCATGGAAGTATCGTCATCTCCAAGCATACTCGCCGCTACTTTCTCCTCTCTCACACAACCCTTCTTCCCGTTCAACGCAGGACTAGTAGGAAACCGGCTTGTCAAGCCTAGCCTGCAAGAGCTTCTACACACTAGGGCGGACATATATCCTTAGATTCGTGCTACTGTGTCTGCTTCTTCCTTGATGCCGCGTCCCTTTTTTCGATTAACCGACTTATTCCAATACTGCACTCATCATTGGGCAGCCTGGCATTCTCGCTACACATTTTTACTATCCCGTCAAAAGGGGATCACTATTGAAAGAACAGGATCAGGAGCGCTTCGTGGTCCGAGCGTTTCCACGTGGCTGCTTGGCCGTTTGGCCTAATTCGGACATATCTGATGTCATTCTGCAATGGCGCCTTATCGCTTGAGATATTAGCCTTCTGAGACGACACACTACCGACTGAAAAGGGGCCTTGCGCGGGTGTCGCAACATCGGTACACCAGTACAGCAATCACGGGTGTGTGCCGTTATACAATACCGGTGTCACTTCGGTGCTCGCATACATTCCATGTGACTCGTATTCCAAAACCAACGCTACTACTTACTACGCCAGTTGGAACTTCCCCAAACAACCGCCCCATTGGGCCCTCAGCAGCTTCAAGTTCTCCATCTGAGTGGGGTAAACTAACCTAGGTGCCCCTTGCTCTCAAGACGCAGAGCTTCGAGGGAGTAGCACAATACGATGCACTTGCAGCAATGCCTTTGGGCTATTTACTAGGCTGACCCTGCATGCCTAGGCAGCCACCGGACATTTCTAAAAGAGGGGTATGGTCTGGTTCCGGGACGGAACGTTTAGTTCAACAGATGCAGTCGGAGTTGACTCCGCTTACCATTTTCAACCACGGTTCGACTGCCTAGTCGTCTTCTTGGGTACCACTCCTAGGGGTCGTGTCAACATTTTACACAAGCCCAGCGGAATCGAGACTCAGGAGTATCCTAAACGGAGATCATCTGGTGTAGATTTCTTGGACATTGATGTACGATTGAAGAATAACCCAAAGTCACTAGGAATAAGCGGCTGTGGTAGTGGCGATGTTGATTGCATACATCCATGTCTCAGCTACTACTCATGACTACACAGCACGTATGCAGCGGTAGTGCTTTGTCACGTCCAAGGCTGCTGGATTTGTCAAAGCTGAGGTATTGTCACTGGCGTTAGGCAGCTTGCCGTCCGATGTCCATCACACGGCTCAAGTAATACAGAGAAACTGATGCAACATGACAGTGTAAAGTTTGGCACTTGGAACCCGACATGATGGGACACGTCGGAGCAATCACCAGGGGAGCGGCTCTACTCTCTTGCCATCCTCATTCTTGAGTCTCGAGCCTGCACACGCAAGTGTGAAGGCGGTGGTAGTAGTAGTAGTCCTACTACACCCATCTTGCTATTCAATCGCAAGGCTGGTGCCAGATCTAGACTTTGCCTGGAAGCTTTGGGGGGACAGCTGTATCGTGCTAAATTCCCTTGCCACTCATCCCAAGCTTCCCACGGAAATTCTCCGATCCACCCGTTGATTACTTAGGGCTGGCATCGATGGTGGAAGTCTATTATTCCTGCCACGTGTGTGGAGGGTAGGCAAACTTTGTTCGTTCGACATTCTTGCTGACCAAACTTAATGCGCACGCACTCTATGCAACGTTCGTTGCTTACCGACTACGTACGGTTGACCATCGTCCAGATCCTAGCTAACGTCGATCTACTGTATGACGATGCGACAGTGCAAGCCGTCACACTCATTTAGATCTACCACTTCTCGCTAACCGAGTCAGCTGAAGATATGTCCCGATCCTCAAAGACGGCCTTTGCACTTGAATCGGATTGTAGATCTGACCTGTCAATCTGTGGCATCCCATCGCTTTCAGACTACACTAAAGAGAACCTTGATAGCCCAGAGAGGCCCCTGTTTGCCTGCAATGCGAAACACCCGTGTCATGGTCCCCTCAGCCACGGCGTTCTTTTCGTCTCGTCCATGCATTATTATTATTATTATAATTCGTCGTCTTGGATCTGGCCAGTGGTCCTTACAGTCACCTTAGCTCTGTCTGGATAGCCGTTGCCAACGTGTATTAATGGAATAAGGTTGACTTCACCTGTGGCACTATTACAGAGCTGTACCTAGTGAGACAGCCTCTCGGCTGCTATTACCACGCTACCTCTACTTCGTCGCATACTGGCGGGAAAAAACTTTCTAGGGAGTAAGGAAGACAATAATAACGACAACAATATGTAAATGCAATGAAAACTCCCCGATGACGTAAGTTTTGACTCTGTCGAACATTTCTCCCATTTTAGCCGGGTATCACCCTCCTCCATGCGTATCGGGTTGCTGTTACCCTGTACTCTTGGTGCATATCAAACTATGCCATTCTAATTCTATTCTTCACATTTCTTTTCACCGCAGCTGTCAAAAACATCTCTTACAAATCTAAGTTTGTCTGCTCTGACCCTGTTGCATTAATCACAAGTGCTCAGCCCAGCAAGGGTTTCCTCTTCCCCCGCACACACAAGAAAAGAGAAATCACAACAGACTTGCTACGCGTGGACAGTGACGCTGACATATAGTCCAGGAAACTGAATATACATCCCGTTTGTTGGGTTTTGGCTTGTCTCAGGCGCATCCTTGCAACAGCTGTCATTTGTCATGTACCTTGTACATGTATATGGCCTTGGCGTACTTAACGTATCCCTCCCATCTCCCTCTCGCCGATACCAGTTTCACGGTCTCAGTATGAACCAGCTTTTCAGGAATAGCCGGGGGGTCCTAGGAACCACGTTGGTCACGATCGGGATCTTGACAGCGGAAGCACCAAGTCATGTTACATGTTAATATGAGCAGTAATTTTATACAACACACATTATCGGGTACAATATTCGACGCAAAAATACAGCCTATGTATGAACATCAAGTTTACAAATCCTCTCGGTACAGATCTCCCGCATCCTTCCCAACATCAAACACCACGATTCAATAACTCTGATCGCCACTAAACAAGTCTCTCCGCAAGATAAGAAAGCATAATTCCCCGATATCACACTGCATACAAGAAACACAGCCATCGGGAATCGTCAATCCTCCGAATATGTAAAGTAACACGAAGCTGCACTAACCCTCCTTCCCCTGCTCTTCCCCGTCTGACATCCGACATGCGCGCAAGAGGAAAAACCCGCGATAGTGGAAAGAAAAGAAAAGAGAGAAGGGGTAGGAGAGAGTAATACCGTAAATGCCCCATCTACCCGTCTTCCCCGGTATCAGCTAATTCGCATCTTCACATTTAATACCAATCAAGTGCAAGATGCGCATGTCTTTACACTTGCTTGAATGCACACCCCCAGGGGAGAGTGCACACGCGGATATCATGACCCGTAATATGCCAGAGTAATCCAAGCAAAAATAACAAGGAAACCCCGTGGTGCTCGACCGCCGCGTCACCTCAAACCGGCTTCATCCGCACCATTCACGACGACGATGCAACCAGTGGGGGTGCAGTCGGAGTCGGAGTTGGGGGGGGNGGGGGGGGCTACGTGTGGGGGGGTTTTACGGAGGCACTCCAACAACACCATGCCTATATACGATGACCCTTGCTCTATAACTACTACATACCATGACGAGTCATTGTACGATCGTATCCTAAAAAGGGTATCCGGGCGGTGATGATGATGCCCGTTAGCACGGATATTGTCTTTTTTTTTCTTCTCTTGTCCTCGTCTTTCTGATTGCTCGGCTACGTTTGTATGCTTACGCAGGGAAAGATGTAGCGAGACTAGGTAGTTAGGGGGGTAGGGGAGGCACGTACGTACTTGTCGTGTACGTATTTGTGACACAAAGAGGGAACTAAGTAGTAGTGCCGTGATTCAAGTAAGAAAGAAAGGGTAATGATGCGTTGCTAATTCGTGCGGGTTTTCTCTCCGTTGTTTCCGCTTCGTTACATATGTGGGGTGGTTTTGTCTTTTCGGCACCCGACGTACTTTGGGATATAGTGATTGCAAAAATGGGAATAAAAAAAGTCGTCCCGAAAGTGGAGAATATTAAATCTAGATTTCTTCTTAAAAAATTGTTTGGCTATATCGTTGATTGGGATACTTTCAAGGGATGCCGGATAACCTCGAACATGCGTTCCCACAACGCTATGGCACAGACGACGTCTTGAAACCTCCGGGTTTTTGCCGTGATAAGAGCGAGGTAAATTATCGAGAATCCTTCCCCAAAAGTGTGAGAGGGAGAGAGAGAGAGAGAGACACGGACAGATACCCTAGATGATTATCAAAAACTCACCTATACGCCTCATCGCTTGGTTTCTCGGTCGAAAAAAAAGGAGAGAATTGGACGAACATGGACGCAAAAGTCGTAATTGCAACCTCACCCTCGTGTTGAGCAAATCCCATCTGCAAACGGAATGGAGCGTAACAGCCCACATACTCTACACTTCCACATTCAGAAAGGAAAGAAAGAAAGACAGAACTGCCGACCGCAAATCCTTCACCTAAACCACTAAAAAAAAAGCTTGCCAAGTATGTAAGCAAAGAAAGTAAGCCGGGTAAACTTGTCGCAAAAGAAAAACCCTCCCAATCTATTGAGTTTGATCTACTATACTTTTTATACATGCCATGCAACATACACACAGCCAAGTACATACTTGTGTACGTGGTAACAGCACATGCGGGAACGTGCCGTCTTTTGGGGGAAGGGAAAGGTCAAGGGGAAAGATTTCCATCCATCCTTACTCCATTCAGACATCATCAACATTTTAGTATGTAGTATGTCATGCCAACCGCCCCCTCCTTCCCCCCCTAATGTGCAAAGAAAGGAACCCCCCACCCAAAATCAACTTATTGAATGATTTAACTTCACATCGTGATGTGCAAAAAGGGTTTTTTTTCTGGCGAGTCGCAATCACAACTCTTCGAGACAGAGAAGATCGCAATAACCGTTTAAGCCCCATAGTAAGCCCAGTTGCCAATACGAAGAAGGGACCATAAAAAAAAGCACAGGGCTTGTCTTGGTCTTTGGGGGAAAGGGGGGGGGGAGTTCAGGTCAGAGTTCCCCGTTCAGGACCCCGTGCAGTCCCGTGCAGTCCCGTTCAGTCTTGTCTTGTCTTGTCTTGTCCTGAGCTGACCTGACCGACCCACCATGGCCAAGAAGAGTCTAAGCTCACCTGCTGCACCGCCTCAAGGGCCCTGCAGCAAACTGTGGCTAAGTCACCTTTTTTACACAGAGCCTTGCCCTGTGCGAGGCTACCCACTTTTTCCAGACAGAATCAACACAAAAAATGGCACGTGAGAATGAATTGAGTAAGTAGGTTAGGTATTGGAGCCGTCTCTCAGAGATGCTGGCAACACAACCAAACCAGCTCGCCTTGCTAACAACTGGATCCACCGTACAAAGACACGAAAAAAGCCCAATTTGACCCTTGGCTCATCGCTGTCAACCCTCGGCCGTGTCACTGTCATGATGCATGTATTCGTTCAAACCCCGCTATTTCGAATGCTTATTTCTGCATCATCAGCTGGACGAACTCGTTGTCTGTCTCGTGTCAGTCTGGTGCGTAACCAAGATTAAATTCCCAAACACCTACAGTCGATACGGCCGTCACCGTCCTGATCAGCCTCCCGGATCATCTCGTCAACCTCGTCATCAGTCAACTTCTCGCCAATGGAGGTCATGACGTGGCGCAGCTCAGCAGCTGAGATGAAGCCGTTGTTGTCGCGGTCAAAGACCTTGAAGGCCTCCCGGATCTCCTCCTCGGAGTCGGTGTCCTTCATCTTGCGGGCCATCATGGTGAGGAATTCTGGCATGACATCAGCGAGGCCGTAATGGGCTCAGAGTCGGCAGGCTGACGTACCTGGGAAGTCAATGGTGCCATTGTTGTCGGCATCAACCTCGTTGATCATGTCCTGAAGCTCAGACTCGCTGGGGTTCTGGCCAAGCGAGCGCATGACGGTGCCGAGCTCCTTGGTGGTGATTTGACCTGTGGCGCAATATGGTCAGCCTTGTATCCTGTTTGTATCGGGGGGGTAGTGGCTTCGGCGCGGAGTATGGGGGCGTGAGTTGGGCACAGAGGGTACTGACCATCGCCATCCTTGTCCTACACAAGAAAACACATGTCAGCAACATGTCCACAGAGCCATGGACGGGGTGCTAGGCAGCCGCGCGTCAACAGCGAGGGGAGGGGTAGAGACTTACGAAGAGGGAGAATGCCTCCTTGAACTCGGAGACTTGCTCCTCAGTAAGAGAATCGGCCTAGAGGGTCGTGTCAGCGATGCGCGATGGGGGCGTGGGCGGGGGGCCGCAGTTGTGTATGGGAGGGCGGGGTATGTTTTGGCAGAAAGCGAGGAAGCGCGGGGCTACAGACCATGGCTGGTAGGGGGGTAGGGTGGTGGAGGAGGGAAGATGTGGTGGTGGTGGTGGTCAGGAACTCAATTAGGGTGGTGCCTGGATGGGTGCCAACTGGCGATATATAGCAGAGGGCGCAGGTGCGGTGTGAAGGAGGTCTCTAGGCGTGTTTGCGGCTGGAGAAGATGGGCTGAAGTGGAGCTGGACTGTCAGCCAGCCGGCCTAGTGCCGCCTCGCTGTTGGGAAGGGGCCACTCGCTGCCGCTTCGGGCAAGGCGCCCCGTTGCACAACCACTGCCCAGACACACGGCCACGATTGCATGCGCCTCAGATCAGACGCCCGTCCATACGTTCACACTGAACAAGTACTTACACACCCGCTATACATAGCCCGCCTAGAGCTCTACCATGACACAGCCCCGTTGACCCTCGCCAGCCCATCATGTGGCGGGACCGGACCAACCTGTATGTCGCCAAACCCACGCTGCCTCGCTTTGCTGCTGACGTAGCCACCTAGCTTTATCTCGTACCGCCAGTCGTACTCGCACCACCCCCAGAAGAAGAAGACGCGCTATGGCCTCCCCGGCTCCAATGGTTTTGGCGACAGCAGGCGCATGTCCGAGGAGCGCCAGGGTCTCATCCCAGCCTTCGAGGACGACGGCGATGCCGTTATAGAGATGGATCTACTGCCGCCGCGCTGGCTGGACATGCAGGACGAGGTCACCCAGCACCTGGCAGAAATAGCAAAGCAGACGCGCAAGCTCGATCAGCTGCACCAGAAGCATGTGCTTCCCGGTTTTGACGATGAGGATGTCAAGAAGCGCGAGGAGCGCGAGATTGAGCAAATCACCCAGGCCATCACCCGCCTTTTCCAAAAATGCCAGCAGGCCATCAAGCGCATAGATACCATGGTCCGCGAGGCCAAGCAGCAGGGCAGCATCAACCAGGGTGAAGAGGTCATGGCCCGGAACCTCAAGATCTCGCTTGCCTCGCGTGTCGGCGAAGTGAGCGCCATGTTTCGCAAGAAGCAGGCCGCCTATCTGAAGAGTGAGACTGTTCCTTTGTCCTATGCTACATGCCGTGCTGATGTCTCTCCCTAGAACTCCGCGACCTCGGAGGCTTCACTTCGCCCTTCCGCTCTGCCACGCCGGTACAGAATCCCTACAATGACCCTGCGCTACAAGAATCAGATGCCGACCGTTCCTTCTCTCAATCCACACTACTCCAAACGAAACAACAGCGCATGCGACACGACCCGAACGAAGCTTTGATAGCTCAGCGGGAGCGCGAGATTGAGGACATTGCCCAAGGCATTATCGAGCTGGCAAACATCTTCCAAGAACTCCAGACCATGGTCATTGACCAAGGCAGTATGCTGGACCGAATAGACTACAATGTTGAAAATATGTTCAGAGATGTCAAAGAAGCAGACAAGGAGCTCAAAGTAGCTTCTGGGTACCAGAGACGAAGTGTAAAGCGCAAGATCATGTTGTTGCTTGCCATTCTCATTGCGGGTGTATTCATACTACTATCGCTCAAGTTGAGCAGGAAAGGCGGTGATGGAGTGTCTGCTGTTCCCAAAGTTCCAGATGTCCCGCCAGCGGCGGCAGTAAAATCCAGACGGCAGTCAATAACGATGCAAACGAATCGATTCTGGCATAGAAGAAAACGGCGGTTGTGGCAGGACCCTATACAAGACCCTTTGATCTTCTAAGGGCCACTTCCTACATAATTATAGTAAACAATACCTAAATACTTCATGCTTTGTCTTTTTACTTTTCTGCATGTGATACTAATCAAACTCAAGATGTTGATTGGCAACTCAGGCTTGTTTATACGAGCACGAGCAATTGAACGCTTATGCGAACCCGGTTTTTAATTACTACTGGCAATGTAAATTTTCTATGCGCAGTCTCTATCGTATCGCAGACTACGCTAAATGTACGACAGTTTCACTCTTCTCTATGACTGTGCAAAGGAAAGCTGTATCAGAAGTAGATTTAGTATCTCTAGCACTTGTTTCTTTTCTTCCTCAAGCAAAACCAGTTTATAGGCTTGTATAATCTTTGTATCCGCTCTCTATCGCAGGAATAGGCTTCTTGTCGAAATGTCTTACAACTCATAAGCTTTTGTGAAAGTATGAGAATGAATAAGTAAACGAAAGGAAAATGCGGAGGCAGCAAAGAAAAAACCTTTCTTAATACAGGAAAGGGGCTCAGATAACTGGTAGTCAGAGGACCGTATGCCCATGTGGCTGTGCCGCATCAGGATTCAGAGCTAGCCGCCCATCCTCCCAATCTTCAACTTTTATCCGTTACTTCTTTCATTACTCTCTATTTTTCCTCTCACCTGCAAGCTTTTGAGCCATAATGGGCGTCGTTTTTGTTACTGACAATAAATCCTATTCATTGGCATATCGTTTCCTTAGGGACATACAACCATGTCACCAAGCAACATACTGTTTAAACTAGCCCGCGCACATCCTTACCAAACGATATTACACGCCTTAAATGGCGCCATCTTTCTCGAACCAAGGGTATTTACTGTACCCACCTTCCGGGCATTAGGCTTCGAGCAAAGAGGGCCTCGCAAAGGTCCAACACCCTTGTATCGACCTCCCACATTCTTACTAAAAGAGCTCAGACTCAACAGCCTCAACATGGATGCGAATCAAAGATACCTCATCCACGCAGAACATATACTCCACGCTTCAAAGTGGAGCCATGGGTGGCAAGGGTGTAAATAGTGTTGATACTGCAGTGCGAGCTGGAGCCATCATCTTATCAGTAGCAGTGTGGCGTAGAGGCCGTCGCTGAGCACAAGGACATGTATGCTAGAGAAACGGGGTATGCATATGCTAGAATCGTCTTTGCGTTGGCAAGGCTGAACAGATGTGGCGTCATGTTTGCAGCCAACCAAATGCAGCGCCACTCATTCACCCCTCACCAGGGCTAAAAGGTTAGCCTCAGCCTTGTGGTGAATACTATCTTGATAGATAAGAACTCTCATTCTACAAGTTCTTGGTTGGAGCTATCAACGCAACTCTTACCCTCCACCACTTGAAACAATTTCCGATATCCAGGTCCGTCATGGTGAACGTGACAGTCGCGTCTGTTGCGGCTACAGCGCAGCCTCTCATCGATTGGGTAGCAGCACACCCAGGCCAAGCAGCTCTCTATACTGTCAACGGCGTTGTTTTTCTTGCGCCTGCTGCTGCCACTGCACCCATCTTTGCTGCGTTTGGTTTGACTGCTCTAGGACCTGCCGGTGGTATGTCGGCCCGAACTCGTACAAATGCTCTATTCTAATAGACAACAGGTTCGCTTGCCGCATCTACAATGAGCTACTTCGGTTACGTCCCGGCAGGCGGCGTGTACGCTCTGGCACAGAGTGCTGCCATGGGAGGGTATGGCGCTGGTCTCGCTGCTGGGGCTGCACAGGCAGGTGCGGTAGTCAGCTCTGGGCTCACTTGGTTCATGGGTAGAAATCACACTGCTGCCTAAAAAGCAGTCGCTGTGAGCGGTTGTTGGAGTTGAGCAACAAACAATCAGGAGGTCGATTTGGGGCACGTGAGAGGACTCATACAGTATGAAATGCGAGCAGCAAGGTAGATGGGCCAATGGTGTTGCTACTAGTATAGTACGTACCGTAACCTCGGCCTGGGATCCTTCACGCCAAGATAGCGAGACACCGAGACAAAGGCCTCCAGGCATCCTTCTTAAACCTGCTAGGAACACATTACAAATATACGAGATACGCAAAAGAACATCGAATCCTCAATAGACTAGTCCAAACTTTACACGTGACTTTTCATATCGTCCATCCAACACTACCAATACAACCAAGACTAGATATCCACAGCCATGGCAACTCCAACACCCCCAACCCCCTCAGAGCCACGCAAACCTCTCTCCGAATTTGAAAAGATCGGTCACAACATCTACATCTGGACCTCGCCATCCTACCTCTCCAAGTCACCCTCAGAAACCCCGCTCATACTTCTCTTCGCCTGGAACGCCGCAGCCGCAAAGCACATTGCCAAATACACAATAACATACCAAAAACTCTTCCCCACATCCCGCATCCTCTTAGTCCGATGCTACACGCTCGATATTTTCCGCCGTTCCACGGCCTATGGACCTCTGCTCAAGCCCGCCCTGGACGTTGTAGCTGCACACACCGACAACGGCGGTCAAGTCCTCGTGCACAGCTTCTCCAACGGCGGCGGGAACCAAGTCAATGAATTTGCCAAAGCGTGGAACAAGCGATTCGGCACAAAGATGCCTATGCGCGCGCAGATTCTTGACTCGAGTCCGACCAAAGGCCCATGGATGAAGAGCCACGCTGCCATTGCCGCATCGCTGCCCAAGACGCTGTTCTGGCGGTGGTTTGGCGGCGCGCTGGTACATGTTTTGATCCTGTTGACGTGGCTGGTTGTTTTTGTTCGGCGCAAGGAGAACAAGATGATTGTCATCTGTCGCGAGTTGAATGATGAGGCTGTGTTTGATAATCGTGTGCCGAGAGTGTATCTGTACAGTCGTGCGGATACGATGGTGGGGTTTGAAGAGGCAGATGAGCATGCGGACATTGCAAAGTCCAAGGGGTGGGATGTGACGAAAGTACAGTTTGAGAAGAGTGCGCACTGTGGGCATGTACGGGAGGATGAGGATAAGTATTGGGCTGCGGTGCTGGAGGCTTGGAAGAAGGGGCCTAGATGTAATCTGTAGCCATCAACGGATGAGCGCATGAGATCAATGGCGTAGCATGTTGCAGAGCAGCAGACGTATTCGGATTGAAGAATATCTAGAGCCGCGCCGCTACCAGTGATAGGTAGATGTTCCACAGTAGACCACAGAAACTCAGGAAGACGATGCGGCGCTCAACGGGGATAAATGTGGTGCTGAAGAAATTGGCAATTGGCCAGACTTTGTACGAATCGAAGATGAGGCCGAATAACTCCTGATGAGCAGTTAGTAATCTACAGCAGTGGGCTCGTATGTTGATAAAACTTGCATTTCTAAAGTCCTGAGCAATCAATGCTACTGTTTTACGCTTCATGATTCCAATCAAGACAAGGAACATTGACTGGTTCAGCAACGCGCCCATGGTGATACACTGCATCTCGTTAGCACTGAGCCATTCGTATAGCGATGACGCTACGACGAGTCATTGGTGACCACCTACATCGGTAAACCATTTTCTAAAGATATTCCACCAATTCCTCACTCTAACCTCCTCTTCGATGATACCGCGACCATCGCCATCCTCCTTGAGCATGATGCCCTTTTCCTCCTCGCCATCTCCCACTGTCCTTGTCTGTTTTACCGTCTTCCACCCGGGGAACGCACGTTCAAGCCAGTTCTGCCAATGATAGTTTACCGGCGCAGTAAGGACGACCATGATGGCGAATTGTGTGAAGAGGACACGGTCGAAGACGAAGGGCTTGGATTCGTTCCATGCTTTGAGGCGTTGCGCAATGATGTTGCTGCAAGAGTCTATTACGAGCGCGGAGAGACAGGCCGTGGCAATCGGAGGGAGCTTCATGATGGCGAAGGGCAGGTCGGTTCGAACGCCGGGAGAGGTAGCAGAACGTGGGTAAGATAGCAAAACGAAAGTCACGGGCTGACAAGCACGAGCTGTTGCGATCAACAGCGCTGGGCAGACACCGAAGTAGGCAGATTTTTAGACAAAGGTTTCAGGACTATTCGAGCCAAAGAAAGTTGTTTGGAATGGAAGAGATTGTTGGGATTCGGGTGACGGATTACCGTCTGAGTTGGATGCGCCGTCGCGCTCGACTCCACATTTCTTGGTGTTGCTTATTGCGCGTCACTTCGGTTCATCTGCGGCCGAATCAGACGAAGCTTTGAGACGGATCGCAACTGACTCGGCCTCACCAGCTGCAGTGTACCAACTTCGTTACTTCACCAACATACCTGCAGACATAGATCAATACTCCTACAAAGGTACTCAAGTTTCCCTTTTCATGTTTTTGTAGAATTCAAGGTTCATAAAACGGTTCTGTTCTCGCAGCACCAACTGGACCTTCTCCATCCCGGATATCAACACTGGACGTAGCTGTGAGCATGTTGTAATTTGAGCAGTTTTCTTGTCGCACTTGATAGGAAACTGTCTGCTGTTGAACAGATTACGGTCACAGAGAGATGTACTGGCTGTGGTCTTATAGTATGAGGCCTGCATAAATCCCTCTCGTGAACCTTCCCGACGAGCCGTTGCACACCGGACGCGAATGTCACTTTCTCAGTCGCCAACGCGCTCGTACATCTGCTATCCTCTAGTGTGAAACTCTAGTTTGCGCGCACTGAGAGCTCAGGTCGCTTATGCAAGCCTGGCGCCAGACTAGAGAGTGCAGAAGTTCATGTACTCAATGAGTATCTAATAGTCGCTGTTTGACCGGAACCAATTGAAAATTAGTAGCCAATTATGATTAAAAGCATAAACATACTAGTAAGGCATGGACGCCAATCTAATGTGTAACAACAACTTGGCATGTCCATAAGAACATGGTGAGTGCTCGCCTTAGCGACTATCGGACTATAAAAAGACAGATCATTATGCTCTACTAGGATTAGCCTTGAAGACCGAATGCAGTCCTCAACGCAACATCACGATGAGACTATGCCCATAGCTTAGCCTAGGATAGTAGAAGTATTGTATCCTTGTCATCGGACCGGAATCTCTTCCACCGAAGCGTGATATAGGAAGTACCAAGCTTTTTGGTTTTTTTTTTCCCATGAATCCTACGACTTCATTTCAGCAAATGCAACAATCTGATCTGTACCTGTTTGGAAAACTTCTCGATGCTATTGCCAAGTGCAATGGGAGGCGAACAAGAGCTTTAGCTTCCACATGATTCACTTATGTTGTAGACCTTAACAAGCCTTGTCCAATTCTTGTATAGCAAAGACAATGATATGAACAAATTATTAAGCCTCAAAACGAGATGTTTAGTAGCCATCGGTTTGATTGCTTCCATCCGATCGCCAAGAGGGAATAAGTGGGTCCGGCAAAACATGGTGCCGGGCCCACTTTAAAGTTTTTAGCTTCGTCCAGCTCGATACAAGATCAGCTCTTCTTCATCTTCTCCTAACAGACTGCATGTCGCCTTTCGCGTCTCAACACTGGTTAGCCAGTACCGGCACCTTCACGCTTTGTAGCTGCTTTCGTAAGTTTCACTACTTTTTCTTCCGACTCCCCGCCCCTACACCATGATGAAAACCATTCCACATTCGCAGTTTCCACGCTAGCCATCAATTGAACCTACTTTAGATGGTCAATGAGCGCGAATACCTTCCTTGGATGTCTGATCCGCTTCGCATATATATACGCGTTGTCTTGACAGAGTTTCTGTACTGTTGCTAACAGAACCTTTAGTTTGTAGATTATCCGCCGCCTTCTCATTCTAGAGGAATGACTGTCGAGTTCGGACACTCAAATGTCAACGGTCGAATTGTCACGGCACAAGATTTGGAAAGCATGTTTAGATGGAGTATACATTTGTTCATTCAAAACTCAGATAATTACTACCAAGAAATAATCCCATTCTCGTTCTTCATCTCTTCACTCCTAGCCACCAGTGGCTTTTGATTGTCATGATGCGTATTACCGGCCACACCCAAGACGCATGCTGTTCTATGATATGCTGATGAGGGTATCAAATATGCTTTGCACTCTTGTATCGGTCGCTTAGAGCATGAAGAATGTAAAGGCACCAGCCAGACCAGCGAACAGGGCACTGCCAGCAACGTGAGAGGCAGCACCGGTTGATTGTGGTGGGGATGCGGACGAGGACGAGGACGAGGCCGAGGAGGAAGAAGACGAGCCAGATGTTTCAGTTGATGTGCTGTTGTCGCTCTCGGTCAGCTTGCCGCCAGTGCCAGCGGTAGATGAGGGCGAGACGTTGTCGGTGGCAGCCTTTGCAGCGGTCTTGAAAGCCTCGATTGTCTTGTCACCAGATTGACTAAACAATGTTAGTAAGGGGAAACTTGTGAAACAAATGACAGTTGTGACTTACGGAGGGTTGATGACACCGACCATGCCGTTTTGGCAGTGCATGCCCTGGCTGCAGTAGAACCAGATGGGGGCCGAAGCGTTGGTAACCTCGTATGTGAAAGTGGTCGCAGCAACCTTCTCGGTATCGGAAGTAGGCATGAATCCGGACCAGAAGCCGTTGCTCATAGGCTGGCAGGGGTTGGCAAAGGTGGCCTGGGCGACAGAGTGGTTCTTGGGCCAGAACTTGAAGGTGACAGTGTCGCCCTCAGCAGCCATGATGCTGTCGGGCTTGAAGACGAGGTCGCCAGCCTTGTCACTAACGGCAACGGTGTGCTCGGCGGCGAGAGCGGCGCCAGCCATGGCGGAAGCAGTGAAGATGGCGGAGAAATGCATTATGATTGGTTGAGATGAAAAGAGACTAGCTCGTTTTGGTGATTAAGATAATGCGTGAGAAGGGTGGGATATGAGATGGAATGTAATCGGTACTGAGAAGTGAAGAACGTGGACCTGCCTACCAAGAGAAGTCAAGAGAGGAGCACATTTGCGAAGGTTATATAGCATGGAGGTGGAAACAGCGGCTACCCACGAAGCGGAAAGGCCGGCCTGCGCAGTCAAGGGCATGAAGGCTTCGAAACCCCAGGCGTCACAAAGGCATCCTTTTCTTAGCGCCTTAGCCACCTAAACACAATTCCGGGGAAACATAGGGGTGGGCACAGGGCGTGGCTCCTGGCCCCCTCGGCGCTTCAATTCAGCCACTTGCCGCTCTGAATGCCCTTTGGGCGCGTGGCCGTGTGGCTGTGGCAGTTTGAGGGCCGTAAGTACCGCAAGTAGAGAGGCGTAAGCGCTGCTTTTCGCGGCAGTCATGTTTCTGACCAAGGGATGAAACCTGGCCGTGAACCATGATGGAACAGAAGATGTTTTGGATACCTGCGCACGGACACACAAACGGCTGCCACCTGGATGACATGCAATTCGACGGGCATGACAACAGCTCATGTTAAGCGTTGCCGTGTCCAGGGCGCATATGCCACTACATGCGTAGCTACTTAACTGCCAGGCCGTCCCAAGCGATAACTGACAGTCGTTGCGCCATGCGTACGAAGTCCGCGGGATTTGCGGAACATGCGACAGAACGCAGGACTTCTCGTCCGGGCTGCTACTACACACAACAACACCTGACATCGGCCGAACATGTCGAATGCTAAGACTACACGTGTTGTCGGACCACAGGCCTGCGTTGTTTGTTGGTAGCAGAACAAGGTCACAAGTCGGGGTTCTTGCTGGACTGCACCCATACGGAAACCGAGGGCACTGAGAGGGCAATACGAGAAAGCCGTACTATATGTACAAGGATCCACCATCACGAAGAGGAGAATCTTCCACCGACTTCTGACAACGAGACTGCACACAGGGCGTGCGCCCATCCGTGCGATTCAGAGGGTTACTTAATTAGCTAGTTCGCTTTCGGCGGTGAGGATGGAGACCGTCTTCCAAGGGTGCCGTTGCCAGCAGCTATAGTAGGCTTGGCAAGTCAGTTCACCCAACAACAGTCTTCAACGACGTTTCTCACCACACGGCAGTACAACGTTACCATCGCTAGTAAGCATTAGTCGTAGAGCCATGACATACAGTAGTATTTGTCCCCGTATTCTGGCTTACAGTTGTCCCCCGCCGCTTGTGAAGAGCCGAAGAGACCCCCTTTTGAGAGATGGCACTGGATCGCATCTGGGAGGCAGTCGTGAATGCGCCACGAGCGCAGGTGGGGTGCAGGATCATTTTATTGATCGCTGGCAATGGATGCCTGTTGCGGCAAGACACAGCACATGCATCCGATAACTTTGGCTGTCTAGCTCGCTTGTCCTGCTTATCTCAGCTAGCGCAAGCCCTTCCCGCTACCGGTTATCCAAAAATACCATCTTTCTCCGCAGCACCTCTCGTGTCCATTGTACGCTATGATCTCATTCATCTATTTTCTCTAGAAATCCCGCCACCTCTTGGTCAGATGGTCGTACTGTTGCGGTTAGTATAGTGGAAAGGGTAGGCTAGACCTGGCAGCTTGCTCGCATTCCGCCCTGCGCCGCCCGTGCCCAACCATCAATGTAACGAGAATCCACTAGTCATATAACGGGGAGGAGCGGAAAGCTACAGTAGTAGAGTGGAGGCATCGTCATGTCAATTGCTATAAAGCACATACAAGTCACTCGTCCAAATCATCATCACCAGCACTCAGCTTCCATCACAACATCCTCTAATAACCACTCTTCAACTCTACGCCTCAACTCTCCACCTTAATCTAATCACCAAACCCACCCAAAACCTTCACCATGAAGTTCTTCACTGCCGTCTCCGCTGCCGTTCTCGGCTTCTCCAGCATGGCTTCTGGTATCACTGGTCAGTACTCTTACAAAGCCCAACCAAAGATTGAATACTAACTCCTCACAGTCAGCTACGACCCCGGTTATGATGACGCCAGCCGCTCCATGGACGTTGTCTCCTGCTCTGACGGATCCAACGGTCTGGCTTCTCGCTTCCCCACCCAGGGCAGCCTTCCTCGCTTCCCTCTCATCGGTGGTTACCAAGGCATTGCTGGCTGGAACAGCCCTCAGTGCGGTACCTGCTACGGTCTCACCTACAACGGCAAGACCATCTACGTCCTTGCTATCGACCACACTGGCGCTGGTTTCAACATTGCCCAGGCTGCCATGAACCAGCTCACTAACGGCCAGGCTGCTGCCCTCGGCCGCATCGATGCTCAGTACCAGCAAGTCGCTGTCAGCAACTGCGGTCTTTAAATCATGACCGTTGTGCATCATTACACGGAAAAAAAATAGAAGAGACAGAGTTGACGACGATGAATACGCGATAATGTTTATATTTGGCTTCAAATACTTGGCATAGCGCTTGCTTCATACAGCATACAATGGCGTTTTCTGTATATACACACTCCTTAGTAACGTAATCGAAATAGTAATATACTTACTCACAAAATGACTGGTTCGAGTTGCAATGTGATATGATCTGACTAAAATGAGAGCTACAATCAATTCGGTCTTGGAGTTGAGGATGAGGTGTAACAGGATAATCTTTCACATTTCGCATCTGAGCCGGTAGAGTGACTAGGAAGATAGAAATTCCTAAGAACAGCCTACAACACATCTAGAATGTGATTATGCCAATGAAAAAAAAAAGAAATACACAGAGCTTTTAGAAACAGAACGGGCGCTGAATCTCTCTGTTCTCTGAAGGTAATTGCAGGTGTAATCAACTCAACTACCAAACCATTACAGGAGAAAAGAATGAAAAGAAAAAAGAACCAGAGACACGTGTAACTACCAAAGACGCTAAATCAAGGCGAATCCCAATTTTTTTTCTAGTGCACAGCCAACAAACCACTGCAGCAAAAAAAGAAAACAGATAAGAACAAAAAAAGCAATCACACCGTTGACGTAGCAAAAAAGCAACCAACCCACCCAAGAAACAACGCATACCCAAGAAACCAGACCACTCAATCTCGATTGGTACAGAGAGCATCACTCCACTGCGAAGCTTTCACCAAGCCCGAGCCTAGAAATGCTTAACTTGTCAAACAAGCAAACCGATCCATTTCCCACAACAAGTTACCTGCATGACAGATCACACCCCCGCTCCCCCATGCTTCTACCCTGATCCCTGGGTCGTTTGTCCGGAGCGATACGTAGCATATGCATATGCATATACGCCATCCAACGTGTAATGATGCGCGTCCGTACACTCCTTTTACGATAATGCACCGCATCCACACATGCGAATATATATTAGCTTGTCAAGCTTCTCTCTCTCTGGCAGTTATTTCATTTTGATATATGTTAGCTTATCAAGCGTCTCTCTCTCTCTGGTAGTTATTTCATTTTGATATACTGAGACTAGCCTAGCCCAGGTGCAAAGTTTGTTGTATTCACCAGACATTGTCCAACTCTTATCGGGATCAACGCTGTGTGACATGGGAATTACCATGAACCCATGTACGTCCTGGACTATGTATTCAATGAGATTTGATTTCTATATGAATAGCGTAAACCACACATCACTAGCGCGTTCCATTTCCCCTTTGCACCCGTTATCATCGCCCTCCCCCCGAGGTATTTTGCGCGTCGTTGCAAACGAAAAATCTCAATATTCCTGCATAACCGCACTATGAACGACAAGGTCAATCACGTAAAGCATAATATCCCAGAGAAAGATAAGGAACAAGATAACCCCCAAGGGTTCGTTCGGGGGATTGAGGCTGAAGTATTAGTGCTACAGCTAACAACTTAGTTGCATCGTACTAATGAGCTGCAATCAAAAGGGAGAGGCAGGGCAAGGACAAAAAAAACAAGATGGAAATCTGGTACGCAATGCGCCATTTAGATGCATGCTTCGGGAAGATTGTTAACATTAGAGTAATCGTAACGTCGGATCGATGTAAAGAGAATCCATGATATCAGTGAAGCAAAGATGGGCATAGATCTGGATCTAGAAGGTGGAAGAAAAGAAGGGACGGACAAGGAAGATGCCTCTTTTGTTTCTTACTCCTACCATGTCTTCGGGTCATGTAGGTGGCGGAAGGGCGCGTCATCCAACGTCATTACATGTGGCGAAGGCAAGCAAAGAAAAAAAAGGGGAGCAGAAAGAGAGATGGAGAGAGATTGCGAAAGAACACCAAATGTTTGGGATGACGTATATAGTGTATGTATTTGGGTCACAAACTATCTAAGTTACTCGACCGGTCCCCTTCCTTTCCCTACTAGTTCATCACATCACTTAACCCTCCTCCCCCTTTCTATGTAGCAAACAAAAATAGGTATCTATGGCAAAAATGAAAAAAAAACCGAAGGATGGAAAAACATTTCTTGGTATATTGCTGATAAAACTTTTGATGAGTGAGAGAGAATCATGAGTTTGTTGTGCTTCATAAATCTCAAACAGCTACGCCTGCATAGCAGATAAAAACCTTACGGTCATGGTATCTATTATAAAAAAAAAGAAAAAAAAAGCCCATGTAAAAAAAGGGAAACATGGGAAAGAGTTGAACATTGTTTGTCTAGAGGTGGCGAGGTGATGAGGCGAGTAGTCGACCAAGACTACCGCTGGCAACCGAGGGTTCGGGAACGGGCGACTTTGCGTAGACAATCTCGCCTTCAATGGTGCTGACCGAAGTCCTGGATACGGCGGGTGACTTGTGCGAGTAGGACTTGGGACTTGAAGGAGCTGTCACGGGTGTGACAAGATCGATTGACTTTCCTCCTCCATAGGATCCGTTGCGGGATGGCTTGGTCCTGGGGGGAAGAGGTCGCGTAGTAGCAGGCGTATATGGCAGCGAGTAGCTTACTGAAGAAGCCGGAGTATGTGACAACGAAGGGGCAGCGCTAGTGCTGTACTGTGATGTTGATGCGCGGTTGTAGCGAGGTCGGTAGGCCCGCATGTTATCAGGTGCATAAGTGGGTGCCGATTGAAACTTGCGCAAGTATTTGGATGCGTCGGACTGATAGCGGTCATCGGCATTGTCATCCGAGGATACATCGGAGAAGGCACATGACGAGCGTTTTGAGTCGGGCTGAGTGGGCGAGCGCTGGGGAACAATGTCACGGAAGGCAAGGTCGTCAAAGGTAAAGGTTGCGAAAGGAGTGGTTGGCGGCGAGTAATGATCGTAGTAGTAGTTGAGGCTTTTCTCCGCGTCTTTTTTCTTGCAGCTGTGTATACACGTTAGCAAAGTGGTCTGTGCGCGATGGGGCTGTCAGGACGAGGGTGTCATCATCATACCTTTCTGAGCAGTAGAGCACGGTGTTGCTTGGAACAACAATTTGCTTCTCGCAAACAGTGCTGCATGAGCGAGTTAGTATGTTGTGGGTGGGTGGGTAGCAGCAAGGGACTAGAGGCGAGTCGAGTACATACCAGTAGTTCAAGAAGCTCACTGCCATTGAGTCTTCGTCGTCGTCGTCGACGGCGAGGTCGACGTCTTTGGAGGGAACGACTTTGGAAGCAGCCTTGGCCCCGTGGGATTGCACGCGCTTTGACAGAGGCCGAGAGGGCCGTGCGTGCGGTGGCTGCGACTTCTTGGATTGATGGGACAGGTGACGAACGTGATGCGTGGCCATGGTGGAGGCGGAAGATGTTTAAAAGGGCTAAATGGCAGCGAGGTGACAACCGCGCACGGTGCGCGGTATTTTTACAGGCTGAAGACGACCAAGCGAAAGAAGCGGTGACACCGGCCGCCCAGTTCCCAGCTGGCTGATATGACGGAAGGTTCGTGCGTGGCTTTGTTTAGAACCCCTTATCGCCTTGTGCACTGCGCCATCGACTTAGCCAGGAACAACGATATTAGGACTTGCTATCTAATACGAATTGGCGCGCAGAGCCGCCGTCATCGGGCAGCAGGGCAGCAGTGTGTGTGGTGTAGGCGAGGTGACGAGGGCAAGAATGGGCAGATGCGTCATGCCCCAAGAAAAAAAAGAAGCAATGACTTGTGTACGTGGATAGTATATGTATGTACTTACACTGAAGGCGTCGTCGCCGGTCCGGATGCGATCTGCGGACAGGGCTGCCGACGGGAGGGTGGAACACTGGCTGGGCTGGGGCTGTGTGGGCTGGCGGGCTGGCGGGCTTTGGGTTGGGGCGACGATGAGAGCGACAGAGCCGAGTGTTTCCTCGAGGCCAGCGGCTTTCAGCGGCAGTGGAACAAGCAACGGGCCCGGGGGCTGATAACAGAAATGATAACGACGGCCACCAGAGCAGGAGGGGGACGACGCGGTCAATAAGTAATTACGAGGCCGGCCTGTGCAAACCCACGCCCAGTTCTAGAACGCTGCGATTGACGACGACAACGGCCCTAGTTGCACCGTCGGGATACGGCTGCTTGGGTGTGTGGGGAACGATTCGTGATAGCCATCACGACCGACCCGTTGCCGTGATAGCATTCCAGCACGCAATGCCGCCGCCGTCTGGGCGCTGACTCCCCGCCCGCCTGCAACTGCAACTGCAGCCCCCCACCCGCATCCACCACGCTGCCTCAGACTCAGGCTCCGTCGCGTCCGGTGTGCGTAGAGTCGTCGCAGCGGCCAATCCTGCGCCCGTAGCCATACACACGCTGCTCTGCCCTGCACTGCGCTGCACGCCCGTCCAGCAAATGGCGCTCCGAGCCACACCCACACGCAAACCACCGCCCACCAGCGTCCACGCTGCGCCGCCATGGCCTGCCGCTGGTAGCCCCGCCTCCCCTTACTTGGGTACTCGTACACACCCTCCCACTGTCGGCGAGCGCCTGCCTGTCGGTGCTGCTACAACACGCCCAATTCCACCCTGCTGTCCATATTACGTGCCTGCTCAACACAATGAAGCCATATTGCGAATGTTGGACATGTCGGCCCAATGGGGTAATCCGGTGCTTTGCGGCACCCCCTCCACCCATGCACCTCGACACCTATCGGTGGATGACTAGGCAGCCACACGCCCTCCTCTTACCTTGCCCACAACTCGCTGCCAGCCCGTTGCGTTTGACCGGCCCTCTGGCTGTGCATAGCAAAGATGCGGGTCCCATTTTGTTTTCTACTCGCGTATAGTAGCAGCTATCTCCCTTAGCGGCCGCGCAGCAAAGGCCCGACAACGACAGACTACTCGCCTACCCGCCGTCCCAGACAAAGTGAATCATCAAATTTTTGTTCTCTCCCGATCCTGAAACCTTGCCGCTGCCGATAATCCACAGTATCAGCACCGTACGTGCACTTCAATTCGTACGCACCTCGCATGTGACAGGCAAGACTTTTTTTCCCACTCAATCCATGTCATACACCAAACAGGTTATTTGTGTTCTGGCCTCTTGCAATTCTCCAGATCTGGATCGGCGTTGATGTTGGATAAAACGGGCCTTCCTGGACATGCTCAGGCACCAGCTGCCACTCAACCCGTTCGAAACTGAACCTGTTCCGCTCTACCCCACAAAAGTCAGCAAACACCGCATCTAATGTCGTAACCCCGACCGCACAATGTCACGCAGGGAGACCCACCACACGCGTTCAAGAAAGTCTCGAACGTCTGCTCGTTGCGGATGGTCGCAGAAATAAAAACTAGAAGCGCCGGGTTCAGGTCGAAGAATTCTCTCAAAGTCGAAACCAAGCGTGGGATGACCGACTTGTCATAGGTCTGCAGCGCTGTCAAACCCACTTCTTCGCGACACCGCCGTCTTGGTAGCTTACCACGTCTGCTCCTATTACAACGTCTGGAACCTCCATTCCGTAATCTTCTGAAAATGTTGTTGCGTCGACTGGATAGCCCCACTTGAGTGCTGCTGTACGCACTTGACAGCCAGAATCGTCATCGACATCGAGTCCGTTCAGAAAGAGATTGGTCTTGATCGCATCCACCACAGCCTCATCGCCATCCGTGGCCACGATACCAGCCACACCCAGGTGCTTCGCACACAGTATGGATAGCATACCCGTCCCCGCACCAAGTTCAAACGCTCGTTTCTGCTTGATGAACACGTGGCCAGACTCGGATGCAAGGTAAGATCCAAGTAGTAAAGCGGCTTCCCATGTTCGCAGACCCGTCGTTCCAGACGAGGAAATGACGGAACGGGCCTCCAATAGCGTCACGGCATGCTCACCGGAATCGCTGTCGTCAGTCGACTGTTGGGGGAACGAGTACGTCACAAAAGCTTTCTGCTGAGCGGCATCCGTTTCAGAAGGTAAGCTGGCCACCAGTAAAGTTGTCATTGCTTCCATGATATCATCTGAGATTTCCTATAACAAGGGACCAAGGCAAAGTCAGCGGATGCTGCAACAGGTTGATTCCTGCACACGAAATGTCTTTTACTATGGTACATGGCTGTACACAGCAAAGGCAGGAACCGCAATGAAGAGATAGGAGACCATACATCCTCCTCAGGGTCAGTCATGGACCGCTCGAGTTTCCCGACAAGTTCCTTCAGAACCCTAAGCTGGTAGCGAGCCGGTGGTGGCGAGGAAATCTTGGACGGGTCGAACAAGTTGCCGAACAGCCATGCCTGCACCAGGGGCCTCTTCAAGGTTGCATCGTCCGGCCATCTCAGCTGTTGTGGCTCGACCAGTTGGAAGTACTGGCGTTGCAGGACGCGCAACTGCGCCAGCTGTTCAGGGTTTTCCATAGCGGGGGTAGCGTTGGTGATAGTCTGAATAGCCTTTTCGAAAGTTCAACTAGTTTCAGCGCCAAGTGTAAAAGACCTGCAGGCTCATGGGTGACAATCAGCAGTCGTGTTCCTGCCCTTGGACCGCTTACCTAATTTTGCAGCGGGGCGTCTTGGCAGTCTAAGCGAGGCAGGCGCACCGCCGACCGCCGACACGACGCACCGCAAATTCGACATCTCCATCCCGCCGCCAGCTACTAACCACAGCGAATCGACAAACAGCAGGATCGATCTCTGTCCAGTACGTGCAACTTGCAAGCCTGCTCGTCCTAACGTCATTTGTGAACCGACGTCTAACAGCCGTCGCTGCAGGTCGAAATTATCCATCATGGCCGACTCTCAAGTTACCCTGCGCACGCGCAAGTTCATCCGCAACCCTCTTCTCGGACGCCGTCAGATGGTCGTGTAAGTGCAAACGACACCGAAAAAAAAACAATCAATACACCGAAACAAGGTGCTTGTGGAAAAGGGAATTGATAAGTCTGACGGGAATTGTGTACAGCGACGTCCTCCACCCCAACCGCGCAAACGTTTCCAAGGACGAGCTCCGTGGCAAGCTTGGTGAGCTGTACAAGGCCAAGAAGGAAGATGTCTCCGTCTTCGGTTTCAAGACACACTTTGGTGGTGGCAAGAGCACCGGCTTCGCTCTCATCTACGACAGTGCCGAGGCCATGAAGAAGTTCGAGCCCCGCTACAGGCTAGTACGATACGGCATGGCCACCAAGGTCGAGAAGGCCAGCAGGCAGCAGCGTACGTTTCCCTTGCCGATACCCTCCATGGTCTTGTGGATCAAGCAATGGTTCTATGAAACAAAAAGGCCCATGGGGTAGATGATAGAAGAAGAAAAAGGAGAGATGAAAAGGACACGAATACTGACTAGGGTAAATAGGCAAGCAACGCAAGAACAGGATGAAGACTTTCCGAGGCACAGCCAAGGCCAAGGGTGGCGCGAAGAAGGAGAAGAAATAAGCAGCTGGAGTAGGCTGCTGACGACGACGATGATGATGATGACTAGTACAAAGGTCATTGTTGGGGGGTCGAGTGGCGGTTTCTCTGGAACTACTACTGTTCCGCCTGCTGCGGTTTCTTCATCATGGTGGGAACGGAGTTGCGTCTGCGGGCATGGACACATGTTTATCTACCATTGCCTGGAAAACTCTTGCGGATGGACACGACAAGACGGATGGCGTTTGAGATGAATTGTCTGCTAACCATCAATGCATATCATGGACTTTACGATCCTCCAATTGATTCGTCACCTGGTCCTAACTCCCCCCTCCCCTTTCCTTCCCCTTCCTTTGTGTCACTTGCTCTTGTGCATCTTGTATGTGTCATTTTTTTTGGCAGGGTTGGTACAAAAGGTGATGATTATATAATTGTGATGTTGTTGCTACTGTGAGCATACTCTATATAGTACAGACTAGGGATTTTTCTACTTTTTTTCCTTTTCCCTTTTCTACTCGTTCTTTTTTTTTTACGACGGAGCGCCACTGGCTTCGGTCTTTATCGGGGCTGGACTCTGTTGTTGTGGTTGGGTACCCATCAATGGTATTGTGCTTGCACCCTGCTGAGCCTCACCCGTCGGCTGTCCCTGTGTGCGTCCTTGGTCCGGGCTCTGCACCTGCGCCTGCCCTTGTTCTCTCGCAGCTCCAGTCCCGGTCGCATCTGTAGCCGGTGTTTTCCCTAGCGTTGGCGTTGGCGGAGGAGGCGGCATATTCTTCTTTCCCGACCTGGGGCTCGACATTTCCCAGAACCGTCGAGGCACATTTTTAGCCGGTGGCATGCCCAGGAACCCTTTGCCTCCCATACTCTCCAGTGGTTTCGCTCGCCCTCCTACATAGCAGCCCAGATCGCCGCTCCATACAAAGCCGCCGCCGACGACGCCGCGGAGCACGCCAAAAGCACGCGCGTCCCGGTATGCGATGCCTGTTTCTGGGTCGCGATATCGGGCAATTGTGTTGGTAATGGGACACAGCTTTTGGCCTGGCTTGAGTGCCAATTCCGCATCGGCCTTGTGCGCGGCGTTCTTTCTGGGCTGCTTTGGAGGCGCAATGAGCGTTTGTTGGATGTAGTTCGCAGCTTCTGCGGGAGTCCAATCGAAGAGTGCTGTGTATAACTGTACCAGTGCTGATTTGTCCCTTTCCTTGAGAAGTGAAGCACTAGTTCTTGCTCGTGAAGATGTCGGAGCTGGCGCTTCGAGGTTGGGGAAATTGGAGAGGATGAGCAGGTTTCTGAGGGCTCGGCGGATGGTTTTGCGGCGCGGTGGCGCAGGCGGCAAGACGGGCTTGTGGAATTGAGCAAGCACAGCTTCGGGACCGATTGATGGGTTGCCGTTGCTTTGTGATGTTGAAGGATCATTGAGCGTGGGCTGTGGTGTTTGTGAGAACGAGGGCCGTGGGACTGGTAGTTGCTGTTGAAATGGAGATGCTTGAGTAAAAGGGTTTGGCGGGAGATCGCCAGGAAGTGTCTGGGGTTGTTGACTTTGAGCAAATTGGTCAACGCCAAAGAGAAATGACGAATCTTGACTAGTGGGTGCGAATCTGACATTGTTTGCCATTGACATGCCGTGGGAACCCATAAAAACATCTCCGCTTTGAGATGCTGCTGCTGTCCACGGCAACTGTAGCGTATCTTGCTGCGCTGGTAATGTCGTGGGTATAGGGGGCGTATGGGATGTCCTCATTGGAGACTGGATTTGGGCCAAAGGGCCAAACACCGGTTCACTGTCCTCTACATTGTTTTCAGATAGTTCCGTGGGGTGTTGTGTTGGAGGGTTTGTCTGTTCTGCTTCGGACTCTGGTCGAGCGATTACCGCTTCTGCAGCCTCGATCTCCTTGTTGAATTTTTCTTCAAGTTGCTCTGGGGTTGGCGCGTCTTTGCCCGTGTACTTGAGCTTATCATCCACCCAGATGCCCGGCCCGCTGTAGTAGCGATAAAAGGGCCCGTCGATCTGGCGATTCTTTAGGGCATCTATTTTGGCCTGCCTCTCAGCTGCCCTTGCTTCTTCGGCCTCCTCCCACCTGTGTAGTGTCTTCTTGTTTATGCGCTCGTTGCGGGCGGCCTCGGCGAGCCTCTCAGCTTGCGTCAAAGGCTTCTCCTTGGCCTTTAGTTTTCGCGCCTCAGCAGCCTTCATCATGGCCAGGGTGTCGTCCCGCCGCCGGTCCTTCTCCTTGAGCTTTGCCAGCGTGGCGTCCTTGTTGGCAACTGTCTGTTTCCGGTTGGACATTCGGACGGGACCATCCTCTTCGGTGGGCAGCCATGACGCGCGTTCTGACTTCTTCTTGGGCCGTGGCAGGGCATGCGTAGGAGACTGGGTGCGGGGGACGTCAAGCTTGACTCTCTTGTGCGCAGCGGCGGCGCTTCTTGCAGCAAAGGGATTTGTTGCGGCTTTGCGCTTCTTGTTCCTTTCTTGCCGCTCAGCCCTGCGCAGCTCCTTCTCGCCCGCGTCGTCATCGTCATCGGCGCCGCCATCTTCGTCTTCCGAGGACGATGAGTCTAGGTTGTAGTCGTCGTGCTCATCTATCTGATCGCCTTGGAACTCCTCCTCGTCGGGAGCCTCGTCCCATTCCTCACCCCATTGCTCGTCCTCGGCGGATTGCGCGAGCAGGGTGGACATGCGGTTGCCGGCATTGGATCGGCGGGCGCGGGTCGTGACCATGAGCTCGGCGGGGGCTTCATCGTCGCTGTCATTGTCGGAATGTGGAGACGGGTCGCGTCCAGGAGAGGGTGGTGGGGCGTGTTGCATGGCGATGTTGGACGCGGGCTCAGACATTATCGGTGGTGAGTTGGAAGGCAGGCACGAGGGTTGGCAGGGAAGGTGCAAGCGAGCAGTGATCATTCACGGCTAGGGTCTGAGGCACAATGGGCTGGATTTGGAAGGGCGACGTGGCTTCCAGAATAGTTCCATGAGACAGTATGAATCATTGGCTGGGCTAATGCGATTATGCGTGCTGGGGCATTTTGTTTCAAGGACCGTTGTTGGAGAGGGTTGGCGCAACGGTTGGTGGTGGTGGTGATGATGATGGGTGGGCGGCACGCAAGTGGACGCGACGGGTGATGAGCGATGTGCAAGGCGCAATGGGCAATGGGCGATTCGGGCTGGCCGCCAACACCGATGCAGCGGGTAGCGACGAGGACGACGACGAGGACGACAGCAGCGAGCGTGTGTGTGTGTGTGTGTGTGTGTGTGTGTGTGCGTACGTACGGCGTATGCGATGGATGGGCAACAGCAGTTCCCAGGGCCCGCAGCGTGTCACTGGCCATGAGTCTCGTGGGAGTGCATCTCTCTGCCGGCTTGTCTATGTGCAGCACATGTGGGCTAGTCGTAATCAATGCTCTAAGTATGTATTATGCCCCGTCGTGTGGCAGTCTGACACGCGCTTCAACCAGGGCGCTCAAGCGTACTTGGCTCGCCCGTTCGTCCAGCAGGGCCGGCAGCGGCAGCGGCAGCAGCAGCTGGTCCAAGGAGCCATCGAGGGCAGGCCAGAGGGCGCTGAGCAGTGTGCGAGTGCGCGGCGTGGTTGACAAAGTTTCATGGCCCGCAACTGCACAAGATTATCGTCTGGCCGGGCGGGGCCAATCAGCGGGTGCCGCCCCAAGAGGCACACCAGAGTCCACGTCAGATACTCGACTGACGGCCTTTCTCGCCGCGCCTCTGTGTTTCAGACGCTGCGGGCATACGCTGCACTCTCCCGCGGCCATCCAGGCCCGCCTTGTCCACGCCAGAGGGTGACAGCCCCTGAAATCTGTCCAAAAGCAACAAGCTGCAGGCGTGCAGTGATAGTCGCAGCCGCAGCAGCAGCAGCACGAGTACGGAGCAGAGGTAGTCTTGGTAGGCCTGTGTGGTCGGTAGTATGCAGGCGTACGGTGCGCTGTAGAGTACGAGGACGAGTCCGCCTAGGCGTACTACTACAACAAGTAGCACTCGAGAGAGCAGCATCAGAAGCAACACAACCACCCCCATCCATCCATCTAATCAATCTCTCCCACGCTCGTCCATGTAAACACGCCCAGCAGCACCAGTACAGCACCAGCACCGCAGCCGGCCGGCCGCCCGCATCGTGGCCGCAACCTGTAACGTGCCTGCTCTGGCAGCCCACGCCCAATCAAGCTAGACCGCTCGTCTTCCTCTTCCTAGCCTGGCTCCCCATTTCTATCAAGCGAAACCTCACCCAAACCCTCCCACCGCGCATCATCATCCCATTGCTCATCCCTCTCTCTCCTTCCCCCCTCCTCCTCGACGCCCTTTAGCGCTCTCTAGCTACATTGGCCATTCTCCATGAGCTCGAATGCTTAGTCGGCCTTCTGCTTAATCCCTATTACTTCTGTTCTCCAGGCACTCCGGTGATCTGTCTATTCCGCCCGCCTGCTGTACAGTTCCACTCCCCATAATCCCACCCCTCTCCCCACACACAGAGGCCCGCGACCGTCCCTCGACTGCGCACTGCCGCTCTCGCCCGTCACTCCTTCTCGACGCCCCGCCGTCTCTTTTAGTCGACGGCTCCACTGCCTCTGTACATAAACGCCCCAGCTGCTCTTCGGCACGCCCTGCGCTCCCGCCTAGTTCAGCTCGCTCCTCCGCACTCGTCTTGTCAGCGTTGGCCCCCCACTGCAACGTCGCCCGAATCCGGCCTATACTCGGCGCCGAATTGAAGCATCGCGAGTTTACTCTAGCCATTGCCGGCAATCGCCCACTATCCGGACTGGATCCATTCGCCGTCGTTGCCTCAGCCCCTCGGCACCGCCCTACCCACACTGCACACGCTTGCCCTGAGCCGAGCCGAGCCTCTGCTGCATCCTAATCTCTCTGCCTCACATTCCTTTGGCCGGCACCAACCTGCGTTTTTCTTTTTGAAAACAATTACCCTGGCTTTTGGTAACCGAGTCATCACGACCGCCTTTTCCCGCATTAGATTATTGCCGTTACAACCGGGTCTGTAATCCATAATGGCGCCTCCCACCAACCGCCCCGACCACCACATCAACCTCAACTACATTCCCCAGTTGCCCCAGCCCCCGCTCTCGGGCTCTTCCTCGACCGGTAACACGTCCCCCGTAGAGCCTCCCAACAGCGGCTCCCTCCGCTTCTCTGGAAACCCCTCGAACCCATTGGGCGCTGCAGCCGCCAGCACCAGGCTGGGCGCAGGCTCCCCATCGCACGAATATGGCGGTAGACTATTTTCCAAACGGTTTGTCGCATCTTGAAACAAGGCACGACTCGAGCTAACGCAGTCACAGTGCACGTGAGATCCAAGCGCAAGAAGGCTTGAATCCCCAGATGTGGGGCCCTCCTACCAGTGGTAATTCGACTCCATTGCGCGAGACTATCCCAGAGTCTCCCAACAGCGAGAACTTGAGCTTCCCCGACTTCAACAATTCTGCGCCAGAGACGGTTTCGGCTGCGCCCACGGGTCGCCGTGCCCGTGCTGGCACGCTTCCTTCGCGCTTCTCGCCTTCTGCTGCGCCGCCGGGCCTCATGTCCGCCTCGTCACTCCTCCCAAAGAGCTCGCGACCGACTCCCTCCACCAGCCCCTTCAAGCCTGGCCCGGGTACACCCACCGATACTTCGAGCTTCAACGCTCTTGGATCTACAAATGCTGCAGCCAAGTCCGCATTGCTCTCACGCCTTCGTGCGGGCTCAATGCCTCAGCGACCGGGCTACCTCCAGCCCTCTGTGTCTCCTTTCGGTAATCCCATCTTTTCCAATGGATGGTCAAACAGCCGCGACCGCAGCAGCACGCTCCAAAGCATTGCTTCGGTGCCTTCCAATGGACCGGGCTCCCCAGTGTCCTCCTTCTCTCGTGACTCACTTGCAGACACGGATGTCAAGACTCTGGACTATCTTGGCTTGGTCGATACCCCTCAGCCTGCACGAGCTACTCTGGCTCCCTCAGACATTGAGCTTTTGCTGGAAAGCCAGCGGAATGCAAACAGCCACAATACCAACAGCGCAAACCGCTTCCGCTCTTACTCTGTCAATGCAAAGGAAAAGTACGCCGAGGACGAGGAGGATCAGTATGGCGGCTACAGTGGCGCCATGACTCCTGCTGAAGCAAACGCACTGCTCATCCATGAAGCTGTCCGCCAGCACAACCTCGAGGTTCAGGCATTTGCCAACATTGCTTCCAATGCACGCCCAAGAGCTCGCACCGCCGGTGTGCTTGACGCCCCCTCGCGAGGCGCAATGCGTCCTTACTTGCCTGCCATGGGCCGTTTTGACAACGGTATGGGCTCTGGTGACATGACAGAGGATGCCGAGTACAACCTCACAGAGGCTGTCAAGAAGCTACATTTGCCAGGTTCCAACTTGGGAGACGACGGAACTTTGGAAGGACCCACTCGATCCCTGTGGCTCGGCAACATTCCTTCTTCAACCACCGTCTCATCGCTACAGGTCATCTTTGCTCAGTATGGTAATATCGAATCTACACGCGTTCTCACCCACAAGAACTGCGGTTTCGTCAACTACGAAAACCTCGAGAGCGCCGTCCAGGCCAAGTCCACTTTGAACGGAAAGGAAATCTTCCCCGGTGCTGGTCCCGTGCGCATTGGCTATGCTAAGATTCCAAGTGCGGCAGCAACCCCCGGTCACAACGGTCTCTTCCCCTCTCCAAGCCCAGATCCTCTCTCCAAGGCCCAGACTGAAGGTGCGGCTGGCTCTGCATCTGCAGCCAAGTTGAGTACCGTTCCTGCAAACGTACCATTGACTACTCCGGAGCTCAGCGATATCCGTAACGACATTATTCAAATTGTGAAAGATTTGGGCGCTACCGACGACGAGCAAACGAGCATCTCTGCCAAGGTTGAGAAGGCTGTTCAGTTCAACAACTATGTCGACGAGATCCCATCGGTTGAGGAGCCAAGCCACACCCGCATCCATGATGCCCCCAGATTGCGCGAGATTCGCAAGCGCATTGACAATGGTTCCTGCTCCAAGGAAGATATTGAGAACATTGCCATGGCAATGCTTCCTGAGATTGCTGAGCTGTCTTCTGACTACCTTGGAAACACTGTCGTGCAAAAGCTGTTTGAGTTCTGTGAAGAACCCACCAAGGAAGCTATGCTTCGTGAGATTGCTCCTCATCTAGCCAAGATTGGTGTGCACAAGAACGGAACTTGGGCTGCACAGAAGATCATCGATGTCTCCAAGTCTGAAACGATGCAGAAGATGGTTGTCGATGCTGTTCGACCCTACGCCATGGCACTCTTCCTTGATCAGTTTGGCAACTATGTTATGCAGGGATGCCTTAAGTACCAGCAATTTAACGACTTCATCTTTGAGGTCATGCTCGGTAGACTTTGGAACTTGGCGCAGGGCCGATTCGGTGCTCGCGCCATGAGGGCTTGCTTGGAGAGCCATTACGCTACAAAGGACCAACAGCGAATGGTGGCTGCTGCGATTGCTCTCCACAGTGTCCAATTGGCAACCAACGCCAACGGAGCTCTCCTCTTGACCTGGTTCCTCGACACTTGCACTTTCCCAAGGAGACGTACAGTTTTGGCTCCTCGTCTGGTGCCACACATTGTCCACCTCTGCACCCACAAAGTCGCATACCTCACTGTTCTGAAGATTATCAACCAGCGCAATGAGCCAGAGGCTCGCGATACCATTCTCCAAGCACTCTTCTTCTCGCCAAACGACCAGGTGCTGGAAAACATCTTGGCTGATCAGAACTGCGGCGCTACCTTGATCTTCAAGGTACTTACCACGCCCTTCTTTGATGAGCAAATCCGCGCCGATGTTGTGCAAAACGTACGCAATGTGCTCCTGCGTATCAAGGCACAGCCACAACAAGGCTATAAGCGCCTCATGGACGAGGTCGGCCTTTCTACCCGCGGCGGACCTGGTCCACGTGACCATTCCGCAACTCGACCCGCGTCCAAGGACAGTGTCGCTTCTGGAGCACCCAACGCCGGCAACTTCTACCAGGCTCCTCCCCCTGGCTATGATCCCGTCGCACTCCAGCGCACAACAAGCATGGATTCAAACGGCTTTGAGCAGTTCCCAATGGGCGGGTACATGCCAAACATGCCGGGCATGAACAACCAACAGCAAATGCAATACCAGCAGCTCTTGGCCCGGCAGGGTCAGTTCTATCCTCAGATGAACGGCTTCCAACCGCCAGCTCCTGGTATGGATGCTTACCGCAACGCCTCACCTGTTGCAGGCCCGGGCAGCTTCAACGGATCACCGATGATGCAACCGGCTAACCTCGCCGGCCAAGGTATGCCGGGCATGTATCCGCCATACGGCATGTACGCGCCACCTCAGCACCAGCAGGCTCCTGGTGGTAACCAGCGACGTGGGAGAGTAAGCAGAAATGCATCCCCTGCGACGAGCATCCGCCGTTAAAATCTTGTTGAAGAGACGAAATGTCTTGGTTTTTTGGAAAGGGGGTTTTGGAGGGGTGTGGTGTAGGATACCAAAGCCCCCATGCCCTATTTCTTTTCTTTAGATTCTGTGGTGTTGCAAATTGGGGGGAATGCAGTACCATCTTCCTGTATATGATTCGGATCTGTGCACTTATGTATCTGCTGGCAAGCATATTGAAAGAAAAAACAGACGACGCGACCGACATAACACGATACTTGTCCATGTTTCTTGGTCTGAACTCACCCTTTTATGTCTACTTTGGTCATATGGCTTTTGCTTGGTGTTGGTTGGGGAAGGGTCTCTTTTTTTTTTGTATTATGCAACGAATTCTGTTATGTCCACTACCTATGTTCACAAAAATTTCTGGCTTCTTTTACGTGATTGTGACATTCATACTGATGCATCGTTGGTCCCTCTGTCGTTACTAGTTTCCTTGTCTTTGTGTTTATCCTTCGCGCGACATGCGTGTGCAATGATGTCGAGCTATGCATGTACGACCATGGTAGGTGGAGTTAAAAATACAATCACTTCAGAAAAGCGTTTAAGATACACATGTATGTACAAAGAGACAGATTCAAACAAGTCAGACATCTCAGCAGCAAGCAAATTGAACGCGTTTCTTTATCACTTCCACATACACACGATACAAAGACTCTACCTCCATCCGCCGGACACAGAGACGAGAGGCAAAGGTAATATCGCAGTAGATAGTCACTAAGATATATCTCGCGCGATGGACAGCCTTAGTTAAATTTATTATATTACTATAGTACAGGCAGTAGCTATTTGTGAGAACTGGAATTACTTGAAGAAAGTAAGTTAATGAACAGAATTGATTTGAATTTTCTATATTTTTAGTATTTAAACTCTTCTCAATTTGAATGTATTATATTATAAAAGAAAGCTAAACTTAAGAGTGTTTATTTATAGTAAAGTGTACTGGTCTTTTGCTAAACGATGTCGTATCTTCTTATTCTCTAAACTATGTTACATAACAACTGATTAACTTTGAAGAACATCCACTCTCTTCATTTTTTAATGGCCTTGCGTTGAAGGTAATTTCGCATCCGCTATCACCCGGTGCACAACATGAGTATTGTCCATTGTTTCCACTAATGTCAACTCCTTGATAATCACAGGTCCAATCAGCCATAGCTCCTAGGGCTATAGCAAGTACAGCAAAGATTGGGTTTAGCTGCATTTGGACAGTCTAGTTCTGTTAGATCCTCTTAAATTGCTTAAGAAATAATATAGTTAGCTTACTTAAAAGCGATTTTGGTAAAGTGCAAGTTGGATTTAGTAGAAGTTGAATAAACTTGAATAGAATCGATTGACTAAGATGATTTAAAGCGTTTATTTTCATCTACAAGGCGATAGATCAGATATATATACTCTAATATCTAGTCACGGACTCGCTGTTCAC